GTAGCAGGCTTATAGACCTGGGGATTTGGTGGTCTTTGGCTGTTTTCTGATCAGCCCAGTTCTCAAAAACAGGGGTTATTGATTTATTCAACCAGGCTGGCTAATGTTGTCTATATGCAATCAGAAAATAGCACATAAAAGCTCACAAAGACCCTGAAGACCCCTGAAATCCCCAGTTTTTGGCATGCTATAGAGGCTACAAGATTCTTATCAGTGCCTTAACTCAGATCTTTAATATACTGTCTGGTAAGCTGTTGTTTACCAGAGCGGCACTGAAGCATAGGAAAACATCCAAAACACACCCAGTTACAGGTACCGGTATAATCCTACTCTCAGGTGAATAACTTAGAATAACCTCAATTTCTTACCAAAGCAAACAGGTATTTGGTACTGTGTGCATGGTATCCAGGTGAAAAAGTAGAAAAGTGTGTCAATTAAGTTCAATAGGAGAAATGTAAATTCATACTTCAGGCAAACTCTTACCTGAAAAATCCAAGATCCATGTCCAACTTCTTGGGTCTTTTCAAACTTGCTAAAAGTCAGACGCATCTTCCTTTGCGGAGGTGGCAACTTCCCACACAAAACATTGGTTAAATCTTTTACACTGTCGGAGGACAAATGTGCACAGTTCCACCTGACTACCGGCTTGTTAATGACTCGAAAACAAGTTTGAAGACCTGTTATCCCCTACTAGCATCTCCAAAACATCCTGGGTTATGAAAGAACAGGAAACCGGAGAAGCACTCAATGCCCTTTGACCACTGAAACATGATAGACGGCCAAGGATATTCGAACCTTCATATGACATAAATAAAACAACGTTTCTAGCCAACTGGACGGTGTTTGGTCATGCTTTTGCCAACTTCCAACTACGCAGAAAAGTACATTATGTCATATATAAACACGGTGCTTTTTACAGCTGTTCATTAACACTTTTCACCTGTTCGAAACAGCACAATTAGAGGGGCTGGTCAGGCGAAACAGGGTCACTGACACAGAAACGATCTACAGCACGTGCGTCACTGCATGGCCACAGGCTTTTGTTCCTGCACCTCTACAACAACAACATGTACAGGTTAACAGAGTTCAGTGGGTGTTTGCTTTCCGACCAGTGTTTACTTGGAAGTTGGAGTTTGAAAAAATCTCTTTGTTTTTTGTGGTTTCCCACAGATGTATAATGTATTGTACTAATCATGTACGCAATAACCAGAAATACATGTCATATACACAAAAATCCTTCCACCATGGGAATATCCGTACAAGATTTTGATGGCTTCCGGTTGTTTACAGTTATTAACCTACAACTGACTTCCTGCTGTACAGGATGCAATTTTGTTTTGATGGTTAATCATGTTTAATACGAAACAAGGCCATTTCTAGCACACTCACAAGAAGTTGTAAACAAGTTTTGGGTCTGAACAGAGTGCATGACCTGCAATGCATACTTGATGACAAGTCTCCTGTGTCCTGCAAAAGTTACTGTACAGCAACCTTTGAACGAAAACAGACTGCTAAATGCTTTATATCTGATGATGGTGTAAGAAATCTTACATTCATTTTTTTATGTTTACCAAAGGAAATCATTGTTTTTGCTCAGTTTCCTCTTTTCCAAACACAACAGGTCAATGACCTGCGCCAGTCAGTCTGTCACCATGGTAACTAATGTTGGGTTACATTAATTCATACATGTACCATGGTAGCCAAAGGAATTTTGTTTATGTAGTAAAAAAAATCACTTTCGAAGTTTAATACAAAATGATTTCAAGCTCTTTAGTTTATACAGTTAAGGTGTGGCTTTGTGGCAATAACATTGCAGACCACCTGCCATTCCTAGACCTCCAAAACACACCTATATTATTCAAAGACAATTCAGACAGGAAACAATTTCAACCCAGCGAGATGTATCTGACAGATGGATCTTGTGAAAACTCCAGGTAATTAACTTCCAAGGAAATTACCCTCTATCTCAGCTCCACTGTAAATCACTTGAAAAATCTATGAGCATACGAAAGCCCCTCAAGTGTTATGTTGCAAGTCAGAACAGAGACTGGGAGACTTGCATATATTCATCCTACATTTTAGTTGGCTCACCAAATCACCATGGCTCCCTTTATGATCACACACCTACCGTTAGTGTGACTGATGTATTTTCGTTTCATGTCTCGTATAAACGGCCCATATATTCTGCTTATACTATAGAAGCTAGTGACGTAATTCAAATGATCCAGTACAGATGCCTCCTCCAATTAATCCACTTAGAAATATACATTCAGTTTTATTACAGGTATAAAAACATTCAAGTCTAGATTTCACAAAAAGGCAACCTTTCATCCCTTCCCTTATGCAAATGTTGTCAATGTGTCTCTCTTTGCTGCTCAGTTTATAGGTCACTTATCCATTATTGATTATTTCTCCGGGAAAGGCAATCACAAGCAGATTACCAACTAAAGCACACGGCAATTTTATACCTGCACAACCACCATTTCTATAATTTGTAGAAATGGTAGAAAGGACTTGGCTGGTTCAATGTAATTTCCTTTGGGACACTTTTCGCGACATTAAGAAATAAGAAAAATACACCTGAAATCCAATAGAAAGGAGGCATGGGCACTGCACTATAATTTACAATGGGGCACTTCAGGTGGGCAAATGGATTTTTAAATGTTAGTATCCACACAATGCCAGGAGTCCACAAAGATCAGATCAATGATATTAGACATGCAATGATTGCCCAGCAGTATGTCACCTAAGGATGAATGCTCTTGAATGGCTGGTGCACAAGCTACTGATAAAAGTCATTACCTTGCATAATGGCTATGGGAGGCCTTTTGTGAAGACTGGCAGCTACCTTTGAATCGAATGCTGACTCAGTGAATTAATGTAACAACTGAAGGCATGACTTTGAACCACCCCGATGATTCACTTTGTAAAGATTAGCTCCACTTGGGAAAATATACTCCAGTAGAACTACTAGAAGAACAAAGCTCAAAAAGATGGTAATCAATGCTCTATAGAAATACAATTATGTTACTTTCTCAGGCAGATGTGAGCTGCTTATAAATAAGCAAAATCAAGTCTTTGAATAGATCCATTTTCCTTCCTTCCTTTTAATCAAATAAACTAAAAGACAATAAAGTTGGAAAAAGGTGATAATCAGCTACTTTCATCTAATATTCTAATAGTGTAATTCACAAATGTATTAGCCCCCTTAGGCCACACCAATTTAATTTGTTGGTTCTCGGATTCGCCTCTTCGTTTTTTTTCTGATTTGCAAAAAAAAAAATTTGATTCTGGTCCTGAATCAACTGAAAAATGCTCATGTTTTGCCCCCAACAGTTGAGGAAAGTCGTTTTCTTCCTAGTTGTTACAGTTTTCCCATCTATCATTGCAGTGGTTTGATTAAAAGTTCAAAATTCAATGTTTAAATTTTAACCCAGCCTTTTGTGTTGACTTCATGGCTCATTTTGTAGCATTTAAGCCTATAATAGGATGCCTAGACCTGTTTTTATTTTCATTTTTTTCGCCCTGTCGCTTCATATTTTTTCTGAAAAAATCCGAGAACCAACAAATTAAATTGGTGTGGCCTTAATAATCATTGTACATCACAGTACTTGCCTACAAGGGCTGCATAACATCATACCAACTTGTGTTCAAATAACAATGAGTTATTGTTATTTGAACACAAGAACATGACAGGTTCCTTCTTCAATAAAAATATTGCTTCTGTGACAAGATTGAAGCTGACCTTTAGTGTGACATATTGAAAGAAATCAACCCACCTCCGGGCTTTTCATCTTATATTTGCTCACAATTAGATCCCAAGAGCTATGTGAACAAGAGGGGGTGTCAACATTCCCGGATGTAATTATATTAGATACACATCCTGTCATCACCTTTCATTCTTGATTTCTTGTTATCAAATATCATTCCAATGCATTTTGAAGTACCTGTAAGTTTTTGTGCTGTTCTCAGAAATTCAACATAATATTGCAAGTATGCTAAAAAGTGGTTGTAACCTTATGTGTCATTCACATGAAGATTTAGTTCTTCAGAATATTTAACCTGTTACAGTTTCAGAGCCAAAATATTTCCTGACGCCCCTTTAAAAATAAGGTTCCAAAAGGTTAAACATCTTCTGACATCTGCCAAAGCAGATTCAGCTTGACCTGAATTGGCGGCACTGATCAATAAACTCAGTCTCAGGATGGTACAAGTGGGGCAAAGGCACGTGGACAGGATCAATAGAGGGGTGGAACAGACAAACATTTAAATTATATAAGTATTGTTTGTTTTCAACTGGTAAGTAAATGTTGAAAGTCTGGGGCAAGAGCACAAAGTCTTGGTTTGTCATTCCCGTCTGCGTATGCTGAAAAGCTAGCACCTTGCTAAACAGTAATAATATTTGAAAAACAGGTGAGGTATAAATTATGTAATCAAAAGGAAGTGGTTGTTTACTGCAGGGTACTTGCCAACACATGTCACGATTCTCAACCTTATTATGTACCTGGTGATAAGGTGCACTAATAACAACCCAATGTGAACTCCTTCAAAATAGGCTGGACAAACATGTATGGAGAATCACCCAGTGATGTATGGTTACACGGCCTTGGACATGGTCCGGAAAATTATGACAATCAGGTGAAGGGATGAGTGGCCTCAACTGGAAGTGATCTTCCTACCTGGCTGGATCTACTAACAAAATTCCACCGTCCCAGGTTCAGCTGCCCAAAGAACCCCACAATCACAATAGGGTACCTGTGGTGTATGGTCTGATGGGAGGAGTCTATTTCACAAGCAAACAAAGGACAATAACAAATGCCGGTATTGAAAGGCTCCGGTGTGGTGAATCGTAATTACAAGTTCTAACATGTTACGTGTAACGTTACAACTCTTATAACAAAGTTTATATGGATGTGATTTAAAGAATTCATGAAAGTGTAAGGAATAAACACAGTTAAATATATATCTTTATTTATATCACAATTTATTTCTAGGCTCACCTTTTCTGAGTCGTGTGCCTCAAACGCATGGAATGCGAAGGGCGAATCTGAAGATTCCCTCGTCAGGTATGCAAAGCAGGTAGGGTAGTGCAGATTCCTGGCCATTCTGGCGACTTGTTGGAGTTTGTGTTCGAAGAGGACGCCGTTGTCTTCGCCCTGGGGCGAGCCGCGGACGGTGGACTTGGTGAGCTGCAGAGAGATTTCTTGACGGGCCGGGCCGCTGGTTCTTCTCAGCTCCGCAACGACCCATGGCAACATCGGCGACGTGTAGCGGCGGTCGAGAACACACTTCCCCAAGTACCACAGCCGAAACGGACCCTTCTTGGTCGCCCTGTCGTTGGGGGGATCAGGAACGATCGGGCTGGTTGGACTGAGGGGCGAAGGTGTTCCAGGCTCGGAGTCCCCCGATTCTGGGTCCTGTTTGGTCGGGCTTTGCATGCCGTCAGGATCGGGGGCCGCCGAAGGCGAGCCGCCGTCCCCTTCAATCAGCGAGCCGATGCCGCTATCGGCTGATTTTCGGTTGACGATGGACACCTTGTCGTCCATTTTTCTTCCTCGAAGGATCCTGAAGAGAATCCCGCTGTCCCTGTTGTAAAACGTGAGCAGAAATCGCTGATCAAATTTTGAAAATTTCAGCCCAATCCGCCATGATGAATAATGATGTCATGTCCCCAGATCAGCTGACCAATCTCGGTCCCAGGGTGATATTTCCATATTGTACAGAAAGACAGCCCCACGACAAAAATTGAAATAAAAATAACGATGTGGAATAAGTTACGAAGATATTTCTACCTTTTCACTGAACAAAGTATCATTAAACCACGCTGTCTGAAAGAAAATAGCAAATTTATTATCTGACCTCGTCCCCAGATCTAGCTGACCAACTTTCTCTTCGAGGGGATTGTTCATTTGTACAGTACAAATAACTGCCCAAAACATTGAAATGCAGTTTAATCACATCTAAATATGATGCATCTAAATAATAGTCATATAGAAAACATGGAAAACTGTAAGAATTCATAATCTCAAAATTCAGTGTTTGTTAAATCTTTAAAAATACGGCCACGGAGACCCTGCCTTGGGTGATTACATCATTTTCCCGCCGCTGGGCTTGGTGGGAAATTTCAACATGGCGGACGAAAAGCAGAGATGGCTTCCGCTGGAATCCAACCCAGAGGTAAAATTTACAACGATTTTCTCCAGTAAACCTTGGTCACGCTTTCTTGAAAATTGTAGCTTTGATGTCACTCTTAAATTTGTCACCTAAATCGCCGTCTTGTTGTATTTTTCAGGTGATGAACAAGGTGAGAAAAGTGTGCCACCGTTACCTCATTTTTGTCGTCTGGTCACGCACGCTGCTGTCTCTTGTCCCAGTAAAACGCCCCTGAGCATGTAACGTCGGTCTCTCAGGTGAAGTTTCTAGAACGTCTCGCTTGAAAGGCAGCGCCCTGGGTTGTGGAGAAGCAAAGGGAGAGATAGTGTTCGGACTGAGACATTGCCTAGACTGTACGTAACCGGGGCAGCATGTTTGAACATGTGGTTTTGGGTGGGGGTGGGCAGACTGAAACCATGAGTCATCATTCTAAAAATTGTCCCAAAACGGGAAGTTGGAATCTCCCCTGTCTAGCGGCGGACAGGTTTTCATTTTCATCTCCATTGACCGTGGTAGAACGGAAATGTTTTATCGTTGAAGTCATTCCGATTTTTCTTTTTCTTCTTTTGAGGTGATTTGTTGTCATTCCAGCACCATGGCCAGTATCAATGGGTGCTAGGTAGCAAATAACGGCGTGAATGAGGCAATCTACATGCACTGTCATCCATATCAATGGGACAAAAAGGCTTCTGTGACAATTGCCCCAGCTAGTTGTATAACGTAGTTGGTTGTTAATCCTAAATGATGGGAAGGATGCATCTAACGTTACATGTAGTAGCTCACTACCTCATCTAACCATGTTTCATAACCATGCAAGTCACTATAGCAGTCATGCCAGTAATCCTAATCAATGGTGAAATGTACATTTAAAAATGTATAAGCAAATTCAGTTGTCAATCGTTCAAATCCCAATGGTTTGTTTTTCTAATAAACTGGAGATCATTGAGTTTGCCTAACAAAACACATGACATTCATTTAGACTCATAAAATCATTTGGAAAATCGTCAGGAAGGAAGCCTGTCACACCCAGTGTCAAATAGAAGGTGCACAAATAGTACAATGCAATGTATCTTGAATGGTCCAGTGTGGTGTACAAGTAGTGCTCAGGCTGCAGGCATGACAACCAAAGACGGGACTATTGCATCAGATCAGAGATGTTAACAATAAACAAAGAAATATCATCACAGATTACATCATTCCAGTGACATATATCAATGATGTCATGATGTGTCTGTTGTCTGTTGTGGACTTGTATAGACATGTACATTACATGTCATGAGCTTAATTCAGATGTCTTCCCAAATGTTGACTTTTGTCAGTTTTACTTGAAAACATGACCTAATGCTGACCAGTGGAAAAACCAACAATGACCACTGGGTTGTCTCAGTGGCTTCCGCAAGGGCAGCGTGTTTTTGTCACGTCACCGATGGAGCAACTCCCATGGCAAAGAAAACAAGGGAAAGACAAGACTGCACACAATGAGAGCAAACCTCCACTTAGAGCTGTGTACCGGTACGCAGTACCGATACTGTACCGGTAAAATTGATTAGGTACAGGTCCAAAATACCTAATCCCTCAGTACCGGTACTGTACCTAAACAATTTCACACCAATTTTATGCCTATTTGTGACCTCAAATGTGTAAATAGCTGGTTAACAATGGGTCCCTGTGTAAGGACAGTGTGTTCATGAAAACAAAAACATATATATAGCCTATATTTTATCTGAACATTCGCCATAAACAAAGAATAAACCTTAACTATCAAGTTTATTTATGTTTTTTTTTGTTATTGAAGGAGTTTAGAAGAGCATATAAATTGGTCGAATTGTTCAGGTACAGGTTCAGGTCCGGACCTGTACCTAAACCTGTGTACCTGTACCTGTACCTAAAATTTGTTTAGGTACACAGCTCTACCTCCACTTCATCTAGCAATGATAAAGGATTGGTCACTCAAAAATCTTGATTCCAGCTTTTGTTTCTTAGGCCATGGTCTCCACAAATTGTCATAAAAAAATCCATTTGAATTATGCTGTTAGTGTACCAGCAGATGTGGGTAAAAACATAGTAACGCGTTACATGTACCCTTCATGGCAATTGTGAAATACATATAGATGTAGATATAGCCCGAATAGCTTATGTCATGCAATAGTATAAATTTACGAGGATTGGCTGTTGTACAGGACCTTTGGAAGAAATGCAATGCATGTGCCAAATTGGCTTTTATTTCTGTTTATAAAAAATCAATGTTTCACATGGCTGTTGCTGTCCCTGTCTCTGCTTCACAGCTTCCTTGAAAAACCATTATCATTGGTTAACTACTTTAGAACTACATGTACTGGTTTCTGCTCTAATTCAGTGTGAAAATGTCTACCATTACCCCAAGTAAAGCTACCAGGGAGTCTTTGCAAGCTTCCTACAAAGCATGCAGACGTGTTTCACAGAAGCCTTTCCATGTAAAAATATTTTCTTTGTCTTACCTCTGACATACACCAGATGCATGTGATGTAGCCTTGACTTGGAAGCAGGGCTTACTTGGCTGTTACTTCCATAGAGCACAGCTTGCGCTGAAGTCTTTCTAAGCTGTTGGATTTATACTGTAGACACAGCTTAGTTCGGTGCTCTCTAGTTGCCAGTTGGTGCCAGAATGAGTTAAAGGCTCTCCAAGTGGAGTAACACTCCAGAAGGGTTGCATGGATCAATGAAACAAGGACAGGAATGATGTCATAGCCTTGCATTGTTTTGTGTTGGGGTTCAATTTCAACATCTATGTAGCCTTGAGTAAGCACGTACACTATCGGATACCATAACAACTATGATTTGTTTATTCGCTGTGGAACAGTGCCAAATTGACAATATATTTACTGATAGCATGGACAAGCATACGGTACATAACCCACGTATGAAGTCATCATATGATGTCATCTTTAAGTTAAGGTATGACAATGATTAGAATTTGAGTGAAGTCCTAATTCTGAATGTTGGCACCATTCTCATTGAAAAGACTTGGACGTAAGTAAAAACAGTCAACAATAGAAAGATTAAAGTAACTTTGAAGCCAAATGCTAAATCATTGGGAAGTTCATGTAGGCACTGCCCCCTTCAGGACAAATACTGAACTCCAGAAACACACACACACACACAAACACACATAATGTAATTAGGTGTCCAAAATGAAAACTGATATTTCTGAGGGTTGGCTTTGTTCATGTACTAGGGAATCAGAGACTACAAGAAATTTTGTACAATGAGTTTTTCCAGAATACAGTTATCTGATCAAATGGACACTAATGTTTATTTCAGCCCACCATTTAATGTACAAGTATTCCGAAGATTATTGGATGAAAGGAGCAGAAAAGTTAACTTGTCACTGACAAAAAACCTGTATTCGATGTGTTTTCTGGTTGTGTTGTTAGTTTGTGAAGGAGCTGGGGATGCCAGGCAGCTGGTCGTACACAGATGTGTTTGGGCTGGATGATGACTTGCTGGCTATGGTGCCTCAGCCTTGTGTGGCTCTACTGCTGCTCTTCCCCATCAATGATAAGGTAAGGTATAAATGTACTTATTTTTCAGTTTTAAAATTTTGTGACTATCAGTCCATCTTGTCATAAAAAATTTGGAGGTCAGTATCCTTACCCTTCCAACTTGTCACTGTTGAAAGAGTTCTCTAGTAACTATATCTATACGTGACAAATGAATCTCTTCGACGATCAATACTAATCTAATCTTCGATTTCTTAAATATTCTCAGTATGAGGTGTTTCGTAAGGGTGAAGAGGAGAGAATAAAGGAGGCTGGTCAGAACATCACTCCCAAACTGTACTACATGAAACAGACAATAGGGAACGCCTGTGGGACCATCGCTCTTCTACACAGTATTGCCAACAACCAGGAGGCTATCAAGCCAGGTGACAGACACTTTTATCTATCTACTGTATTTTATCTATCTACTGTATCTATCTACTATCTACACAAAATGTGTATACTTTACATGTATTAATGAGTACAGTATTGCATTGGTCTTTATTAGGTATTAAATGAAAACAAGTCATGATTGTTGCTTCCCTCAAAGGGCATTTTAATAAACCAAACCAAACCAACTTAAGTTCTTTTGTTTCCTGTTCTGCGCAGAGAAAGCTCTGAAGACATTTTTGGAAAACACAGCCAGTATGGATCCAGTTGAAAGAGCTGCGTATCTAGAAAAAGATGAGGTAGGGTCATTTTCTCCAGTTTTAGTTTTACATGACTAAATGCATTTTGACTTGAAAGTCTTAATTTGTGGCACAAAGCAACTTTCCTTTGGAATTTTGTGTATCTCCTTGAGTGACAAAATATCCTTGTATAAATCATTGGTAGATTTTGAACCAACCATCTGCTTTGTTTCTTCCCCAGTCGATCAAGGTTGCCCATGAATCAAGTGCCCTGGAAGGACAGACAGAGGTATGAGACATCGTTATCAGAGACAATAACTGTGCCTTTCACAAACATGCAAAAGCCTTAGGGAACAGTTTATATTTGATACAGGATTGTTGAAAAGTTCAATTGTCATTGCATACTAGTAATACGGAGCTTTTGGTCAAGATTTTGCCCCTTGTTTTGATGAGTTATCTTTCTCCCCATTTTCCCCCCCAGACCCCCAGCCGTGATGACGAGATCAACCTTCATTTTGTGGCCTTGGTGCACAAGGAGGGGGAGCTGTATGAACTGGGTACGTCCTTGGGTTCCTGTACCAAGGTTGTTTAAAGTTGAAAAGTTTCCAGCTGGCTCAGTTTGTGAACGGGATTTCTTTGCCCCAAGAAGTGATGGATGTGCAGTGTTTTATAAGGTTCTTCCCCACATGGGCTGGTATTAAAGCGCTACCTATCAGAATACTGTAGAACTTCAGGAGTGGTGATTCTACTTTCTCTCATTTCTAAAGCAACATGACCATAATGTGTTTTTTCTTTCTTTCAGATGGTAGAAAGCCTTTCCCTATCAACTGGGGGAAAACCACCCCTGACAGCTTCCTTGCGGTATGCACTTTTCTCCTTTGTCTTTGCCTCAATCAAAACTGGTGGTAGCCTGTTCCATTTTACCTGTATCCAAAGAAAACACTGTTAACGGTTAACTTTTGGTGTTTGGGGTTGTATTTGATGTTGTGGGGTAGTGTGGTGCAACGGCAGAGTGCTTGACTCAGAACCAAGAGTCCGAGTCCTGACATGCCTGATGCCACTGATCTTGTGCCCGTGGGAAAGGCACTTAACACAGCTTTCCCCACTTAAGTAAAAAAGAGTATTGTCTTGTATTTTGTCCTGTATTTGTTTCTATGTGTGGGACACAACACCTGCAAAAGCTGCCTGTGTCTCATGTGAATTGCACTGTTGCAATTTCAATAAATCAAATCATTTGATGTTTTACAGGATGCAGCCAAGGTGTGTAAGGAGTTTATGAACAGGGATCCGGATGAGCTGCATTTCACCATCGTGGCACTGGCCCAAACCGGTTAATTCTGGCCCAAACTGGTTAATTCTGTACCAACCAGCTGGAACAGCCTGCGAAGCTGCATCGTGGAATCAATAGTCACAGGCAGGCACCGCCTGGAAACTCCTCTAGACTTCCAGAGGGATCTGTCACTGTTAGAAATATTTGGCACTTTTTGCTCCCACCTAATTGGATAGATCCCATACCCTTACCCACCTTGATCAAAATGTGCAAATGCAAAACAATGACAAAGAAGTATTTCATAATTTTAAAAATCAGATTGTCAAAATGAAGACATGACTTTGTGATTTTGTTTTTACACATTTATAAAGGGTGGTAATTACCCTTCTTTTGTAAACAAACAAAAGTTCTCACAGTATTTTCTTTTGTTAGATTTCTGTGTGATATTTGTTTTAAAGTCATGCAACTCTAGAGGAGTTTCTGTGGATTGTTGCCTGTGTTGTCTATTAGCACACTGCACTGCATGGAGCAAGTGCCATTGAGAAATCAGTGTTTTCTGTGTTTGTCACCAGTTGCAATGTCACAATGTCAGTCAGCTCTACGTCAATATTGCAGCTCTATCGGAGAAGGAAAAGTCTGTTATAAGATGCAAAAGGAAATACAGTATGTAACCCTTAAAACAGCAGTAGAAATTAACCCAGGACTAACATTCCATTCATTCATTTCTGTTAGAAGTTCCAAAATGATTAGGTAGAATACAATTAAGTACATGTGCCATTAGGTAGCCATTAACAGTTGCAGTTTTCTCAGGACGAGTAACTTCAAATAGTATTTCTCTTGATCGAAGTGTCTGCCTTGAAGTCCTACCAGTTTGGCCACGTAAAGTTTTACCTTGGTTGTCTATTAAGTAAATGAAACTGAATTTTCTACTTTGTAAAAGAAGCTGAATTCGAAGTGTGTTGTGCTAACACAGTTTCACACAGATTGTCTATGAAAGACATTTTTTGTCATTCTTCTTTTCTATCTTCTTTGCTTCCTTCAGTTTTTAAAATGTGTTGGAACTAAATTATTACAGTGGTGTTGCCCTGATGTAGAATGGGCATAAGAATGTTTGCTAAAAACAGGACCAGTGGTTTGTATACCTGGAAGCCTAGATTGAAGTAGCCTCAGGTCTAAAGAGCATGTGGTTTATTTGTTTGCCTTGAGATAGGAAAAGTACTTGTGCAATGCCATTGCTATCTAAGGAAAGGGACAGGCTGCTACAACAGAAAGATGCTATGTATACCAACAGATGTTTCAAGAGACTTTGCTCCCTGACATCAGATGCGAGAAACATCTTAGAATGCTCTGAGAGAAACTAAATGTATGGAACAGAACCTGTGGTTTGTATATCTGAAAGCCTACATTGAAGTACCGGTACCCTCAACTATACATGGAGGTTCTGCACATTTGGTCTCCATTTATGAAAGGCTGGTAATGTTTTTGAAATGAAGCTGGAAGGAAACAATGAATGTTGAAGACAGGAGGTAGATGTAGTCTCTTTGAGATGACCATGTGTGTGCTACTGGCTAATGTTGTGTTGTGGTGAGAGCCAAATGTGCTTTAAGCTAGCACCAAGTGCAAGGACAAGTACAAGCACAATAAAATCAATTCAGACTCGAACACAGCCTTGTCACAATTTTATTAGGTTTACTACTATATACAATACAGGTACTATATACATGTACAGGCGATCTGTAGACAATCTCCACGAACAGCAGACGATAAACCAGATACTGAGTGAGTGGGTGATGCTGTCATAAACTTTAGCCTCTTTTCAGAAAGTATATCATGATACGATGTTTTAACTGCTATCCAAGGCAGACTTCACCCTTGCAATCTGCAGATACAGGAAAGAGAACATACAAAAACATTTGTACATATACAGGTAGGTAAAGCAGTTTACAAATTTGAGGTATCAATGCTCTGAAGATTAAGGCAACTGTTTTACATGGATACATACATATCACTTGGAGTATTACAAAATCACAATCTCTGGTTCAACACTCCACTCACCTCTGCTTCTTTCCTGGCCTCTTCTGCCCGGATGGTATGTACATCCGCCTGGAATCGTTGCTGCACAGAAAACAAAAGTCAATGAGTTCCTGAACAACTGATTCTATTAGTTTATAACAGGCGAAGACTAGCATGATGATTGGCTCTTTGTTTGAACCGAGAACATTTTGCAAGTTAAAGTTACAAGTATCCATGGTAAGAATACAAGCATGGCTTAAAATCAGTCTGAAATAGGACAGATTCATCTTTAGTTGTCTTGACCATAAGTTCTATGTTACTTTTTTCGTGTCAATGTTTTTCATTTCTGTAACCTTTTACGTACCAAAGGATACCTGAAAAACAGGTCACAGACCTCAGTGTGACCTACTGGTAAAACAATGAGGAAAGAAAGTGAGTGAATGTAATGAGTACAGAAGCAGACCTCCCTACATGGACAGCCCCACTTCCTTACCCTGAGCGCCTCGTTGCCGACCCCCCGGGCGATTTCCTCCTGCAGGTTTCTCTTCTCCTGCAGCCTGGCCAGGTCCGACTCCAGCTGCTGCAGCTGGGTCTGTAGACTTCCTGCAGTCCAGAGGACATGGGACAAAGGTTCAGCTGTATATATATTCAACCTTCTTGCAAGGAACATATTGAGCCTAGCCTGGGTGCCAGACCCTGGCATTTCATAAGCGATAGATTTTTAGGGGAAAGAAACCCTCATGTCTGCTTGTCACCAAAAGCATCTGCCCAAGCCTTTTATCCATCAGGGAGATCATTAGAGCCAGGGTGCCGACTAGGGCTTGGCGGGCGGAGCATATGGCTTCCCCGTCCAAAGGAGATTATCACTCACTCACGAAAGGGGCTGGCATCCAGGCTACATTGAACCCTGTGGTACAGGTACATGTATTACAAAGTTCCTCTCCAAACAGAGGTGCATGTGTTTTTTAAATGTGTTTAGGTGTTTTTTTAGCTTTCTTTTTCTTACCAATATCTTTTTTTTTATGCCAGAACATTTCTAAGAACTTCTGAAGAAAAATCACCTCTATCAGAAGTGCTAGTGTCTTGTTTTCGTTCCATCTTCGTGCCAGAAGTGGATGGAACAGCTTTGCTGGACTGGCTCTTCCCCTCACCGGCAGCACCCCTACTAGCCTCATCCTCCGAGTCCATAATATTCACATCCTCTTCTTCGTTTGGAGGTGGTCTCATCTCCTCCCCCTCTTCCTCATCAGAGCTGCTCACGTCTTTGAACAGCTCATGGAGGTCATTGTCAAATGCTGTAAGATGTGGTGTAGAAAAATTTGTTATATGACCTAGTCATTTAGCAACATTACATCAACATACATACATACATATATATCCAGGCTTTAAAATTAAAAAGCACAGATTACCACAATTAACTTACTTGGTACCACAATTAAACCAGGTGTAAAATGGTACCTAAATTCAATTGGGAAGCTGAAAGTCAGTGGAGGGAGAGGGATTGGCTCTGCCATTGGCTAATGGACACTCCTCTTACCAATGGATACTGCCTTGCCACTGCATGATATGCTTGGAGATTACCTACAGCCTCAAAAATGCTATGGACCTTTTTTACCATGGAATTTCTATTAGTACTCACTCATGCTGGCCTCCCCACCTTGCACCACTGCAGCACTAGAAGATGGGGAGGGGATCTCCAGCCCGCCCAGGTTCACCTCCGGCTTCTGCTCCTTGTTCTCATTCTCATCATCTGCTATCACCTCCCATCCTGACACACATGGTCAAGGAAACCATGGCTTGCACTAGCCTGACTAAAGTGAGCTCTTGGGGGTTATTAACCTCCGGCCAAGAGGGATTGTGTAACACAGGCTAGGGTTTGCACTATTTTTACTCAGTTTTCAAGTGTGGACCTTCTATTGAGATTATCACAGATAATACATCAACATTTCAACACAACTTTTCAATGCCTCACAAGGCAAGTACATGTACCATTTGAGTAAATTGGTAAATGGCGCAAGCAACACACCACTTCTATAGCATTATACTTGGGAAGAGAAAGACTTCCAGTCAGTAATTACTGAGACATCTAGCCAACCAAAGTCTCATCATCATGACCAGGTCATGATGGTTTCATGGATGCCCATAACACGCTTCCTCAAATCTACAGATTTTTGTCATCTTTTGCCCTTAGTTACATCATTGAAACGTGGTTTAATTTTCCTAGTACAAAGTACAAAGTACAAAAGTACAAAGTAATGACAATAAACCAGACATAGAAGGATACGGACATTAACCGCCTCATTGTCCACCTTCAGCAGCCGCTTGACTTCCTTCTCCACATCAGGACTTTCAATGTACTTTTTCTTCATCGTTTTCCTGAATCTTCTCTTGCGAACATTCTTCAGGGCTGGCGTGACACCGTGGTTATGGAGGAACTTCTTATCCTTGTCTTTCTTCTGTGTAGTGTCGTCCACTTCCTCTTCCTTGGCATCCTGATCCTCTGTGCTACAAACCAGCATCTGACAGATGTCGTTTGTCTTGTACAGTGTCTTCTTGTCTATTGTTTTATGAGACTCGATGACACACGGCAGGTCCACAAGCTGGAAAAGATTAAATGTATGTCATCAGAAAGTATAAACCTTCTTCCTTGGATAACTTGTACCGAGGTAAGAATTTCTCCCTTGGTTGGGGATTGTACTGTAGCCTAATGTAGGGTCTGGGAGATACTGGCTTAGTTACTTCCGGGACAAAAGTATTGTTTGGGGTGGCTCTGGTTTGTATGTATCTTGTCCTGAGCAGTGAGAATTGGAACTGAGTGGGCTGAGATTTGGTTTCAGTTGATTGACAGGGTTGTAACCCAGCTACAGTATGCCCTGGGGTGGTAGGATGTGGTTTGATGCCACCAGGTATAACTGTACTGTGTAATCCTGGTACCGGTATAAACCATAAGTAATCTCTGATTTCTTTTAAACTTTAAAGAAAGAAAATGAAACTTGTGTGTTTCTGATGGAGCAATCTTTCAAGACTAGTAATTTTGTAATATTGATAACAGAAGTTTCCTTCTGACAGCTATCTCCTGGTTTCACCGTACCTTTGCCGACAGAGCCTCCCCATCAAACCTGACCGTTGCGTGTCTCTGGTCAGCCTGGAACTCTATGGACAGCCTGTCCTTCACGTTCTGACTGCCCGCCTGGACAGCCTTCCTCAGGGCCTCCGTCTGCGCCTGAAAGGAAGGACCCTTGGTAGAGGGCAGGTCTCATCAATATTGGTGTTTCCACACTATCTATACTTCCAGTAGTAACTTACCATTGTGTGTAATAAGGTCACAGGCAGAAATCTATAGGTTTAAAACCATCTTCCAAATGTTACAATCTAAAAGGCATTCACATTGTTTTTGTAGACCAACTTCCTTGAGTAGACTTAGTGTTTCATGTTGATCTATGAGACGTCTTGAATCCGAAAGTTGCATAATTTGCATCCTATAGGGGATGTCTTATAAGTCTTCTTTTCTAAGCCATTGCACCCAAAAAAACTAATTGGGGCCTAAACTAATCCCCACTACCTTTGTTCTAATTTTGACAACGCTCTTGCCAAGGATCTCCTTCCTCTTACCTTGGGCATCCGCAGAATGAATTGTTGTTCCAGCTCAAAGGGAAGGTCATCCTTCATCTGCTTAGCCTTGCTTTGATTCTCCTTGTTCTTACTGACCGATTTGGACATGTTTCCTTCCTGTGAGTTACTGTTTAGGAGGGCAAATTCGTGAAAATTTACCAAACAACTTCAAGCTTTCTCTATCTTTCCACCATGTTAGATGTGGACGACTACACTGGCGGCTTAGGGGTGTAAAATATGACAAAAATTTTAATATTTAAACTTATTGGGGTATCTTAATACACCTGAAGCAAGTGATATGTACAATATTTTTTCTCAGAAATATATTGTTTATCAATTTTAAAACGTTTGCTTCAAGCTTCGAATGAACAATTTGATATTTTTCACGTATGGAATCTTCCAGTTTCCCATGGTTCCACTGCCAACATGGCTGGCTTGCAGAGTGAATTTTCCGAGCTTATAGAACTGCTCGAAAAAGTTCACCATTCCTGCGAGAAAAAGAGACAAGAAGTAGAACTCTCCTGTCAGGACTACAGAGAGATCCTTGCTCCGTGGCCAGACGAAGGAAAGTCAGCAAAACAGGGACAGGAACGAGAACAAGAGGCAGAAGTTTCGAAGGGGGAGGGCGCAACTGGAGACATTCCTGAGCGGGAAATTCAAGAACTGAAGTTGCTGGACAACGTTTTGGCGAAAGCCCAGAAGGTTAGGAAAAGACACGAGCGGACAGTTAGAGAAGATGATCTTCCCGATGAAGTCATCATCAACGAAACTACGGTGGAAACGTCAAATCAGAGATACGACGAGGAAAATTGTAAAGTCAAAGACGATGGGGAAAGGACGGAATCAGGCAGAATAAATCAACAAGTAGGTAACGGTACGTCTAGAGGGAAAACGGTGCAAGGCAATGATCAGGTAGCCACTATCAGTAAGACAAAGTTGAACAGGCTCATCAACACATCATCAGCAAAGACTCCATCCGTGTCAGTAAAGGTACTACCTCCCAAATCAAGCCGCCCACCTGTTGGAGTGAAGAAGTCTTACAAGTTACAGGCTCCTTACAAGACTGAACCAACCAGACCTAAGGTGCCATCCCGGTCCCAGAGGCCAGGTTCAAGGCCAATAAGTGCCTCCGCGCGAACAAGTCAGGTGTCGCAGACAAGATCATTGTCAACCAGACCAAACGTGACATTAGCTAGCAGGAAAGTTCCTGATAATAAAAAGAGAACTGTTACACGGCCACCGTCTCATCAGCATGAAAATAATGTGGTATCCTCTAGTGTAACTAAACATGCTGCGTCAACATCTGAAGACTTGCCAGAGATGAGAAAAGAGGTGGGAAGGAACCCAGCCAATCAGCAGTCTGCTGACATTGCCAAGTGGCTGGAAGATGTCAAACTCTCAGGGATTGGTGAAGGTGATCAGGTAACAACAGCAGCATTACAACATGAGGAAGACCAAGACACAGAAAAGAAGAGGTTTTTGCTGAAAGATGATGCCAGTAAAATTGTCATCCCAGGAAAATGGAAGAAGCTGTGTGTACAGAATCATAAACTCAGACAAAAGGTTCAAGAAATGCAACTGAAGCTAGAACAGTCAACTCACAGACAACATTTTGTGGACAGATTGGAAAGTAGATTCTCAAACAATGAAGAGTACTCAGATGTCGAAGTTCCGTATACACTGGTAGACATTCAGAGAAAGAAAGGTAGACTACTTGAGATGGTGGAAGAGGCAGATATTCAGAGTTTATCTCAGGAATCGTCATGGCAGGATATCTGCCACGTGAAGGTACTACTGGAGTTTGTACATTCACAACTCCAAGAGCTCATTTCAGATGTGAGCCAGATAGAAAATATGTCAGCAGTCAGAAACAGCAAGCAGGTACAGCTATCTGCCCTGACTTCAGCAGAAGGAATGAGTGACACAACATCTTCTGTGAACTCTCAAATGTGGTTACCTGACGAATTAGTGCAAAGAAAGTGTGTGGAAATGTCTTCTTTCCCTGAACCCATGGTTTACCATGATCCAAAGGACCTGAAGAGAATTGTTACCTTACAGCACGAGGCACAAATCTTACAGCTCCAGATCCACATTCAGAAACTGGTAGGAGACAAAATCCTGCCCATGCTACAGACTATGGACAGGAAGAACCCAATGTTCCTCTCACTGTACAGGACAGTCTACTCCATACTGACCACAGGTGGGGAAAGGTTCCCTACACTGGTCAGAGATGTTTAGACCTAGCTGAACTACAGCCTTGTATTGAAATGTACTGTTCTGATGTTGAGAACCATATCTAAAACTATGCTTGACTTTAAAAAATGTTGTCCACATAATGCCATACCTATGGTGCCTTGTGCATTTGATGGCTTTAGATCTACATTAGAGTACTAGTACATGTATATATTATTATAACTGTAATACAGCAAAGTTGTGAATTTGCATTGATTACGCAGCTCTTTGACAATGTATGATCCTAATAAGCAGTGGAAAGCAGGGTGCAGTTTGTTGCAATAAATATCTTTATGCTCTTGTCAAGTTGTCCAATTTGTGTTCATCTATACTATAGTAGAGGCATTTCAATGCATCGTGTGAAATACATGTTACAATGGACCAGATTTGATCTGGTCCAGGTTCTTTAGCGTATACATGTATTTAACGTGTGAGTAAAACTGTCCTCATCATGTACTAATTGTCTTCTTAATTAATTTGTCATTACATAGGCTGTATTGATATCACATCTACACCAGACTGATGACAAAGTAGACAAAAACATTTGCAAGAAGCATCATGCTTACGAACCAGAATGACTTTATTTTTCATCTACATGATGCTAGAGGGAAATACTAAACACACTTGTAACTACAGGTATTGTGTATAATGATGCTAGGAAGTTGAGGTATGGTTACAGAAGAACAGTATGGCACAGCTGTACAAAATCTGATGCATTGTCATGAGAGTGGGTAGTGCATGAAAAATGTGCTTGTAAATATAATGTACATTGTGTACATATACATTTCTGGCATATTGGTATTTTGGGTTTAAAAGATTGACATGATCTTATACCTGACTACTGTAACTACCAGTATTTGACACTTCTCATTCATAGTTTTTTTGTGTGTAAAAGCATTATATTTCAAATCGTTGTCAGAAACACCTGTGCATTAAAAAGGCTTACACTTAAAATGCAATGAGACATTTGTCTCGTCTTCGTCCATAAATTTAAAATCACTCTAATGTCATTTCTACATGCACAGAATACCCAGCCCCATGACATTGCTATTAGCAGATTTATAACTGGTGCTTTCCTTGATTTTCCTTCAAATCCTGCTAGCCTACCCCAGAAAAATAGACAATCCAAATGTTTGCATGAACATGTATGTCTGTTTATGTTATAGTAACAAAAATAGTTTCATATACACTGCTAGACATCGTTCTTATGGTTAGCACTGTTATGTACTGTTCCTATTTTAGTTTTATAATGTACTAGTACACCTTAGTAAACAATGCCTGTTACCCAAGAGGTACATGGCACATTTAGATGAGACCAAATAACACAACATTTTGTAACTAAGAACTCCTTTCTAAAGCTAAAGCTCTACCTATATGTTTTATTTCAATACCACAGTTTACACAATATATCTGCCTCTATTTGCTACCTTCAGACAGAATACAAGTGAATGGCACAAAGTTAGTACATGTACATATAGACTACATGTAGTTCTAATTTTTACAGTGTACAAATACATGTACATGTATAACATGGCAAGCACAAGACATTTAATTTCTCTTTGATATCATCAGATCTATGAACAGAAACACAAGCTAACATCAACATTTTATAAACTAATCTGTTACATCTTATTACATTCAACTTATATTTTACAGCAAACAACAGTGCAACCAGTACAAAGTACAAATCAAGACAGATGTAAGGAATTCACAACTCACATATAGCACAGTACGATCAAGGGAAACAGACAATACAGGGGAAATGATGAGTTTGCTTGATACACAACAGACACATAACAATAGGAGTGAGTGCAGTGTTCAATCACTCAGGGATGTCCCAGGAAGATTATAATTGGACAGGAGGAAACCTTATAAACAATATTTAATGATGATTACAGTTCAAAAGGCCATCTTATCTCTCCAGACAGATATTCCTTAAATACTAAGTAGTAAGTTCAACACTGCTAAAGGAGAAATTGCACTTTAACAAGACACCCCATGAACACCCTGAGAAATAAAAGTACAAATGATGATTCCAAGTTCCTGTCCAGAGTAATAGCGACCATCATGGATGTCATGGTGGAACACAAAGAAATTATTCGGATCTAAAGGAAATAATTATGAAGAAAGAAGAAAAAAATCTGCATCTTCATCACAGTTGAACAGAATAATAGTAGGGAACAGGATAGACTGAAAGGAAAGGCTTCATAGAGGAATACATCATTCAAATACAGTTCACAATCACATCTGATTCATTGTAAAAAGATGAGACAATTGCAATATTCACTTTGACCAAAATATTTAAATGTGCAAAAACAATTTTATCCTGATTTTGTAGACTTTCACACAAGACACCATTTCAAATTTTGTACATTATTCATACACCTATTTGCATTATTCACAACATAGACCATAAATTTTCAAAATAAAGACAATATACGGGAAGTACATGTATTTGCTCCAATGTCCCCTTGTGAGGAACAGTGAGTTCTCAGCAGCTTGAATGTTGCACACTGTAGCAGGGCTCTAGCCAGCTCAAAATCTTTTTCCATCAACCCAGGTTCATGATCTGGGAGTGCTTGCAATCTAGGGGGGGTCCAGGGGCAAATTTTGTATTTTCAAGCCTTAAAAAACTGTAATTTCTCACATTTTGAGAGGCATATCATGGGTTTGTAAGTGGCTGTTGGTGGTTCTTTGGATGTTTTTATATTTTTATACCCGAGATTTTTATCAATTTTGTCCATAAAGGTTGACGGATTGGTTGAATTTTTGCTCCGTCACATGCCACAAAGTTCCTGCAGTTGACAGAAAAACGGGTGCTGGCTAGAGCCCTGTACTGTAGTGAGATGAGATCAGAGCGGCCGGGGGCTGTGCAGGCCGACAACGTCCTCAGTCAGGTGGGGGAAGTGGGTGGCACCTCGGGGGGCCCAGTCTCCCAGAGAAGGGTACATACTCATCCTGAAATATAGTAAAGAAAGGGAGTGATTTTGTAGCTTCAAACAAAACTGGTTGACTTGAGAAAAGTGTATCCAGATCCTTTAATCTGTTAGAGGACCCTTACTCATTTACAGACAGAGCAAAATGCAAAGGCATTCATACATTGAATAACTTTCTGCATTACTATAGGCATTAAAAAACCTTATGAATTGCAATGTTGGTAACTGCTACACTACTACATGACTTACCGGTGCTTCAGTTTGTGGGAGATGGAGTATCCAAAGGAACCCTCCAGTTGAGACAGAACCACCACAACTTGCCTGCAGGGAGAGGAAAAAAAGTCAGTACAGTTTTGTTACTTTCCTCTGTATAAATATTTCTTGACAACCTCATACTGAACACAGTGCCTTTTTTTAGGTAGGGGCAGTGGGTTGTTAATCCACTGTGTCCAGGGCACAGAATTGACTCCTTCGACTGCCTTTAATCTCCCAAACCAGTTTTACACTCGGGTGCAGTGAGGAATCTCGTGTTAAGTGCCGGGGACACAAGGTCTAACCAAACTTGCACTTGACAGTGACCTCACAATCTTGTGTCCACTCAAGTAACCACCTGGCCATTCATCACCATATGTTTTGTGTTTACTAACCTGTGTAGAGGTGGCACACTGTCCACTGTCCTGAGCTGGAACCTTGTTGACACCACGTTGAAGCTCTCCTTACAGTCACACTGCACCTGCAGGTACCTGTCAGGATGTCTGTTCTCCACAACCACCACCAGCCCCGCCCACCCGTGGGTCAGGTAGTAACACGTCATGCCTTCTCTACCCTGTCCGGTCAAAGACATGGGAAGTATCCTTAGTGGTGCAACATTTTATGTTCAACACATGTTTAGTTATCAGATTCTGAAGTCTTAAGTTCCATTCGTTAAGGATATAGAAGCTTTATCAATGCAGTAAAAAGTACAGCAACTTTTCAAATATGTCTTGGATTGTTGGAGAAGGTTAGACATTCAGCTAATAAGATACACCAAAAAACAGTTACTTAAGCAACTGGATATGATTTTGGAAACAGTCAGATGTTTCAGGTTGCATCCACTAGCTTTCATCAGTGACACTGGAGACGTGCAGGAGAAAGGCAGGTTTATGTCATAAATTCTCCCCTCTTTACATGCATTATCAGTACTGTATGACCCTCCTACCTCGTGCTTTTTGCCTCTTGCCACAGCCAGCTGCACCACGGCATCAGCCAGTACGTTATCAGGAGGGTCCACCTGGTCAACCATGACTTTCTTAGAGCTGTACACGGCCAGGACGTAGGGCGGGAAGTTGGTCAGGCGACCCTGGTTCTTCACTCCTGGGGAGAGACAAATACAAAGCACAGTGTTAATATCATAGAAGGGCAGATAGTGGTTCATTAAACTGAAACAGAGTGATCACTAGATCATTCATACAATGTAGAAGAATAGCAGAACAACATTATTCAGCTATGTTTTAGTGGCTATGCTATATGCAGTTTTAGACAGTTGAACTTATTAATCTCCAAGCAGATCATACAGTGGCAAGGCAGTATATATTGGCCATAAGAGTGTCCATTAACCAATGGATACTGTCTGGCTAATTTGATACTATCTACCGAAAGATCTGCTTGGCGATTAGAGCTAAGTACATACTTGGATTTTCATTTGAGACCAAATACATTTAAGATCGCATAAACATTTGTCAGGAAATTTCAGGTGAAGATTTTTACACAGTACAGAAGCAGCAAGTAGATAAGTTACCTTGCATGTCGACCCCCGTTGTCCAGTGGTTGTACCCCATACACACCACCACATACTCCCCCGGCTCCAGCATGGCAGTACAGCCTACAGAACTCTGTACAGACCTCTTACTGGTCTGCACCAGTTTGCTGACACCCATCCTGCCCCTGCCTGTCATGCCTGCTGCACGGTACAGGCACACACACAGGTCCACCGGGCTGCGCGATGACTTCTCATTGTTTCTGTCAGCACATAACATAACAAGTTACACAATGACATCTATCTTACAGAGAAAGTCTGGAGATGCACTTAAGGTTTTTTCTTTTAGACTACAGTATTTACACACATGCATTGTGAACATTTGTTTTACCCCAAAGCATTGTAATGGATATTAATGGCTTTTTCCAAAATACATGTACTGTGCACAGAATTGCAATAATTTCTAGCATGAAGAGACATTTTTCTCTACTACAAACTACCGTCTCTATTTCCCAAAGTGATGTTTAAAAATCTTCTGTGCATTAGTACTGTATTAGTTGCAGCAGTCATCAGAAATCTTGAGGGAAAACCCACCTCAAACTCTCCTGATGTAGACAGATCTCCACCTCAGTAGGCTGGAACACAGTCACCAGGGCGATCTTTATGGGACCCCCTGCAAAGTTGGGAATCACTCCGCTCACCCGCACCTCACTCCAGTTGGGACGGACCTTACAGATGTCGATGCAATCAAAATATCTGCAATAAAACAGTTGACATTTTAGTTTGTTATCATTACATCAGAGTGCATGTTGCTTCTCTAGACATCCGTAGAATTTTTCCCACAAGAATCCTACACTAATCTTTCTTTGAAAACATAGAATCTAATGCTTGGAACAAAACTAAAAAAGGTAAAGGTAGTCCCAAAGCATTTTTCAGGATGTGTCTTGGGCACAGTAGTAGAAGGCGGAGCACATAACGCCTTTTACTTCCCCAACTGAAGTTGGTACCAGTAGCCATTTCACACCTGGATTAAGTGAGCAAAGTCATGTGAAAGTGAAAAATGAAAGTGCCTTTCCCAAGGACAAGAATTGAAGGAGTGCCTTTCTCAATCTCCTGTCCGCTAGCCTAATTATCTGCCAGGAAACAAAACTAGAACCATAAAAAGGTAACTCACTTCATGACATCAGCCAGGCACATCCAGAACACCCCCTCGCTCGCGCCGTGTGCCAACAGTCGCTCTCTCATCTCAGGTGTCCACAGCGGAGAGCTGTCCGACCAGTCGCCCTTCCACGAGAACCGACCCCACGGGTTCCTCATTCTCAGTAACCTGGGCAACAACAATCAATCAATCAATCAATCTATCTATCTATCAATTAATCAATAAATAATCAACATGATTGTTATTTCAGAAATTCAATATTTAAAGCTAAAAGCCTCAGTTATAAGAGAAGAGCATGAACCCAGTTCAGGTCTGTATGCTGCACATGTTTGAAGACTAAAAGGGTTTCTGACCTGGGAAGCTTTTAGTGCTCGGGACAATAAATTAAGTCAGAATGAACATGCCCCAGATGTACATTAACACACATCTGCATTAGCACTAACCTTGTTACCAAACCTATTTTAGCTCCAGAGTCCTACATCCTCTACGCAAATAGCTATAATAGATGTAGGACTTGGAAGCTAAAATAGGGTAAAACAAAGTGGAGAGGATGTAGGACTCAGGAGCTACAATAGGTTTGGTAATTAGGCTACATTAGCACAGCTGTATAACCCTGTCAACTTTGTCGGAGCTTGGTTTTACCTGCTCCCATTGACATCTTGCACGTCTAGGACAGAGTAGGCGTGTCTGGGCCGGAGTCCCTTGGATTCGTACTCAGCATCGTCCACCTTCATGTTCCCCCCTCCGCAGGACGCCCCCATCAGGAAGCCGGCCTCCTTAGAGCTGAGTAACCGAGCCCAGATCAGGTCTGGTTCCACTGGGTCCTCGTCTGGGTTGTTGTTTTGAGCTAAGAGGAGAACAAGGAAAAAAAAACAACCACATTTGTTTCTTTGTTTGTTTAGAATCTCCATTAGTGTGAATTTTCACACTACTCTTCCTGGAGTCTGTAGTGATGAGGCTGTGTAACACAACACAATGTATGCCTGTCCATGGTGCTGAAATGGTGTCCAGCAGGAGAAAGGAAAAGGGTAGGTCAAGCAATGACTTGGAGCAGGACAATCGAGTGGGAACTCAAGATGGGTTGAGGAGGGGGCAAAAGACTGTGGAAGAGATTGACAGCCCACCTCTGTGCCAAGCACTGAAATACAGCAAATATGATGATGATGATCATAACACAACGAATGTCTTATATGCAAAATTAGTCAGCGTGACAAAACTTGAAACACTGTCATACACACAAGTATGGACTCTAGTTGACATTTCATTCCTTAGTTTCCAACCTATTAAATATACAGATTAACCCATGGCTATCAGCCCTTACCTCTATGAAGCTGGACACTTTCACAGGGAGCTCCTGTCAGTGTAGAGAGCCCCTCAATGGACCTTCCTGAGATCAGGGCTTCGTAGCAGCCGTGGAGTTTGGCAAGGGCTTTCTCTATCAGCGGCACCCACAACTGACGTCGCTTTGCCTGCAGGGACAAAGTAAAGGTGTCAAATATAATGACATGGTTTCACTGGTACATGATCTAAAGGTGATAGTAAAGGTAGCTGTAACCTTTCTCAGGTCATAGGGGCAGTACATTATTAGTCCACTGTGGAGCCCAATACTCTTTTTCCACTGCGTCTTATAACTTCACCAATGGAAATCAGGTATCCATTTTACATTTGGGTCAAGTGATGGAAGTCATGTCAAAGTGCATTTTCCGACACAACATCTTCCCAGGAATGCCAGGAATCAAACCTGTGACTTCCCGTGTCTCTATCCAAACCACTTGGCCATTCAACAGAGTGGTACATTAAAGACATCTTCATTTTATATTTCTACAAACTGTTGAAACCTGTTCCAGAAAGAGGACAGACCTGGGAGTGCACCAGGAACCCATGATGATAATATTTGAAGGCATGACCGTTTCTTGCTCTTTTCTGGGCTGATATTAGAAATGTAATGGTTGATATGTCCCCCAATTTCTTAGTCATTTTGTACATCATGCATAGTCTGGACAAACCTGTGAGTACACCAGGAATCCGCGATGGTCACATGGCAACAGATCATCCACCAGTACAGTCATCCACTCCCCGTCCTTACACAGCCGGACCTGGTACGCTCCCTCTGGGCAGATCTCTCTCGTGATCATCACCCGCTCCACCAACTCTGGTCTCTCAGCCAGCACAGCCAGGGCACTCAGAAACCTGCAGAGAGAGAAATCATACACGGCTGAGTCCAAGTGGTGATGTTGCCACTTTCCCTGTATTCCCCCAAAATACACCTGATTTTTTGCATGTTTCTCTATGAATTCATTTAACAACATTGAGGTTTATTGAGGTAACATAATCTTGTGCTCAGGAATTTCTTTACCCCCTAAGCAAGGACAAAGTTTTGCAGGAATTCTATATTCAAATAAGACAAACATCTGTATCTAGTGGCAGCTAGCTATACACATGTATTACCACATTTAATTGCAGGAGTTTTTAAAGCTTTCTTGTGATGACGTCCTGGCAACAAGTTCCACTCTACGATACATGGTCTTTTCCTAATTCCAAGACTTCTTGTTGTACATCCTAATTCCAAGACTTGCCATTGTACAACCTGATTCCAAGACTTGTTGCTCTATATCCTAATTCCACAACTTGTTGGCAAAACTTACCAGCAGTTCCCCAGGATGCCTTGTGAGATGTCTGACGGTCGTGGCGTCCTGAACACGACCCACTTGGTGCTGCGGTCCTGTCCTGACAGGTCTGTGATCTGGTGTGGGCGGAGCCACTGGGACACCGTCATGGTAGGAGGAGCTGAGGGCTTGTAGTACAGGGACTTGGGTGCAGGAGGGAAGGAGTCATCTACAAAATTCAGCTTATTCTGCAAACACAGAGAGAGAAATGGGTCAAAAGAAGTGAATCATTTCCTTCCATCACACACTTCCCTATTGGATGCTGCTGGCATTTTTTACATAATATTTTTCAACAATTTCATGCCCTAATCAGGTCATAGACCCCTGACTTGCGTTGCACAAGAAATACCCCCAAATTGTACCTATATAGGATGCTGTATACTGTATGTATAACCCAACAATTGTTGGCACCACAAGACTAGGGTCATTAAGCTGTATCATCATAAGGTATGTCATCCCGAAACATACCTCCTTGCAGAAACGTTTGATGTTCTGCAAGGTCTCTCTCGCTTCTTTCTCGTCCTGTCTCCGCCGCATGTCGATGGTCATGCTCTCCTGGCGAGCCAGCGTGAAGCGCTCGGGCGTGCTGCCGGCTGCTGCCTTACTGAGGGAGGTCCCACACGCGCTGCAGCTCTGCTTCTCCTTACTGTTGAGAAGGGTACAGGTGGGGCACTTCCAGATCCCCACACGCTCAGGACTGGGGGAGTAGGCTGCTCCACTGGCACTGAGGGAAGGGGAAAAAACAGTCAAATCCCTGGGTCACATGACAGCCCTCGTCAGTAGCTGAAAAAAGATGAAGGATGGCATCTTCTACCTATGCCAGTTTAATACTTCCTTTTACTACAGTCAAACCTGCCCAAGTGGCAACCTATTCAAGACTGGTACATGACCATAACAACCACAAGACTAACTATCCAAGAACACCTAGGCTCCTAGGCTGGTTTGACTGTATGTCAGAATGGGAAATGTAGAGCACAGAAATGCTCTCTGACTAAATTTTGCTGTGAGCAGTGGAAAACTCATACGTCCAGAACAAAGCAGGAACCACAGGTCACACCAAGCATGTTCCTTATGAGTTCCTTGCAAACTTCTAGCTAGGCGTTCTGCAGAAAATATTACAACATGCTGATAACTGCTGTTATGGAAATGGGAAGCAGATATCTAACCTTGGAAGAGACCCTTTCCTTGGCCTGGCCTTGTGTGGCGACTCCGGTGTTGTCTCAGTGGGGGTTGAACTTGAAGGCTGACCGGGCCGGGACGTTCCACACATCTTACACACACGCACTTTTCTCGAGTTGTCAAACGTGCACTTTTTACATCTCCAACGTTCGGAATCGGACTGTTTCTCTTTCGCCGGTAGTGCCTGAGCAGCCTTGGACGCCCCACAGGCGTCACACACGTTATTACTGATGGGGTTTTCCAAGGTGCACTTCGTACATTTCCACACATCCTTTGGTGTGCTTGTGGAGGGCTGTACTAGTGCGAGTGTGTCTGGTTTTGTTGGCATTTTGGGGGACTTTGGCTCTGCTGCTGATGTTGAGGGAAGAGGAGAAGTAGGTGACTCAGGCGTGTAACGGACTGCGTTCTCGGCCAGGTCTATTACGGGGTGGGGGGAGCCAGCTTTTGGTGTGTCACAGGCTCCACAGTTTGAGGTAGTCATCGGGTTCTTACATGTACACTTTCTACACTCCCATTCCTTTTCACCTGCAGATAAAGCAGCCTTTTCTCCACCATCTCCTACTTTTTCCACATCCTTTTCTGAGTCACTTGTTTCCATAGCAACAGCTTCTTCGTTAGATGAGTGGTCGGAAAGTTCCATTGGGCTTGGTGGGGGTGATGGCTGTGTGGTAGAGACGGTACTGCTTTGGTCACTGGATGCACCACTAGCACTTTCAATACCAACAGCACTAGTGCTTGTACTAGCAGTAGCGTCATCACTTGTGCTCGCACAAACGCTAGGGGTCTTTTTCCTAGTGGCGTTTCTTCGCTCTATTTTCATGTCACCGTTTTGCTTAAGTCTCTTTGGGGACAAAGCCTCCAAGTCGATATTCTTGGGTAAAGTGGTGGGAATGTTAGGCTTTCGTGGCGCCTCACATACTGCACATGATTTAGCCCGGGGCTTGTTTTCAAAGGTACATCTCTTACAAGACCATGTAGCATCTTCTTCTACTTTCTCCTCCTCCTTTTCTTCAACAGTCAAATCCACAACCCCCTCTGGTGATTCAGGTGGAGTGTGTGTACCATTGGTCATATTAGTCACCACTACATCATCAGACTCTGTAGTCTTCTTTTTATCAATTTTCAGTTCATCCGGTAATGGCAACTTCACCTCCATGCTTTTGTCCCGTTTGGGTGCCTCGCACATGGAACACTTCTTGGCAGAGGGAGGATTGAGTAGGGTACATCTCCGGCATGTCCACTGTTTCCTGGCCTTGTGTGTGGGCGTGTCCTTTTTGACCTCTACAGCCTCCATCGGTGTGCTGTTTTCTATAGACGGGATGGTGATGAGAGCTGATGGCGTGCTGTCCTGAGGCAGACTGGAGAAGAACAAAGAAGCACCCATTAGTTTATCAAATAGGGCATAGATAAACACAATTTGTGGGACCTTCTCAGATGACATGTCCTAGTCTGTTTGTCTTACAAATGTAGGTCAGGGATTGTTGTTATACCACTGCCCCACTATCTATAGAGCATCTAGTTACCACCTCTAAAAGCTGGCCCTCATCAACCTTGATTTCTAACAGCTGCTGCAGTAACTTGTGGGATTTGGCATAGTTACTGAAATAACATCATATGCACAGTTACAACACCTCAGTCACATACCATGGTCTAATTAAAATGACTTTGCCCCAAACTAAAGTAAAGCAGACACACACATTACATTTTAAAAATAGACCATAATGACAACTGTGGTTCATATCAACAAAATCATTCTGCTGAGATAAAAGCACTAATATGCAGATCCCCAAACTTAGACTTAGAAACAGCTGATTTCTTGTTGGATTTGTTGGACAGGTAACAGGACATGGACATGGATCTGGTCCAACATCTACCCACAACATATGTAGGTTAGATTAGATTGGGTTAGCCTGGCCAAATGCAGCTTCATCTTAGTAGCATCTCTCTTTCATCATGACAGATACCATTGTACCACATGTATAACTCACTAGCTAGAGTACTACCCAAAAACCACAAAGGTTAGAGGCCAAGAGGGTACCAACCATCAGAGCAAAAAAGTAAACCCACCACAATTATATACTCAGGCCTATAGCTGGCAAAATACAAGTCTAACCACTTAACATACACTGTATCATGATTCATGAACATTTTAATCCTTGTTTGACTACACCACATATAAAGCTGAATTACAGTACGGTATATCAAGTTTCTACTGATGTATACAATGTAATATTCATCCTCTGTAAACATCTAGCAGCTGTGGATGTGTACTGTAAATACAGTAAATTCTGCAGTGGTTTTATTTTCACAGTTTTCACAGGAACCTCATAATAGAGTCATACCATGAAATCATAACACAGTGATTATCTACTGTACTACAGAATTGTTTCAACTGCAAACTTCATTTTAAACACTGCAAAATCCTTCTTTTCCCAGAGCTCCGATTCAAAATTCAAAATAAAAACACTGTGTAGGTAAACAAATTTACAGTACATTGACAGGGTGATCTTTCATCATTATGGGAGTCCTTGGGAACATTTTGCATTTCCCAGCTACACAACACACCAGTTCTTTGTCACCACTCCTTTCAATGCCAACACCGAAACCTATCCACCATGTAATTAGGAAAGATGTTTAAGGTTACAAAGTCAAGGGTTAGAGACATTTCGTCTGACCCCTGTTGACCTCTGCTGAAGGTCGTGAGGAAGAAGAAAAGTGGCTGTTTTGCATTTCCTTCCATTATGGAAATCTATCGTTCGCTACATTTGCAATAACGAAATCACTCTCCCATAGCTAATTAGGTGATTTAACAACCTGATAATTTGCTTAACATACGATGTGAGATTTTTATCAAACTAAATGAGTCATGCGTGTAGAACAGTTGAAAAATGAGACGACAACACTACCAACAGTACCAGTGTTACCAATTGCAAAATGCATGAAAATCACAAACAATCTATGACCCCCCCAAAAATACAGTGTACTGGTAATTATCACAAATGAGTAGTGAGTACACAGCATGATTGTTATGAAATTCAGTAAAATCAAGTGCTTTCAGCAGAAACAATAGAATAGAAACCCTGCTGATGCAAACCAGTGTGAAGTTGTCTGACCTGCAATGCTAGATGTAGGACTCTATCCAGAGATTATCTCCAGGGAGATGATGTAATTATGGCAGGAAAAGGCTGGTAATGAAATACTTTGGTCCCCACAGGGAATAATGATAAAACCCCACAGGAAAGAGAAAAGTCCTGTGAAAATACACACATTCACAAAACTCCTGATGCCTGATTGCTGGTGCTGACAGATAATGTTACAGATGGAAATCAATATGTGTGTGTGTTAGTCATCTGTCCTCTGGTGGGATATTTTAGTATTTCATGACCTCATGTTGATATAGAATATAGTTACGTCATCTCTGGCCCAACATTGAGTGAAGCCCCTCAGAGCCTACTGATACACACTGTTTCCTGGTTTCCAGTGTTTTGAAAGGAAATTGCTAACATAAATAAAAATGGTGACTGTCAGAAATCAACAAAGAAGCAGCAAATATATAGCCTGGGTTCCAGACCCATAGCACACTGGACACAAATATCTCTACAAATATATCCTAACAGTAACACTAACCGTAAACAATAGACAGTTATGAAAGCTAGAATAAGTGTCACTGCTCAAAATATGGATCAGAGTAACATGTAACCAAAGAACATGTTTTCCACCCACTCTGAGCCATCTGGTCTAGCAAAAGGGGATATCCTGTCTGTTGTTACTGAGTACAGTGACGACAGTATATACCTCTTCAGGCTAAGATGGTTATCAGGAACCTTTGGGAAGTCCCCAGCTTTAGTTCCTGTGTCCGTGACCTCACAGTTGATGCAACTTCTCTGTCTGCAGCTGCTGTAATGAAACCTTACCTCGGTTGTTACCACTTTACTGGGAAAAGTTCACTGTGGCACCATATGGAGGGGGGATGTAGTATTGTTGTTGTTTGAATGATTTTCTGGAGCAGGCTGCCATATAAGGCTATCTGAAGCAGGGGAGGATGTCTTTACTGTCTCCAGGTATAATCTCCCTCTGCAGTTTGTTTTCCTTAGGATCAAGCACAAAGTGGGGTCCAAACAACGCTGCTTGTCAGAAATGGTCATGTTACATGCCACCCAGTCTTTGTCTGAGTGCCATCCTATTTACTAGTACTTGGTTTACTTGGGGTTCAAAAGAGGTAGCAAGTACAGGAGCCCTGGTAAACTAAATAGGATAGCAACCAGTCTATCAGGATATGGCAGGATTCCTGTTTAGCATTGTGTGTTCAGTGTTGACAGTCACTCCAAAGAGTATGGCGAGTGTGCTGGTATCAGTGTCACTCTGTGTGTAGCCTTTTATATCACTTGTAAATAGCAAGAAATGCCAATACAAAAGTCAGACCTTGACTTCAATGTGTCTTATCCATCGCAGTACCACGTAATCCACAGGTGACACTGGTGGAATTATTCATTAACATTCTTCCTGCTGCCTAACCCTTAGTCAACACAAGTTTGGTGAAAAGCACTACATCAGCAAAAAGGAGGTTAACCTCGGTTGACTCTCCACATCTGGTAAGACTAAAAATTGGAACAAGATTTATAAGTTCCTATAATTTTGACTCAGCACTTTTCCTGTCTATATCCCAGTACAATATTACATGTACATGTTCATCTATACTGTATAACACATGTTTCCATAAAGTCCTAGCCAGAGGTCATTGCCCTGGAAGCCAGAAGTGGCTGAGTCAAGTTCACATCAAACATCCTGATTCCTGTGTCTCGTCACGGAACTGTCCTCTGCTGGCTACTACATCCTTGTTCGACCACACAGATACTGGGTACTGTGCCAACAAGTATTCTCTTACTACTGTACTGGTTGAAGAGCCAGTCTTGTTTGTACCTCTCTCAATGTCTGCTATCATATTCATACCATGAAAATGGGTGCCAAAACAAATGCCACATGGTTGCAGGTCAACTTCTGTGTGATTCCCTTTGGGTCTATTTTTGTCCCGTAATCGAAAATTGATTCTCTAGGGGCTTCAACCCAGTCCTGTTGTCAGGCACTGGTGCTCGAAAGGAAAGGGTACCAGGCCAAAAGCAACAGGAGGGCCAAAGTAATGCAAATCTGGATTATTTCGAGCGTGAGCAGTGATCTATGACCAATTATAATTTCAAACACACTTGTGCATAGGACCACATCTGTTCCTCAATAATTGGACTGATTTTTTTCAAATGACTTCCCATAATATCGTCCTGAGTTCAGATGTCGACCGGGCGACCCAGGCCAGGGAACAGGTTGGTGTGTCCGGAGGACGTTTTGCCCGGACATGTTTGACCACGGGTAACCTGACCCCATGACCTGACCCTAGCTTCTAGCTTGGGTGCGAAATGATTGTATTTCAATATTGGGGCGAACTTCTGATCCGTGGGCAAACAGCACCGGTTGTCGCTCGGGTGCTACAATGGCAAATATGGGGTGAAGTTTCGGGTAGGAGATTTTAAGGTTGAACTGATTATAATCAGCAGTCGTAACCGCACTTGGCACAGCACGGTTGATGAAACATCGATATTTTGTAGTGCTGACGCATCTGAATATATCGTTCCGTACGTTTACAATCAATACTATGACAAGGACACGCTCTCACTACTGATTACCTGGGTTTCTGTGTCTCTCTGGGAGGCCAGGTGAACCCACAGCGTCCGCACTTCTCGGCCTCAGCGGCGTTAGAGAGCTCACAGCCCGGACAGACCTTGGTGCCAGTACCGCCGAAGAACGCGGCCAACAGCCCGGCGGTGTCCGTTCGCGCTTCCCCACAAGATCGGCAACTCTGCGTCGTTCCCTCGTTCTGTAACGTGCACCGGGGACACTGCCACACCGAAGAGGACACCACCGTCCCCATCAGAACATATTACCACTTTTTTCTCAAAGAATCGTCGATAAAACCTTGTCAAAAACCTTCTGTCTTTCAGCGCTCTGAACAGTCTCTAAAGCAATCAGCAACTTTCGTTCTGTTGTACTTCGTTGGTCACTTCCGCTTTCTGTTCTGCTTCTGCGCATGACGGAAGTACGGTTGGAATGGTTCATCTGAAGATTCTTGAAGGTAAACGTAGGTTTGTTAGATTTTTGTTAAATCAGTCCACTATATTGAGTTTCATTATAGTATTACAACATTTTTTACTAAATTAAAGATAAAATTTGCTGTTGATTGCGGTAGTATGTTTCTGTGATTTGGGTATTTTTCTGCCTTTTTATTAAGTAAACAATGACTCACCCTCCCGGCGAAAGTTCCCCGTCCCGTGACGCTGACGTCACCAATCTCCACACCTACAGCATTCCGACTGGGTCTCGGGACAGGTGAGAAAGCCGCCGTCTCACCGTCTTTACCGGAACTACAGGTAAGTCACGGCGACTTCGGCACTTTTCCTCGTACCACGAGCGTTCTCAGAAGACGGGGGTCCCGGAAATTTGGGTAATATCGTCCGAAGTGCAATGTCGTCAGTGTTTTTACGATTTTGAACGCACGGTTGGGAGGGAGGGAGGGGGGGGGGGCCAACTATAGACGGCTTGTCCCTGGACAAATAGTCTACGTACTATCCTGTGACAGGTACTGAAAAGAGTGTCCTAGTTTTGTTTATCATTACAACAAGGGCATTAAGCTGCCCGTTTTGTGCTCATTACGAAAATAGGCCAGTCCTGTTTGAAGAACGTAATGTTTATAACGTAATATTGATAATATAGATCTGATCATATTGTCTGTACTCGGACGGTACTAGTGATTTTGAAAAGTAACCTAATCGTTTTACGATTGTAGAGGTTCGTTCATGTGAAACCCTGTAGAACTTCTTGCTCTGTAGTGACAGCATATGATTGTGAGTTCTACAGAAAACATAATTCTATGCCCTTAATTATGTAAATACTGTGTCCCCTTCTAAATCATAGTGAGGAAGAAGAAAGGTGATCATTCATCGTTTGGAGACATCATTTGTGTTACAGTCGTTAAGTACATGTCAACCAATCAACCAATCAACAACGACCTTTATTTATACTGAACAACCCATTTGGCCATAGGTGCTCTTCGTTGAGTAGCATAGAATAGAGTAGATCTCTTGATGTTCAACTTTGAGGTAGATTTCTAAAGCAGAAAGGATGGATGGATGGATGTCAGATGTATGAAAAATGGAAATATTTGTACGGTATGTGCTGCGTAAAAAGCAAGAAGAAGGAGCTTTTATATAGATATTAAACAGCTTTCATATAACTGTAGGTAAAAGCTTCTTGCTTGCAAAAAAAATACATGTACACAATACATGTATATGTACAAAGTTTCCAGTCAAATTCAATGTTGATACTTTATATATATACATATACAAACAAACGTGTGTGTGTGTGTGTGTGTATGTATACTTTAGGACTCCCTGAGCAAGATGTCCCTCAGACCTTGGCTCAGTATAAGATAAGATCAGATGAGATTAGATAAGATAAGAATCTGTTAGGAGTAGCTGTCCAACCGCATTCTTGCCAGCCCTGGTAGTAAAGGTCATGGGCTCAAAGGGAATCTGACTCTATAGTCCCAGTTGAACAAAATAAGGGAACCCTAACGTCCCCAAAACGTCAAAATACCTGCTTGGTGCAAAGTCGGTGGAAACACTGCTGTGAACAAACGTAGCAGTCAGGAAAACGATCCACTTGGAGTTGGACTTCCACTGCGGGACCTGTGTGTCAAATTATACAATTATGAAAAATGCCTGTAGCAGAAATTCTTACACACTACTTACAGGATGAGTGCTGGTAATCTCCAAGCAGATCTTTTGGTGGAGACAGTATCAAATTGGCCAGTCTGTAACCATTTCCCTACCCAATTACCCCAATAAAAGATCTGCTTGGAGATTAGAATGCTGGGCCCATTGCTCCCCAGGGTCCCTCATGTCTATTTTGATCATCTCTGTTGTTATTTGACAATATTGTTTTTTTTTTCTTTTTCAGACTTGTAGTATTGCCACCAGTAAGAAGAAGCAAAAATTTCTGATCATCTCTCTCGGAGAGTCCTTTGTTAGGTATGCTCATTGTTTACCACTCTCGATTGTTGTCATACATGTGTATGTGGACCTGCTGACCTAAGTAAGCCTGTAGTACTTGTGCTATATTGTTCTGCTTTAATGCATGGCTGTCTTGTTAGGAAACACCATAGAAACAAGCACATCTGTAAACAAAAGATAAGCAATTGTACCCTCAGGTTTCCAAACCTATATTAGCTGCAAAGTCTCTTTCGTTTTCTCTGCAAATAAAGGACGAAAGAGACTCGACAGCTAAAATAGGGTTGGTAACAAGGGGAAAGCGATTGGGGCAAGGACAGACTGGACACACTTGTCACTCAATGTTTGTCTTAGAGAAAGAAGTCTTCAGTTCAAAAGAGATAACATCCTGTCTTCTTTATCCAGTCTGTCAGTCACTTGTATCATTGATGTATCATGATTGGGGTACTTACATATCATTTATTGTGCTGATCATATTCATCTTAACCTTTAACATGCTAAGTTGCCTCCACAACATTTGTGTGATACAACCACGTGTGTACAAATTAGGGCTATTTGGTTGACTTTCCCTACAAACTTCCCATGATCTTCAGTTGAAAATATTTGCATGTTGAGGATTGAACCCTTCCAAATTTGAGAGAAAAATTAAGTCCATTCTGTGATTTGGGTTAACTAGGTGGTACCGGCATGCTAAAGGTTAAGGTTATTTCTGTTGCTTGAATTTGCATCTTATCACATGCACAGTTTCTCCCATGTTTGATGATTGCCTTATACATGCCATCAGGACTTATCTATATACATATATATGTAGTAGTAATTATAGTTTTTAATCTGTCTTTGGCCATTTCTTACCTGCACGTGTGTTGTTCCCTTATAGTATTTTTCTCTTCCACGACTTGACGTACAAAAACATGACTACATGAGGACAATATCATGTCAACATCATGATGGATTGAAAAAAAAAAACCTTTGTATCACCTTTAGCTGTTGAAATACCACGTAGATCAGTATAAAAAGGAGACTATAGATGTCACATATGAATTATGTACCCTTAACATGCTGTTTTAAGCAGGCTAGTCGTCATGCTAATGAAGTTATGTTGTGATCAGGCCATTGTGACACGGACATTAACAATGGCTGTATTTTATTCTGTCCTCTGCCTATGCTTCCTCTCTGCATTACACACCACGGCCGGCACAATGGTAAGTTATTTTCTAGCTTCTACCTTACTACATGTACTGTGTTACAGTAGTACTAACTGTTCTCAGTGCTGCTCATGCACAGTAACCTTGCTGAACAGGTAAGTATGGGTCAGGTTGAAGGTTCCCTCAAATGGCAGATTTCGGTTCAGGAAGTAAGTTGACCTAATAACTTCTGTCCGAGAAAACAAAGCATAGACACAGTTCCTCACGTATATATGTCCATAGGGAAAAAAAATTAGATATGTGTCTTGCACAAGATGTTTTCCAACTTGTAGAGAAGCCTAATTTCTTACTTGAAATGTGTTCTGCCATTTGACAGGCACTCAAGCATCAACCAGATCAAGTTAACTTCTCTCTAACTCTTGCCACCTTTTCCTTGCTACAAGGGAACCATTCCTTTTTTTGCAGCAGTGATACATCTGTTAGAGGGAAATATATGGCTATGGCAAAGTAGAGGCTACAGACTTCATAATCATTCTGTTTTTTGTTTTCCATTTCACAGGTTTGCATGTAGTTTATGCTTGGTCATTGTTTTGGTTGCTGTTTTGCATGTTGAATCTGGTTTTCTGCATAATTCAGAGATACCTCAGGTATCAATACACAACATACTGATTTTGTCAAAAAGTTCATTTGGTAGACCAAACTTGCCCTTTTTTCTCCACTGGTTGGAATCCGAAAGTCTGTTTCTACCAAAGACACCTGGACTACCTTTAGAAAGAAAGAAAACTGTCAGAGAATGAAACTATTGAGTACACATTTCTACCCTTAACATTTAAGAGCAGACACTATAATCATAAAGGAAGCCAGATTCTGCCTGCTGCTTGGGTGAGCTTTTTCAGCTGGGTATAAGGTCTGCACGCTGCAAGTTTCTGGTGACGCATGCAGTCCCTCCACACACCAGTAGGGGGCGTTGCAATGTGGTTGACTTTTGTGCCTTTCACCCAGATATGTCCACCACACCCACCTCAGTCTCACTGAGCACCATGGGTAGGACAGTCGTTTCTTTGTGTGACCACCCCAATGCTGTCAATGATCCCAAACACAATCTATATCCAATCCCAATGTGGAAGATTTGATTCGATTATAAAATGATCATGATCACTTCAAAATTTGATGCAAATTGTAACTCTTGTGAAAATTTATATAGCAGCATTATATACACCTAACAAATAACCTGTTGATATTCACATTCCTTACAAATACATGTAATGTGATTCACTAATATCTTATTTTGTGTAATACTGAAATTTCTTTAACATATCAGTTCAAAATGAAAAGTATTATTTGCAGCAGAAAAAATTGTGATGATTCATTTGAATACACAAACCAAGACCACATATGTAAACACTTATGTGTCAGTTTGCAGTGGATGATGTCATAGCTATAAGAGTTTCTGATCCAATACCGTGTGACCAGAAGTATTCACACAGCCATTCATACGTAACATTATATATATGGTTTGTTTTAATGTGCGTCATGTCATGGTCTGTGCCTAGTACCCTAGGCCTGTTCACCTGGAAACAGTATGAATTATTAATGGCACTATATACGGCATGTCAGTCAAATCATCCTTGTAAAGCCCAGAAATACGCCTGCTATTCTGGTGACTAGCAGCCATGCCAGGTTGGTACTGACTCATGTCTTAACACTAGATCTGTAAAACAGTTGGCAAAATCTTTTCTTTGTGACCTTAATTGACTCAAACTCAAAGGGTAGACCAATATGCAAGAAAGTAGTGGTGTTTGCACCTTACAGTATCAAGACAAAAATGGATGACAAAAACTGTTTTCTGGGTTCTGGAGAGTCTAAAAAAGAATGAAAACCATGTAGATTTTGCTATCTAGAAGTACTGTAGTTGTTTACTGGTCTCCACCACACTTCTTTGCAGGCTGAGTAGATAGTAGAAATCAGCCTAAAAAGAATGTAGCTGGCCAGGGGAGTTGTTTGGCAATAGAGGGCCCAGGCCGATTTCTACTATTTGTTCAGCCTGTAAAAGAGTCTTGTAGAGACTAGTTGTTTACTGTGTGTTTGTGAGTTTGACATGTTGTACTTCTTACTCGTACCCGTAGCTAACATAACCCCCACCATCGCCAACGTGACGGGAAACACGACTATGAACGGAACGATCATCATCGCTCCATCCAGGATGCCGCGGGAGGCGGACAGCAACTCCGTCAACTTCTACATCGGGCTGACGCTCGCCATCCTGTCCACCATCTTCATCGGCGCGAGCTTCGTCATCAAGAAGAAAGCGCTGATCAAGCTGTCGCAGTATGGCACCAGAGCAGGTGGGGAAAACTTCACTGTAAAGCAGCCATAAAACCCTTCCATCTTATTGTTGTGTGACTACATTCAAGTCTGTTCTTGGCTTTAATGTTATATACTAGTATACAGTAAATGTATGGTAAGCAAGAAAGGGGGAAATTAGTCACAAGAAGAAGAAAGTGTTGATCAAGCTGTCCCAGTATGACACCAGAGCAGGTGACAATTTCTTCTTGGCTTTTAAATTTGTAATGTGTGGTATAATGTTTACAAGAAAAGGTGGAAAAGAGATAGAATAACTTGCGATTTGTAATTTCCTTGTTGCAGTATGGCACCAGAGCAGGTGGGGCAAACTTCTCTGTAGAATGGGCATAAAACCCTCCCTTGTTATTGTTATGGGACTACATTTAAGTCTGTCCTTGGCTTTAATGTTGTCTATAAATGTATGGTTAACAAGAAAGGGGGAAAAGTCACAAAAGGAAAATTGTAACTTTTGATTTGTGATTTTCCTTTCCTTGAATTTCCTTCAAGTTCTTGTATAGCAGTCGTGGTACAGAAGTAGAGGACTTTGCCTTTGTATGGCCTTAAAAGTTTCATTGTGTATTCTGAGTCCTTTTTGAAAGAAGCAAATTGGCGAGTAATCTTTGTAAGCCATTCTTTATTGTTGGTACAGTCGATGTACTTTGCACACTAGTACCTTGTATCTGGTGTTGAAACGTAAGTTTGTATTTGTTTGACTAAATTATAAGTGGTTTGAGTCAACGTTTTGTGTTAGTAGCTGATATGTGTGGTGGCGTACATATTGTAGTAAAGTCCTGCATAAAATAGGACTAGAAAGAAACAAAATGCCATGTTTGTGTTGTAAGTATTCCAGTATTCACAATAAGCTTATATGGTATTTGAATGTGGCATTACGTGTAGTAGGGAAACCGCGACAGTTACAAATGAGGTCAAGAACACATCAGGCCGTTTTCCCAGAACTAGTTCTCCACCTTTGCCAAACAGTCCCGTGTGTACAGGTGATATATAAACACACTGCAGATTGTAAAGGTTGGCTGTGACGCACGTGAAATGGACACTGCAAATGACATTAACACTGGGGCAGGGCCAAATTTTCTCTCTTGTTCTCGGACAAACCATTCTAACTCGGAACACAAGATGTACTCAACTGCATATGTTACGTACAATGAACACACATAATATTGCTATCTGTTGGGCTACCTTGGAAATCAGTCTTTCAGAGACTGAAGGTACCACCCAACTGTTTTTAAGAGCAATAAATAAATAAATAAAATTTGCATGATTAAGGCAAGTTGGGTGGAATGGTAACTGTACTAGTACAAATGTATATCGATCCTTATATAGCGACATAGGATACACACATGCAAAATTCATTGATGTTTGTTTTTATGGTTAACTATGTCAACATACTAGTACTTTTCTGTCTGGGTGTGTATGCCATAATGGACACATAGTATACCGTTAGTGTAAACACATCCTCGTGAACCTGGTACCTTTGGGCCCCTATGACACTTTTCTTGTCATTTTTAGTGCTGCTGTCCTATTGGTGTTGTGTAACTGTAAATACCCTGTACATGTTGTTCATAACACAGACAGTTCTTATCTATTTTTATTTAACTTCAGACATAATATAATGATAATTACTAAGATGTCTCCAGACAAAAGAAAAGGAGAGTCACATGTTTTTCACATGGGTCGGCATTGTTGAATAATTGATGACATAGCTTGAAGTTACAGCAGGTAGTATATCTCAGCATAGTAACATGAATGTTTTATGAAGGGACACCATACAATCCAAACATTGTCTTCTTCAGTTTCAGTTTCATCCATCCTTGGGTACCTGATGAATAGATGTGGTGGGAAATGTTATACCTAACTTCATGATTAATTTCCAGGAGAGGGAGGGTATGGTTACCGAAGGACAGGTGTGGTTGGAAATATTAAACCGTACAAGTACTTATCCCGTATCAACCGGTGCAATGGCCAAGTGGGTAGGTTGTGAGTTAAATCCCGGCCGAGTCATACCAAAGACTTTAAAAAGTGGTCCATACTGCTTTCTCTGCTCAGCACTCAGCATTTGAGAAAGTATATGAGTTAGGGAGTTAGACACACACCACTACCAGTGGACTAGCCCCCTGCTGTAGTGATTGCACAACTGTGTGGCCCAGGGGCTACTGAACCGGAGATGGGCACCACTATATGTGAGCATGTCAATAATGATTGTGGGAAGGACTTTAGTTGTAACTTTAACTAATCCTGGTCTTATCTTCCAGGTGAGGGAGGGTATGGTTACCTGAAGGAGTGGCTGTGGTGGGCGGGGTTTTTCTCCCTGGGGTTCGGAGAAACGTTCAACTTCGCTGCGTACGCCTTCGCACCAGCCACCCTGGTCACGCCACTGGGAGCACTCAGTGTCCTCGTCAGGTATAAAACCCTGCCGTCTTATTGTTACCTGACTGTTATCTGTCCTTGGCTCTAAACTTCATCTATAATGCATGGTGTATCTAAGTGATTGCTCTGAAAAGACCAAAGACAAAAAAAACAAAAACAATATACCCACAGTTTTTTATTTTTCTTGTAATGCTTACTTTCTTATTGTTACCTGACTGCATTTAAGTCTGTCCTTGGCTCTAAACTTCATCTATAATGCATGGTCTATCTATCTAAGAAAACAGACCAACAATGTTTTCACAAATCTACAGTGCTTTTTTTTTTGTAATGCTTACCTATACTAAGTTACTGTACATTATTTAGTCAGTAAAGATGTTAGTTAAATTGATACCGGTATGTCTGTTATGATTTAGAGGCAATAAAAGGAAAGACCTAAAAGGAATACAATGAGGTATTGGAGCTGTGCACAGATAATGTCCCAAGGGAAACATGTTTGCAGTCACCTTAATTTGTTGCTTTTTGTTCTGACAGAGAGAAACCTGCTAAAAAAAAGTGACATTGTACTGTGAATGGACTTTCTATTGAATGTTTTAAACGTTTTAAGTCTGTAAGCCTGCAATGCAGTACAAACATTTATCTGCAATAAAATTATTTCCAAAAAATAGGTTTGGTGACCAAGTTAAATCTTATTTCTTCAGCAATCTGACTGACTGTTCTCCATGCCTTATTCCAGTGCTGTGATGTCGTCCTACTTCCTGAGAGAGAGGTTGAACCTTCACGGGAAGATCGGCTGCATGCTGAGTATCCTGGGCTCCACTGTTATGGTCATCCACGCACCTGCTGAGGCCGAGGTCACCAATCTGGACACACTGTCACGCATGCTCATAGAACCTGGTAAGGACACTGTCATAGCCTTGAGTCCTGCCATGTTAGCTTTAGTCCGTTCCCCAAGATCAGCTACCCCACCGTCTGAACTCAAGACTACACTGTCACGCATGCTCATAGAACATGGTACGGATAGGGCCATGAAAAAAGTAGACTTGATAGTATCTGTGTAAAATTGGATAGGGCTGTTTTAATGTGGCTTGTGACTGCAGTTGCCTAGCTGTACCAGGTTTGAATGTGCATGGTTTTGTATGAATAAATAATGGAGATTCTTCCTAGTTATGTTTATCTTAGCAGAAGGAAAACATACTGTTTTTGCTCAGTTTCTTCTCCAAACAAATAAAGTCAATGACATGAACCAGACGTCTGTCACCAACGGGTGGTGTTGAGTTACATATTGTAGCAGAACAGAAAAGAGGCTGGTCACCATATACCTGTATCATATATGTGAATGAGTGTGGATAAGAATATACAGAGCAGTAATTTGGTGGACTGGACAATGTGAAGGTAAACATTGTGCATTTGCCTTATCTACCGGTAGTTAGTTCTTGTTCTCACTGTGGCAATATCTCTCCTCCAGCTTTCATCACATACGGTGTCATCGTGGTCATCATCTCCCTCGTCCTCATCTTCTACTACGGGCCGAAGTACGGCAAGACCAACATCCTCATCTACATCGCCATCTGCTCCATGATCGGCTCCCTGTCCGTCATGGCGTGCAAGGGCCTGGGACTGTCGCTCAAGCAGACGTTCGGAGGGGACAACCAGCTGACCAACCTGCTGACGTGGTTCCTGCTGGCCTCGCTGGTGGCCTGCGTCACGGTGCAGATGAACTACCTGAACCGTGCGCTGGACATCTTCAACACCTCCATCGTCACGCCGATCTACTATGTCTTCTTCACCACCTTCGTCATCAGCGCCTCAGCTATCCTGTACAAGGAGTGGGAGCTGATGACAGCCAAGGACATTATCGGGACCCTGAGCGGGTTCCTCACTATTGTCTTCGGGATCTTCCTGCTGCACGCGTTCAAGGACGTGAACTTTTCCCTGTCCAACCTCCCGACGTTCATGAGGAGAGACGAGCCGAAAGAGACGCACCTACAGAACGGGAGCACCACGTCATTACTGCAGGACCCTCAGTCAGAAGAGGAGGTGGTCAGATGATCACCGGACGGTGGCTGTTTAATGTACTTAGGAGGCCAGTCCAGGTTTATTCCATGGTTTTTGCACTGAAGGAGGAAAGAAACAGACCAAATGGGTTTTGCCACCTAGCTGTAGTTCATAGCAGCACGTTTAACTCAGGGCTTTGTAGTTTCCCGCTGCAGTTTTATATAGAGAAGAAAGAGCTATAACGGGAACATTATTAGAGTGGCCTAAAACTAATGACAATTTTGTACAAGAGATGAAATAAAGCACTGCTAGTAACTTAACATATCTTGTCCTACACTTGTTTATTTACATGGTAACTTGGCTCATGTGGTAGTCAGCTGGTTTGCCAACAACAAACATGAGCCACGATTTGTGCTTTAGCTGGAGTTGTAGTTATGCTATCATTCCCTCTTCAATCCTTAGAATCTGCTTTTATGCATTCCCACTGAAATAAAAGGAAAAGGAATAGTTGTCCTTTTAGAATTTTGTAGCAATATGATTGAAACAATGTAGAACATTGATTATAAAGAAGGGGATATGAATATATCCAATATGATATTTCAAATTGAAATTGAAGAAAGGTTTCACTTGATCTTTAACCACTCTAACAGACCAGTATACTGTTGATTTGGAGTGCTAGAGGTTCAGTGCAATACTTTTACCACAGATAGATATTGAGAGTTCTGTGTTACTTCAACTTGTAAAGTTTGTAAGATATTATTTGGAATTCTGTAATATTTTAGTCTGAGTTGAAAGCTGCTGTAATTTAGTATGCTCAGAGCTGATTGATTTGTTTGACTTATATGTTGTCTTAACATATCTGATTTATGTGTTTATATGTATTCTGTAATCTTGATTTCCTAACATATTATTGGTGTGTCCTATATACAATGGGTTGTATTAGCTTCAGCAAGATGTACTTAATTCAATCGATAAAATTTGATGGCTGGTTTTGAAGAGATGCTGTAAATGTATACGACTTTGAGAGCTTACAGAGGTGCCAGTCCTCTATGTCTGTTGATAGACTGTCTAGAGTAAACCTATTTGTGTTGTTTTTTGTCATAATTACCTCATTTACGTAGAACTCTAATGAACATTCAGACAATACTATTGTGATTAACATTAATAACATGATTTTATGTTATGGCTGCTGATTAAACTGCTGAAGGATCGGTGTTAAGATTACGACTTAAAGGGGTTAGAGAAAATGTGGACAGTGCTTCAGGAAGTTAGCAGAATGCTAGACACAATCTGGTAAAGGTATGGTGTTGTGATAGGGTAGACAGTTGAAGGATTACAGTGGTGTTCTCAGACTGTGGTAATTTCTAAATGCAGCTAGTTGATATATAACTAGCCTGGAACTTATTTAAGGTCTTATTTGTGGTACAGACATGGTTTCCTAAATGCAACATTTTTTAAAGACACAATTACTTATCAAGAAGAACTGTATAATACAAGAGACCAGGAACAATATGCCTTTGAGATATGCAAGACATATATACACATTTGGTGTGAATGACTCCACACAAGTCTTCTCCTGTTTCCAACAATATGTACAGTATATGCTCATAAGATCTTTTGTTACTATTCCATTAGCCTGGGTGCCAGACTGGTGCCAGGGCTAGCTCCTTGGCTTCAGGGCCAACATGTCCTGAAGGAAATTTTACCACAGACCCCCTCAGTGGGCTAACTCTGGGCTTACATGTGTATTGGCCCTAGTAACAGTCTGGTATCCGGGCTACTAGTCCATGTGACTACCAGATAACAGCCAATGGGTTATTCCAATGCATTAACAAGCCATGTACCCATAGTGCCTTAGACTACTGTTCGTCTTAGGTCCTTGACTGAATGATCATACACTGTGAAGTTCTTTACAATTATTCTAACACCCTGGCCTTCAGAACTGCGCATTGTGTCCCTATTGCTATTGTGTAGTGTGTATTTTGTCATTGGGATTCATACTTTCTGACATTACTGTGTGTTCTTTAACATTCGTTTGAGTAAAAATGTGTACATTTTGCATTATAATTTTAATTGCAGTATTTTCTATGTATATTCAAGATGATGATTTTTAGTTTTGTAGAGAGATAATTGCAATGATGTGCAACACCTATTTATGTTTTTGGTGAAAATGAATAAAAGTTCATAGATACAAATGGATTTGTCATTTTGTCTCCATTTGAGTGTATGGGTGCATGCAAAGTGCAGTTAATAAAATGTGACGTAACATTACAAATCCTGCCCTTGTTAAAGTGAATATGCCCCCAGATCCCCTGTTCTCTGACCAAAGTAGCACAATGTAGTCCCCCCTACAGTGGGCTAGAGCAGCAGTGGAGCAGAGTAGCCTTACTCTCCAAGCAGAGGTTGTGGGGCAATGATCGTTACCTTTTTATATATGGCCGTTTTTTTTGTCTTGATCCCCACCAACCTTCTCTGGCTAATGGATACTGCCTGGCCAATTTGATACTGTCTTTTTGCCACCGAGAGGGATCTGCTTGGAGAGTAGAGTAGCCTATCCCTTTGAATGTTGTGTAAATAGCGCCACCTGACAAATGTGAGATGAATGACAGGTTAAATGCAGGGCTTGCTGGATATTTGTCAAGACTACTTAGTATGCAAAGGCACAAAAAACAGACAATATAACAAACATGAGGAAAAACAGATCTTGTTTTCCAAACAATAATAAAGGTGGGAACGATTTTCACATGTAGCAACAACATTAAGAAAGATCATACTTGTCCATCATACAACTTCAACATTACACTTTTCAACTCAATGTTTTGTTAACTAAGTACAAGGCTAAAAATCACAAGATAACTTCGCAATAAGAACTTGCTGTCATATTTTCATACGTCCCTCATCTACTGGTGTCATTCCACATACAAATCGAAGAGTGCATGAAGCAGGATAGGTAGTGACAAGCCCAAATAGTACATCATACACAGTAGGGCATTGTACATTCACTGAGTTCTAAATGTAATCTTCAGTCTGCAAGTCGTCTTCTTAACAAACAGTGCCACAAATTTGTGAGTAACAAGACCTTAACTTTTATAACAAAGGATAACCTTTGAAAGGATCATACATGTAGTCTAATTGATTGCCACAAAAATACAACTTTGTCCACTACACACTAAATCTAGAGACGCATGTCTGCATGTACCATACACTTCATCACAACTTCATCCAATAAGCTACAAACTTCATAGAGACATCACTTCTTCTAACAGCCAGTCATGGCTTGTAGCCTTGTAGTATGCACAAGCTGTCTTTACCTATTTAAATGACATTACGGCTCATCACATTCTAACTGTTTTATCTAGACACTCCAAGTTCGTTCCTTAGATCTTGGCAAGGATTGCCTCATTTATGATACATGCAGTATGTACCTACCCAAGAATTCTATGGCTCACTTCGTTGCTGAGTAATTTTGGGATCAAACGTTATATTTACACTTACAAAACATTGCACAACTTACTTAGAGAAGGTGGAGATTTCTGCAGGAATATTGTTTCACTTGGCAATCTGAGGAGGCTATCTATGATACCTCCTTGCAACATTATAGATTTTACACTGGACTGGATATGTCTGTAGTAGAAGAAAAAAATTGAAATGGAAAAATCCTTCCAGGGTTGAAAAAATATGGCAAATGCCATCTAAACATTTTCTGAACGTTGAGTTTTAGTTTAACCCTTCATTTCTAAAAAAAAAAAAACTGTAGCAAGGAAGGAACCTAAGGAAGTATTTTAGCAAATTATCAATAAAAGAGTGGCCATTGCCAGTGTACATTTACATACTCCATTAAAATTTGAGACAGAGAAAAGCAGCACGTCGGCAGAACGTACTGCGCCTGCGCGTCAACGTTGCATCAGAATTTTGCCTGTTGCAGAAGATATCTTTTCCAACATAACATTTGGAAACTACAGACAGGATGTTGATCTTACACACATCAATACGACCTGATATGAGACGTTCTACCAAAGTGCTATGCACAGTACATTACTGGTTTTGTGCAGGTGCAGTACGTCCTGCCGACATGCTGAGAAAAGCACATCATGCCAAACAACACGGGTTATCCTCTACTCCTTCTGCCCGGCGGCCACTTGTTTGGCAACAGCGACCCACCCCCTCACGACCCCCTCCACCTGCTGGGCCCGGGTTCGAAGGTCACGACAGAGTTGATTGGTCGGCTCACTCTCGCAGTAGAAGTAGGTTGCCACGGCAACAGCAATGACTGACAACAGGATGATGATGAGGGGAAGCTTGTAACAGTACGACCCTGGAAAACAACAACAGTACTATTAGCATTACCCCTTAGTTTATCAAAACTGGGCAACTCAAAAGAATAATACATACATAGATGATATGCATTTGTCTGATTAGTTGTGTTGTTCTTTTGTGACTTTAGCACATCTTGAAATGGACTCACAACAGCAAATTTATCATTTTTAATATCATCAAACTCAACTATAATCCTAAGATGAGATAAGCCAAGTTTACTTTTGTACAAAAGCAAGGCTGTTTAGTAAAGTCTGTATACATGTACATGTATAAACCATGCTGTTTTAATCAGAATAGAAAAGGACACATACCTGTAGTTCTGTGTTTTTCTGGAGTAACTGATGAGGTAACCCCATTTGCCTTTTCCTCTGTAACAATAAAGAGACACACAAGGCCACCGTTAGTCACATGATGCAGACCAAAGTTTTCAATCTTTTCCACAAAATGGACACTCAAACCTCAAACAAAACTCCCATTAAGGTTTATAGCAGAATCTGCTCTTTATCACTTTCCAGTGCATGTAATTGTATACTGATCAATTTATTCCATTTACTGCAGGATTTGCATTTTATCCTAGATTCTGATCTACTTTGTCCTTTTGTATTGTTCATTTTGTTGTATTGTGTCCACTTTTTTTGGGTAGAACCGTCACCACCTGAGTCTACCAATGCTGACCCAAGTAATATACAATGTATGTATCATTGCCAACAAATACAAATACAATACCAGTGTCAGCGCCCTCCTCTTGCCCCCCTCCCTCCTGCTGCTGCTTCTTGCTGGCCTGCCGTGCTGCGTACTCCTGTTTCCTCCTCTCCTTCTCCTCCTTCTTCTTCCTCCTGCGCAGCTCCTGTTCCTGCTCCTCCTGCAGACGCCTCGCCTCCTCAAGCTCTGCAGAGAACAGTGGGGTAGACCCGCGGTTTAGTAAAGCCACTTTTCCGCTGTATGCAGCATCAGTGAGAGTCTGAGAAAGCTCTAACTAACCTGGGTGCCAGACCCACAGCACACTAGGATCAAAGTTATGACTGGATACTTTGGGCCTAGTGTGCTATGGGTCTGGAAACCAGGCTATAATTTAGGAAGTTACTAAATTACTAATTAATCCTTTTGGAGCAGATAAGCAAAACAAGTGAGGCAACTCACTTCGCTGCTGCTGGAGCTGTTCTTGTCTCTTTCTTTCCAACTCTGAGTTCACAGCTCTCATGTAACTCACCACCTGGTAATACAGAGGAAATGGATACAATTATTAGACAGTCTCGTGGGTCTAGCTTTCCTATAAACACAGATACAAATGTAATCAAAGAAAAAAAGTTGCACAAGAAAAAAAAGACAAGAAAAATAATAGACAGAGACACTGAGTCTCACAAGTTTATCATCATCTATAAGTATAAACACAACTACAATCAAAACCAAAGTAAAGGAGCTGCACAAGAAAAAGAAAAGATGTCCACCTCACCCCTTTGGCACAGTTTCTACATTGTCTCTCATCCAGACAGTCCCCCACTACTGGAACCAGGGCCGAGTCCAGAGGGTTATCCTTCAGGTCCAGCCACTGCAGACTGGTCAGTTGCCAGAAGCTGACCGGCACGGTCTTGAGTTTGTTCTGGAAGAGGTCCAGATGTCTCAGCCTGGTCAGTCGGCCAAAGTCGGCGGGAAGTTCCTCCAACTGGTTCTTACTGAGGTCCAGCTTGACCACATGGGTCAGCTGGGTACAGAAGGTGTCCTGGAACAAGTCAAAAGATTGTTGATGTTGATGAAGGTTAGACATCCAGGTAAGGGGATACCGAGATAGTAGTTACTAAAGCAACTGGATAGACATTTCAAGTAGTGAAATCTTGAAATCTTGAGAAATCAGACAATAACTGAATAAGAAACACTGACCTGTAGGTTGACCAGGAGGTTACAGGACAGGTCTAACACTGTGGCCTTGGGGAGACTGGACTGTGGAACAACAGAATCAACATGTACAATATGTCTTGACTAATGAGATATACTTGATCAGATGAAAACACATGATCATGGTATTACTTGTACTTCCAAACTTCCTTCACTTAATATTTTCTTACTTTTGTTTCGTGACTTGATAAAAATTTCTTAAAGTAAAAAGTTTCCTTACCAGCAGTTGAACAGGAACCTTGGTGATGTTGGACAGACTCAGGTCCAGCTCATTCCCATCCAGACGGTCCTTCAGTTCCTTCAGGGTCCACTTTGTCTCACCTTTACCTGGTGGAGAAAAGTCACATTAGTGCTTGGAGATGGAAATTTGTAACATGTTTGTTATTCAGGCTGTAGGGGCAGTGAGTTGTTATCCACTTTGTCAAAGGCACAGTGTCAGAAGTTGGAGCCCAATAAATTGTCTGATTCAAATCAGGTTAAGACACAGATGAGCAGACAATTGGGAAGGAAAAGTGGCTTGATCTGCTGTTTTCATGGTCTTAAGAAAATTATATTACATTGGTGATTATATTGTGAGTTCACTTTTTCACCCTCATAAATTACGTTGTTGTTGTGCTTGCTTAACGTCTATATTTTATTTCTTTAGACGTGGTCTCTAATCCAGGTGTTGGGTTTCAAATTAACGTTAACAGCTTAAGCAGCAGATTAAGGCCAGGAAAATCAAGTTCATACAAGCCCCGCGAATGCCCATGGTCAAGTACACCAACGACATTTATGAACAGGTTAAAATACGCTGCCAATTATTTTGCGGTTTACGGTTTACCACAGCACTAATATTATCACATTACTGGTTAATATTGCATCACTGGTTGCAAGAAGCGTGTGTGCAACGTGTCACTATGTGAGGCGTCTTGTCACCAAGGGTATATAACATCGTTTTACTCATTACATAACCTACTAAATCCATCCTTATACTATTGAGGTCAATGCATAGGGTATAAAGTTCATCCATGCAGATTATAAGTGGTAGAGTCTGTATAAAAAGTTAGTTATTTGCCGTTTAAAATGAAGATTCGAAAAACGTTACTCACCAGCTGCCATTTTGAAAAGTTGGCTTTTGACCTCTAACCTTCGGCCTATGACGCATGCGTGTTGCGTAAGTCAGAAGGACGTCTGTCTGGGAGACGACAGAAGGATAATCTGGTGATGGTGAGTTTTTGTCAACTTGTAAGCGCATTCTGTCGCTAGAACTCAACACCAATATTCCGTAATGTTTACTTCTACGTACTGTGATGTTTAAGCACAGCGATTTTACTTTGAACGCGCAGACTTTGGCGTCAAATTTAGATGTTGCCCTCCCACGTTTTTCGCACGTTGTGTTCATCACGTTGTGTTGACCTCGTCCCAGAAACACAAATTTTGGCACAACTGTCCTACTCTGGTCGAGTTGGTGAATCTTCAGTTCACATTGTGGCGTAGTGAATTAATAATAGTGTCTAGTCTGTCCTACTTAAGAGCTGCTTAGATAAGCTCCTACAGGGGTAATATATGAAGTAGGTTTCCAGATGATGTAACTGACCCATATGCATGAGTCATGACACTGACTCCATAATACCATATATTGAACTCATGGGCTGTTGCCCCCCCCCACACACACAAAAAAGTAGGGGTAGGTAACACCCCAATAAGCTTACCCTCTCTGACCTGCTGCCGTGACCTTGCTTCAAACACCTTTTTAGCCTGGGTGCCAGACCTATAGGCCATAGCGCAATGGACACCAAGTATCTCAGATACTTTGTGTCCAGTGTGCTATGGGTCTGGCACCCAGGCTACCACCTTTTTCCTGCTGGCCCAATTTATGCTTCTGTCCTGATGCAGTTACTTCAACCCCCATGTCCAAGTGTCCAATCTGACCATCATAACCCTCGTGCCCAGTGTAATCAATCCCTCCTCACTACGTTTGGAACAGCTCAAATTTTTGTCCCTGCGGGATATTCAATATGTTCTTAGATATGTTTGTCTCACTCTGCTCCTGGCCACATATACATGTAATGTTACCTCAGTGGTAACAGACGGAGCTATCAGCAAGTTCTCCTTGTTCACAGTTCATACCTCTCCCCATACAGGCGAAGTACCTTGTGCAGGCTGTGGTGTTGGGAGTCCAGGTGGTGGGACGAGCCTTCAGCAAAGCCCTGAGACAGGAGTTCCAGAGTAAGTCATGGGGTTCAACAGTAGCCTGGAGTCCAGCCATGTTTAGCTTTTAATAGTCTGCTCCCCAAGATCCGCTACCTCACCAGCGGGGAAGCTAACAAGGCTGGACTCCAGGCTAGTTCAACAGCTCTTCTCACAGCCTGCCTGATGCTTTACCTTTTCAGAGAATGAAAATACAAAGTACTGAATCACAGCATGCTTCATGGGATTCAGTTGCTTGACAGGGTTGTGACTTGGCATGTCCTGTGTGTTAGGATGTGGTATGTGGTCGCCAGGAATGTGTATTGTGTACTGTGTAATCATGGTATGACACATGAACCTTGGTGTCATAGCAGGGTATGTCATACAATCATATGAGCTATAATCCACTCCATAATGTAATTCAATTGGTATCTCTCCATGATCATAAAATACTGTACCAATACATCTACAAAACACTTCCAGGAAGTCTCTAATTTTTTCCTATTTCCTTTCAGATGCCCAAAGAGCCCAGCAAGCGGCCGGAGGAGGCAGACAGGGAGCCAAGAGGGCGGCCAGCGACAGCATGATGGGCATTTCTGTACAGGTAAGCTGATCATCACTAGGTCAGGAGCAGAAGAGAATTTAACTTCCTTATGAATTCACGGTGTCAGTTGATTTAGAGATTTCCCAGACCATAGATATAGAGACTTGTAAAAGTTCTACCTCCCATCAGAAATCCTGAATGAGGCACTCTAATGCGCTTGCCGTCTACTGGCTTTTCTTATGTGATCAAAATGTTTTTTACCTAGAGTGTCTGACTCTTTTATTTCCACTCCAGGAAGCAAAACAGATACTGAATGTTGACAAACTGGACAAAGAACTTGTTGAAAAGGTAAGTAGTTAATAATTCCTTACAAGACTCCAAAGGCAATCTGAACTTTGCAGGAGTTACTCAAAACACAACATAGCATACCATAATGCATAATAGATTCTTGTTTGAAGAACTGCCATTATAACTGGCCTGTGTCTTCAGTTAGGGCTTTCAACATTGACATACGTGTTGACTTGTTTCTTGCAGAATTATGCACACCTTTTTGATGTGAATGACAAGAAAAAAGGAGGATCATTCTACTTGCAATCAAAGGTAAGGATGTCTTTTGAAAATCAGACTGTTTTTTGTGTTTATCACCTGGCACATCCTTTTTAAAAAATCCTCAGGACCTTAATCTCCAAGCAGATCCCTTTCGGTGGCAAAAAGACAGTATCAAATTGGCCTGGGCAGTATCCATTAGCCAGAGATACCTTTCGGTGGCAAAAAGACAGTATCAAATTGGCCAGGCAGTATCCATTAGCCAGAGAAGGTTGCCGGCCACCGACAGTGGTGGGATTAGCAACAAAAAAAAAAAACATGGCCATATATAAAAAGCTAACGATCATTCCCCCACAACCTCTGCTTGGAGAGTACAGAACCTTACATTCATGTATTTTGTTGTCCCAGGTCTATAGAGCAAAGGAAAGACTGGATGAGGAGCTGAGACAGGAGGAAGTCAAGTCAACAGAAAAGAAACAGAAGGAAGATTCCGAGTCATGACAATATGGGGAACTTCATTGGGGTCATCATCAGAGGGTTGGGAGTGGACGTGGCTTGGGATGTGTTATTTGAAGGTCACTAGATCTTCAGGAACTTGGGACTGAACGGGATATTGAGAATCTTGTGTAAATATTTGAAGCTCATGATGATGTACAGAACTGTAGATTGTACATGTGCAAAGCTCCATAGATAGTTACTACAAGTTTTACCTTTGATCAACAATTTAGGTTGCCCCTACCCTACCCAACATTGGAATGTTTCCTCAGGTGCCATAGAGCACTGCAGCAATGAAGTTGTCCAGTGGCCTTGGTTTGCCCACAGTTGCCAAATTCAAGCTGAGCAGTGAACATCAAGTTTTCCTTTCAGGAAGGGAATATCCAGTTTGAGTGTATTCTTACCAGAAAGAATTTAAAATGCCCAAAAGGTGTTTAATGAAATTGTCCTTGGGGGATTTTCTTGAAGTTGTAACACATGATATAATATGTATTGTCTTTCATATGGTAGATTCTGCCACTGATTTCCCTAACTGCTATGTGGAGTATTTGCAGTATCACAACATCTAAATATATTATATGTAGGTCAATGTTCATATGATGTCTACAAGAATAAATCAGTTTTATATTTACAACTTGTCAACATGAATCATTCTTCTGAAGTTCTTAATACATAAAGCAGACAAGGACATTATGTAGTGACAATAATAGCATATTTATTGTACAAAACTACAACATATGTATACAACATGTGGCACTGCACAGGCATCTAGGTGTGAGTTCTACACATAAAATACAAATATATAGACTCTGAGGATTTGGTACAAAACTGGGACCAGCCCAGGACAAATTGTCAATGCACGCCATACAGACACGTAGATTTCTTTTCTATATACGACTATAACACAGTACTGTGGGCTGCCACATAAAGTCCAACTCCTGTCACTTTTAAACACAGGTCCTCAGCTATACACATTAAAACATGCTTCAAGGTAGAATTTGCTAGAAACATTTCTGTACACCAGACCAGTCCTTGGGTTGTCCAGCAGACATATTCCTTGACCAGTGCTTTTGATGTTGGTGATAAACTTGATTCCTTAAATTGAAAACATTTGTACACCAGAATGACCAGATACCTGTCTCCTCTGTTACAACCAGTAGCAGATTAGCTCTTGAGCTCTAGAACTGAATTAAGATCACCCCTTTAATCCATAAACTCCATAAACTTTCAATCATATGAACAGATATACATTATGCCCTTCAGTAACTGACTCTTGGAATGTATATCCCATGCATGGCACAGTAAGCACCCTTACTTCAAATTCAACTTCCAGTCATCTTTGAATTGGCAGCTACATATACACTGCACATGTGCATCTAAATCGAGGTAGTGTACAACACTCAACATTTTAGGGTTTTTAGATCCTAGAATCAGCTGTGATTTAAATTTGTGGCAGAAATTGTTTGAGCTTAAACGTGGCCATTTTCACTCCCTTCATGATTTGGCAGTGTTCTAGAGCTGCTTCAAAAAGAAGATGCAAGCAAAACCATTCATCTAAAGACACAATTTCATTACCTGTTTAACAGATACCTTTTTTTGACAACAGAAATGATAGAGATCCAACCTACTAGTATTACACTAAGGGAACCTTTGCAGATGCAACAGGACAGTTCAGGAATAGATACATCACTTCCTGGCATATGTTGTGACTCATCATAGCTGAAGGACTCTAGTCTCTCAACAGGCAGTACGTACCACTGGCAACAGTAAAGGATCAACAATAAAACAAGTGCTCACATTTTAACTGCAGTGAAAAGCTGCTAAATGTTGGTGACTTTTTTTTACCTATGCAGAACAATGGTCCTGCCACTGACTTCCTTTTTTATATTTATTTGGCAGAAAAAATCTCTACTTCTGCCACAAACAAGAAGCTAGCTCGCCTTTAAGTACGAATATTCAAAGTAGCAAAAACACTGGTCACTTAAAACTTGGAAAGACACCATATACATGACATTTCTGACATGCTTTCAGTCAAATACATGTATCACCATAATTATATACGTTATAGCAATGGTAAAGATACAACAACGTATAGGAATGCAGGCTCGATCTTTCAAAGACATTGGAACTTTACATCCTGTATAAAGTTTAAACATGGATCTACCGACTATGTGCCTTGATCCAATATTAAGGAGACCAGTGTTCAAACTTTTGTTAAACTGTGTTTTTTAAGGCAAGACTGTGAAATATCAGCTACTTTCTGACATTACCTTGCGTGATATACCTCTACAAGGGCTACTTTTTCTATACTTTTTGCATATAGAGATTTGTCCATATCATAGTGTATTTACATTATCTTACATGATTTGGCAGTTGGGTGAAAATTAAAAATTCAAACTCTTCACCATTCTGCCTTCAGAGTAGTGCTAGTATTTTACAAAATACCAAAGGCATTTGCCTTCTCTACCCTATCCAACTCTGAACTGGTCCCTCACAGAAAATATACACTTGTTACAGTGTAACTTACATATCCTAGGGTCAACTGGTGACAATACAGCACAAACAAACTTCCCACTCATATCTCAAGCTTTGAAAGTTTCTTTTAGAAACCTGTGTACTCCTAACAGAATCACACATCCAATACTCTCACAATGAAGAATTAAAATCCTTCATGTAAGGATAAAACCAAAGTCAATTCATTCTAAACGTTACACTTACAACAGACAAGCAGCTCCAAAGCACCTTGCACAGTCACATTGATTTGTAAGGTACATGTACATCCACAGAACACGTGTAGTGGCTGCGCTCATACACATCGTTTATAGGCAAAGCCTTACAGTCAGGGCCAACACTATCCCTGTAAAATCCAGTTACACAAGGTCTGATATGTCCTGGCTTTCATCTGTTCTCATATCAATGAATGCAACATTCATTGACTACTTAACTGTGTGAACCTACTACTGTATCTTCTCTGAGAAGATACACCCCTACCAACAGGGGTACCTTTATCCTTCTCTTGAGAAGTAGTGCACTGCCTGAATTTGGTCCCTGTCTTTCGATTCAAAACAAGTCAGCAAATCATCCTCCTCTCATGATTCAACTTCTTTTGGTCCCATCAAGTGTTCGTCCGCGTGTCGCGAGGTGCCGTCTGTCGACAAGTCCTGCACCTCAGAGTCCAGTTCGTTTCCGGAAGCGATCAGCGACTGGTCCAGCTCGTGCCCCTCTGAGCTGACCCCTTTAGTAGGGGATTCCAGCGGGGGAAGGGAGTTGGAGGTGGTGACCACACTGTCCGTTGTCGCGCTCAGGTGAGCGAGCACACCTGTTGTCACCGTGGAGGACAGGAAGGGGTTAGATTTACTAAGGATGGGGGACAGACCGATGGGCGTGGTGGGGGACGCCACCACCCCGATGTAGGTCGGCGTGGCGATGTAGGTGTGGCCGTGGTTGGGGAGGTGCGAGATACTGCTCAAGTCCAGCGGGCTGGGGCAGATGACCGTCGGACTGACCACCGTCACCAGGGTGGCCTGTTGGTCCTGTCCCGCCGACGTCGCCATCACAAACTCCTGCGCACCGGGAATGGTCAGATCCGCCTGCGAGCTGCCGTCATTCGGCGAGGAATCATCCCCGTCCGAGGTGTCCCCGCTCTGCTCGGCGGCCAGTTTTTTCTCCAGCTCCTGCCTCTTCTGCTCCTGTCTGGCCTGCTGCAGCTCCTGCTGCTTCCTGAGCCAGGCCTCCTGCTGGTCCTGGTTCACGTAGTGCCCGTGCGACTTGATGTGCTTCCTGAGCGAGCTGGGGTCCGTGTATCTCTTGTTGCAGCCGGCCATCTTGCAGTAGTAAGGCTTCTCCACGTAGTGAGTCCGGGTGTGCTTGAAACGGTCGCTGGAGTTGGAGTAGCGCTTGTTGCAGCCCTCCACGGGACACACGTATGGCTTCTCTCCTGGAGAAAAAACAAATACAAGAATGTGATTGTATCGCTCTTACCTTCAGTATTCTCATCTCGTAGTATTATATATGTACAACTTAATTGCTGACGCCAGGTATCCGTAAAGTCTCCAGTGAATTAAGTCACATGTCTGAGATTACGTTCGGAAATGATTGGTCATCAATTATCCTGATAAAGGTGACAGTGGTTGTTGAAAATTTGATCTCTGTGTAATCCTTGTGTTGGAATAAAGTTCAACATTTTACTATGTACAACTTCATTAAATACAATAATGGCCTTTTTTGGACTGACTAGCATTTTGGCTTATAGCCTAAAATCAGCAGGAAAAAGCCTTATTGAGCACCTAAATATGTATGAGCATCCTTTGACCATTCCACTGACCTGTATGTGACCTGTTATGAATCTTGAGGTTCTCCAGTCTTGAGAAGCACTTGTTGCACCTGGGACATCTGTGTGGCTTTTCGTTGGTGTGTGTCCGTACATGTATCAACATCTTATACCTACATGTACAGGACAAAGTAAGAAACGTCAATTACACAGCACGTATCTCCTTTCCTATTCAACTATGCAACTAATATCGTATTGTTATATCGTTGAAGAGTAACACCATCTTTGATACATTTTGTTTAACTTAACAATATAACACAGACCATTGACAATACAACAGTGCAGAAGAAAGTGTGCTCTTTCAAATGTCATTGCAAAACTCACTCATAGTCATAAACCAAGGCTTCCAAGGTGATATCCTGAAAGTGGCTTACGTATGTTGAATTGATTTAGCATTGCATGTTCTGTTTGCTAAAGCCCATTGAAAAAAATATTCTGTTTCCTATTTCAGTCCTGAAAAAATTTGGGTCTGTAGGTAGAGATTTTTTTGTTTACTTTGGCGATCTCTTATACAATACTGTTGAACCAAGTAAAACTTGCATGAGCACACTTCTATTTTCAATGTCAATGTTGGAAAACTGATTGCTCAACATTTCATCACTCAGGTATCACATCATGGAGCTAGGAAAGGTCGAAGCATAGGGTCGGCAGTTTTTTCTAGGGTCAGTTGGGAAACAGGAAACACAACGTTTTTTTTCCTTGGCCCTACATGTACCTTGCGTTGAACCCCTTCCCTCTGCGAGCACAGCCCTCCCACCGACAGCAGTACTCCACTTCCTTCTCCGGGCGGATGTGAAGGTCGTTCACATGGTTCACAAGGTCGTCCAGTCGCTTGAATTTCTTCCCACACTTGGGAGAAGCAGGGAAAGACCAGATTGGTAAATGAGACACAATTTTGTACTAAATACATTCCTACATATCAGTATACTCCTGCTACAATCAACAATTTACACAAGGATTTGTAAAAGTGCAACACACTTAGGACAATCATCACGTGAATACAAAGCTCAGTAGAAATACCCCCCAAAAAATTAGAGCAACTGTTACTAAGTATAAAATTATAAGCAACTTTGCAGCTAACCCACAAGATGATCAGATTTTCAGACCATCAAACAAAATTTGTGGAAATAAAAAGTATAATGTACAGTGTTCTGCAATACTGCAGAATGTTAAAATTTTGTTCTGCAATTCAGAAATACTTTATGCAAATAGACACTTATAAGTCTGGCCATGAACCCACAGCATATACAGAAAATTGCAGGTTACTTAATAATTTTTCTTCAGCAATATTGAAAATGTCTCTGCAAAATGCACACTGCAGGTGGGTATTTCTAACGCTGGTACTATACAAATGTAGTTTTTCCCCTCAAATCTACCCCAAGCAACACCACATACAGTAGGATACCATGCATGCAGAGGAAGCTTACAGTAGATTTAACCTTCTGCCACTTGCACTCAAACTCATCCTGCAGGCTGTTGCCGAGCAGTGCCCCGCCCGGCGACGCCACGTCGACCATGGTGTCCCCCGTCAGGAGGTAGGCGGGGATGGTCTGGGAGACCTGGGACACCGCCTGTTTGATGGTGGCGTGCACGCTGTCATCGTGAGAAGTAGAAAACTGCAGTGGAAATAGGAGGCACTGTTTTAAAAGCACAAAAGGCATATCAAATTACATATAACTGAGCTTAAATTACATATAACTGAGCTTGAAGACCTACAGTTTTTACTATCCTAATCAAACAATAAGGTTATACATTGGATGGCCTCATTCTAAAAATAGGTGACCCCAAACAAAGTCTGTTACCAAGGTAATTAAACATCTAGTGCTCTATGCCTAGAAATACACTAGTTTATATACAGTAACTGCCACAGACCAGGAACAGAATTATCAAATTTCAATTACACTACATGCAACATGACAAATGATTTTCAAGCTGCAGAACCAATTTTGTAGCCAATGTGAAGTTTGTTTGATTTGTTTGATTTGCTTGAAATTCTGGACAAACAGCCAACCCCTGAAAACACTAAAGTAGTGCTTGCACCTTACACCAAAAACTGTCAAATAAATTGAGTGTAAGAATTTCTATTTTTAGTTTTCTAAATTCTGAAAACATTTGACTTTCAACATTACACAAAGCTGAGCTTTTATCCTGACAAGTACATCACTAGAAAGCTTTAAACAACTGCAATTAAATGTGCAAAGATTATGTGTAACGGGTCGTTTAGTGTAATATAGCAGGCTGCCACGCCGTGTGCCTGCAAAGCTAGTGTATTATGCCGAAGGGCGGTTATACTGGCTACACCGATACAGATACAGACACATGCCAAATTTTTTTTTTTTTAGTCCTGGAAAGGGGTTAAAGGGTATCTCAATAAACTACTAAATCGTGATCTTACGTTAATGACAGCGTCGTCGGGTGTCATCCCCATGGAGTCACTGTCACTCTGTCTGGAGTCTCCCCCGTCTACAGACAGGTGTCCTGGCAAGTTCCCCGCTAACAGCCCTGTCGGCTCCAGAACAGCAGACACCACGGGAGAGTCTATCAAACTGGTGGGAAAAGTTGTTGGGAATTAATATGTAAAATATGTGATATACAAGTGTGAGACGTATAGATAACAGTATATCACATGGCAGGCACATTATTTTTGATATATGTCTAAACACTTGTCTAAAAACCATTTTGCCACTGAAATTTTTCTTTTAATACAAGTTAACTGGCTTGTACATACTGCTATGATTCAGCTCTATGATTAGCATCTTTTTAGTGTTATGAAGCAAGTTCAAACTGTAATATCCATGAAGCAAGTTCAAACTGTAATATCCAACACAATAAATTGAACTCATCCAAATTTTTAGTGTTATTTCTTCTTCAAGAGCATTATGCAAAGAGCCCCTATCATTGCTGCTGAAGGCTGTGAAGACTGGTGTTTTCAACTACATTGGTGTGTTACGCCATAAGGTAGTTATACCAGCCACACAGATACAGATAGTACACTAGTATCCAGTGTTCAATACCCACCTTGAGGAGGCTATGTTGAGAGTTACAGTAGAAGTGATGGGGTTGTCCTCACTCAGCAGGCCCAGACTGACTGATGTGACGGGATCCTGAAGTTCTGACTCCACAAGAACACCTACAACAACACAAAGCAGGGCTCAAAATACTTTTCTGCATACCTGCACAGAGTTACCTACAGGGTTACATATTTTACCTGCAGCAATCAGGATTTAGAAAGAATGTGAATGGATCATGCTAAAGACTGTTCAGAAACCATTGCAATTATGTCTTTTATCATAGGAGGTAGTTTGTAAGTAATTATGATATTCCAAATTTAGAAAACAAGAAAATAACTGCTACTGAACAGGTAACATTTGCAAAGCAAATGCATAATGTTTACCTTCGTATATGGTTTAATCCCTCCTGCTATAAAATTGCAACATGATGTCACCCAACACTAGTTACCATGAGGACAGATGTCATTGACTTTATTTGTTTGGAACAGAAAAAGAAGAAGAGGCAGAAACTGTGGAAAAACAATATGTTTTCCTTAGGCCACACCAATTTAATTTCTTGGTTAACGGATTCGCTGCTTCATTTTTTTCTGATTTGCAAATAAAAATAAAAATCCAGAATCAACTGCAAAATGCTCATATTTTGCCCTGAACAGTTGAAAACAGACCTTTCCATCCTAGTTGTTACATTTATTCCATCTTTCAATGCAATGAATGATATCATTAAAAGTTCAAAATTCATTGTTTAAATTTTGAACCAGCCTGGTGTGTTGACTTCATGGCTCCTATCGTACCATTTTGGGCCATAATACGATGCCTAGGCCTGTTTTTATTTATTTTTATTTTTTCGCCCGCCCGCTCCATTATTTTTCTAGAAACATCCGTTAACCAAAAAATTAAATTGGTGTGGCCTTAGGTAAACAAATACAAATACTTTGTGCACTCATTTTCTGAAGCGATATCTACATTACTAGAGTCCCCCTGACCTGTTCCTGCCAGTACGGGTGACCTCTGTATGACGGACACGTGGCCGCCGGCCTCCTCGGAGCTCAGACCGTTGTCGCTAGAGTCGTCTCCGTCCTGGTCTGATTGGCCGGGGCTGGGGACCCTGTCCTCTGTATCCATGGTGATGCCGCTGTCGTTGTGCCGCTGTACGCTGTCACACGTCATGTCCAGCGGCTCGTCACTGTCCATCTGAACACAGACAAGGCAGAGGTTTAAAAGAAGGCTGTCTTTTTTCTCTTCTTCTATATTGCTTAGCATTCTTTTCCTTGTTTAACTCTTCCCTCTCCCTTTGTTTTGGCTGAAAGAAATTGCATTGTGCTGTTGATTTGGGGCTAAATGGACAATTTAGGGGTTTGGACTACCTTTTCAATGGGTGTTTTTATGGTCTAATTGATAACTTTAAACCTCAAGTAGGTGAACTGAAAGCTTGTTTCTTAGATGTTTACCATATAATTCAATGGGAGATTGAAATTTACCAATTTCCCATTCCCAGGATGCACTGCGCCTGGGGGTAAAAATTCCAGGTTGCATACCGCAAAATAAAAAAAAAACAAGCTGTTTAATGTCAACAGGATACCTTCCTGAGCTATGCAACCTGGGAAATTCTACCCCCTCAGTCACAGTGCATCTTGGGAATGGGGAAACGGTGACTAGTGGTCCGTGCCCTTAAGTTTAGAATGCCATGTATCCTGGTAGGAGGAACTGACTTTTGTAGCGAGTAGACCCTGATCAGGACAGCACCTAGACTGACTGAAGTAGGAAGTACACACAGGCAAGGCTAATCTATCAGCCAGACAGGCCATGTGACAATGATATAACACTTTCTACTCGTGACACATTTCCCACAGCCAAAATGGGCAAAACAATGCAACATAATATATCGCCAGAAAACAATCCAACATTACTGCCTTGTTGTGAAACATTAGCTTCATCAGAACGCGACAGAACATAGCCTTTATCCGGACACCCCACACACAGACTACCTGGAATCTTTAAAAGGCTTTAGAAGTAAATGATAAGCAAGGTAGACAACAATGCTCGGCTGGCAGGTTATCTGCAGGGGTGCCATTCCTGGCATTCCTGGCTCAAAGGAGGAGGGCTTGGAAACATTCCCGAATAAAGGGATCGCTGGCCGACATGTCAGCAGAGGCTGTGGGAACCATGTCAGACCTCCAGTCCAACCGTTCCACTTCAGTAAAGGACATTGTGGCAGAGTCGTGGTAGCTAGTAAACAGAAGACAGAACGAAGGCTGCTAGCCATGTACCTGGTAGCTGATGTAGCATTGTACCGTTAGTCGAAGCACTAACAGTACACTACTCTCTAACTACAAGCAGAGGTTGGTGGGGAAGATTGTTACTTTTCTGTATGTGTCCCGTTTTTCTGTTGCTAGCCCCTGGTAGTGGTAGGGGTAGCGACAGAAAAACAGGGATATTACTAGTATATTGAAAGGTAACAATCTTCCCCACCAACTTCTGCTTGGAGAGTAACAGTACACAACTCAAGTATGAACTTTACATTAGTGACCTCCTTTTCCGAAAAACGTCAAAGATAAAGGTTTAGTCTAATGACATGGCAAGGCAGTTCCCATTTTTTTGACCAACAAACTCTTGGCTTTTAGCACAAAGTTTTCAGTATCTCATGCAGTCATGGGGTATAATCTGAACCCGTGATGGTTCTGTGAAAATTGATGTCAGACCAGACAGAGCAGGATGATGTGGATCTGAGTTTCTGGATTCCTCCCCTCCATTCCCCAATCTGTCTTGCATCATGACCTGGGCCGACGACATTCCTGTCTCCCTTTATCTCCAGACCAGGCCGCTCACAAATCCAAGTTCAAACAGCGCGACCCCCTGCCGGGGCATCCCGGGTCAACTCTGATCTTGACCCCTCCTCTCAACAGCAATGCAAGATAATTGTCAGCCGGTTCTGGTTACTTCCTGTTCTAACATCTGCTAGTTTATATCTGACAGGAACGTCTACACCTCCGGAATATACTCAATATACTGTCAACTTAAGCTGGGGTGTTATGCCAAGGGGCGGTTATACTGGCTATAAAGATAAATATACAGATACTAGAAATTCTTATTTCTAGTAAATGTATATATATCTTTATACTAAAGAAATTAGTGACAATTTTTTTTGGGGGGGGCAAGATTCTACCTTTTGGTCTTGACTCTAGATTCTGACATGACAACACCTTTCATATCTTTTGAATGTCGACTCAATGTAAGAATATTTCCTGTCCATTTTTTCTATCATATGTTTTTTTTTTACGTCTTTACCACTATAATATTTCTGGAAGACCAATCACATACAAGATTGATAAACAAAATGCTAGCTGGGAGGCAAATACCATGCACATGGAATCAGGGAAGACACAAATTTAAAACTTGTATCTAGGCCTGAAGGGCAGAAGATGGCCCCTGGCATGTTACCTATTACAGAAACTGTTTGAAGTGGCAATAGACTTGAAACAACGCGGATCCTGTTACCCCTCTGTCTGCCAAAAGGTCGCCGAGGTCACAAGATGCTGGAGTTATCCCTGGTGAGACAGGGTGTGTGTTCGCAACAATATTATGGCTTGGAAATGTCTCGCCGACTCAGGACTGTCAGTCTATTACTTAGTACAAATGCCCATCTTCTGTTTCAGGTGTGTGATACCATGTTACACAGTTAGACACACCTTCACAGCAACAGTATTGGCGAAGGCAGTATCATTTCGTTAGGCTAAGGCTGGCCTTAAAAAAGGTTATAAAAAATATAGTTCATAACATTTCCTGTTATCATGTTCACAGAAAACATCACTTCCATTGCAAAGTTGGTTTGGCGGAGTAAAAATTAACACTTCTGTCTAGCTGGAAAGCATATCCTTTCCCTGACACCTACCAAATTTGTACCATACATGATAGCATGAGTTGTTCTAGCCTCTACCAGGCTTCAGAAGCAACTTCTGAAGCCTGGTAGATGCTAATCATTTTCAGTTATCACGTTCACAAACCAGCAAATAAGTGTGAAAACTGAAAACATCAGTTGAACTGTTCCCTTGCCAAGTTGGTTTGGCAGAGGAAACAAGAACACTTCTGTCTGACTGGAAAGCTTATCCTTTCCCCGCCATGGGCTAAGTTCACTGGTTCCAAATTTGTACTGGTTCAAAGCCTAAATCAGCAGGAAGAAGGTCTCCAAAGCCAACTCCAGGTTTGCCTGTTAAAATTTCTGGTGAACCAGTGTCTGTGACATCCTTGTTTGCCATATCCAAAGAACTTTTTGATGTATTACTCCCCTGGGGACCCATGTGTAGTTCTACAAATATAATGCTGACTCTTAAGTCAGAAATGACCCGTGTATTAACTATAGGAAGAAAAGTTCCTATCTCAGAGTCAAGCGTTGCATGTGGTAAACATTAAATCTCTGATAACCGAAAATTCTAAAACTTCCAAACCTACTGCATACCTGAGCTGACAATCGCTGCATGTCACATTCCGATCAAACTTAAGAAGCAAATCTACAGCGTGTTTCTAATTAGGCAAAAGGTACAAGAACTGTGCCAAGGTAAATAAAATCAGTCCCAGAGCTCTGGAGGAAAATGAATATGATTCTAATGCTTCTAATTGATCCTAATATGTTACAAATAAGGACTTTTCTTGCACTAAAAACCTTTTAGCCAAAATACCTGTCACAAGTGTGTACATCAACAGATAACTCCGGCTTATGACAAGTAAACACCCACAAACACATATCCTTACCTTTAGCCCTTAAAGCAGCACTCCCAACTAATTGGTTGTGGTACTGACACCAGGAATATTCGGTTCTGAAGGCTATCCTTTGAGTTACCTTACCTTTACTCAGTCCCATCTATGGTCCCCCCAAAACATTTATAGAGAGAAAACTGTGCCAAAGTGACACACAAAGTATTGCACCTGTAGCTCCATGAATGGCCCCAGATAGCCACCTAGGGGGTACTTTTACTCTAAGTAGGTCTCAGACTGTTGATCTTGGGCTATCGGATGTCTCCCAGTCAATGTCAGCCTCCGCAGGGGGCCGACCCCCCACAATGCACACTCAAGGCAAATATTTACCAACATTGGACCTTCTTACGGCCTACTTTGCACAAAGACTAGTCATGTTCGTACTGGTCTGATGGAAATGGAGAAAAGCATCGGGACAGCTTGTTTACCCACATGTATCACACACACACCAGTGGAATTCCAGCCCCCATGTATACTATTACTGCCAATCCACTTAATGTTCACACAAAATATTCACTGCAAAGGATAAAAGCGTAAAAGACCTGTTTGCGCAGGAAACAGTACACGCTAATACTTCGTTCCCCACATTGTGCCGAGGTCTCGGATACACATACATGTGTGACACAGTTCTTACAGCGTTGCGACCAGTGTCTGTAAATATACTGGCTGTCATCCCAGACCACCGGCGTCTTGACAGGCAGTACCTTGTTCTTACAGCATTAAGGCCAACAAATGCGATACAAAATGTACTCATTCAACAGTATTGTGTCAACAGACGTTAGTAAAGCTTCTAGGTCAAAATAAGTTATAGTTGCAGAGACCTCAAGCCCTGGATTCGGAAGGTGGTCTTAAATACTGCTACAAATCATTCAAATAAAAGTAGCAAAATTACAATAGCAGGAGCTGATAGATTTGATAGAGGATATCCTCTTCTGAAAAGGGAAGTGGACAAGTTATCACATGGTTTATCATGCAAATACAAACTGTCTTCTTTATGTATTACCATGTCTGCTGTAATTTACATAACTCTTGTAATGTTGTATATTATAAATAAATCCAGAAGAACATATTATGTTTTAGAAAACTCATCCAAATTCACTTTAAAAGTCTATGTTACTCAAAGATACATGATATGGACAGTTTTTGTGCTAGGAAAGTGGAACTTGGAAGTTTTGCTCTTCGGTTCATAAACAGTATATCATGAATGTTGACAGATTCAGCCTTCAAAAACAATGCAAGTCTTCACATCAGCCCTGTGCCTGTCTACTAGTGGTCCCCTGTGCTCCAGTTATCACCAATGAAGGCCCCCTTCTCCAAACACAGCTGCAGGTATTTTCTGAGAATCAATGCTATATTTGTGCAGATAATAACTTCCCCATAGCAAAACCTACCGTAGCATTATTTGGCTTTGCGCGGGGGTTGAACCTTTCCCAGAATAGCCTGCACCTGAACAATCTACCAACCAAGGACAAACACAGGGAAATCTGCCCTCCAGGGAGTGGGGAACCTTTGAAAGAAGTTGCATTACAAGCAGCTTTCCAAAGACACCCTTGAACTTGAAGCAAAACTTAAGAATGAGAGCAAAAGTTCAGAGAGCAACGTGGCTCTAACTTCTTGGATCTAAGTTCAGCCTGGCCCAAGTCAAATTTGTGGATGAAGAAAGATAATCATTATTATAAATCTGCTATAAGTTATAACTTCAGTAGAAAGAATTCACTCCATTTCTCTTGCCTACAAAAAAACAATAAACATAGATTGACATTATTTACACAACAGTAATAACATAAACTGAAGAAAAATGCAAGTTAGTTAACAATTTTATACATCTCAAATAACATTCTTGTTCTTAATCCCATAAAAGACTTTCAAAGTTCCAAAGTAAACCAGATAAGCTAGACAGTAGCCAACTACAACATCATTACATCAATGCACCCTTAGTGTTTGGGTTCCCTATTCTCCCCAGGAAGAGTAAGCAAGAGTCTTACAACTTGTTTTACTGAGTGCCTAACCTCACAAAGGCGAGATATGTAAAACATTGTTTGACATATCTTGCCTCTATTTTGGGAAAGGTTATCTTTGCCACTGACATTTCCTAGGGACAACCTTGATCAACAGGAAGTCCACTCTGTAAGACCTGTTAAGTTTTAGTTCAATATCAAAGGTTACCTACCAGTAGACCTGCCTTCTAACCTGTTTCATCAGTATAGACAAGGAGGGTAAAAATCACAGACAACCTTCTCTCCAGGACCAATTTTCTAGGGACACCAGGTCTCTAGTGATCTTACATTTTACCTGCATGTCACTCAGCTATAGTGTCTGACAATAGGCGGTTTGAAGTGATGAGGCAAGAAACCTGACAGCTTGGGCAAGGCTGAAATAGTTTCTGAAAAACTGAAAGAAACAATCCTGTCTGGTTACATTCAGAGTAAAATAATGGGCTACCACACTCTCTAACATTATTCAGAGCCTTGATTAGCGCTAATTGTTTGTGTATGGCTGACATGGTGACAGGTTTCCCTCTTGAGCCTCCTTCAGGCCCTGTTAAGATTAGCCCAGATTGGTTTGCTTGCTCTGGGTTCAGGAGACCCGGTTTCTGGGATAGCGTTAGTCATGTGACTGGGTTCATGCGGGCAAGAAACTAGGCAAATTCTGTATGTTACACAATCCCGAGCATCATCATTTCTGTAAACATTTCGTACGTTTGTCGCAGAGGTTTTCGGGATTCAAGTTTCCAAGTGTGAAGTCTTGACATTTAAAAGTTGATACCATTTAGATTTGTGTTTCTGTAATGCAGGTTAAAGATTAAATTTTGGAAAGCACATTTCAAAGAAATTGTTACAACGATTTCAACCTCTTCACACCTGTTTGACACACATACAGATTCCTCTGGAAGTTACAATGGAATGACTGCCTTCACATACAGTTCCACATGTGTGCTGTGGTCTCGTGGGCCAGCAACCCTACTTTTGGATCTTCTGGATCTGGACTAAGATTTTCAATGGTTAATGTTACATGTAGTAGAATATTTATCAATCAATGACTCTTTTGAAACGTAGCAAACACGTACCTCTAAATTTCGACGTCCACTGTCTACGTGACCTAGTCTCACAGAGTGACCTAGTCTGCTTCTCTTGTACAAAGAAAAACCAAACTTGAAACTGAAATGATTAGGTCTGCAAGTTCTTAAGGTACTGTACCCTTAAGATGCTAATCTTCCTGGGCTCATTGAACAATAGTATACACATACATAAAACAGATATACACTTAGTACATTGACAATCAAGGTAGAATCAAGAATTAAGGTGGAATCGAGAATTAAGGTAGAATTTAGAATTAAGGTTGGCAAACAACTTGTGGGACTAATGACAAATTAACTGCAGGTTTCTCTGGAATGTGCTCATAAGGCCATGGTTGACATCACTGTGAAAGGTATTCAAAATCAACAACAACTGACACTGTGGTTAGAAACCTTAAGAAAGTCATTTTTTAGCTAAAGAATTGATCAAGGTGACAATGGGAAGAAAAAAACAACAAGCATTGCAGCAAGATAAATTGTTGGTACACAAGAACTTCCTGAACCCATAAACCATATAACCTGTGTATGATTATCCCACCACTCCCCCAACATTCCTGCCTTGCTGTGTGCTACCACAGCGGTCTTGACTCCTGTGGTGTGTGCTGACTGGGATTGGACGCTCTACAACCGCCTGCAGCTCTCAGTATACTGGTACTGAGAAACGAACCTCCGCAAAAACTTGCAACGGTTTCAGGCCCAACCGCCCAAATTCCAGCCAAGTTTCCCTCACCCACCTTGCCTCTGTGGTCTAAAGCTCCCTAGGATCGGTGAAGCGAGTTCGGGGAGTTGGTAGGAAGGCTCACATCACAGAAAAGAAAGAAGATGAAGCCGGTCCCACCGTCTCAACAACCCCTTTGAAAATCTGGGCTCTGTCAGCATGGAGCCTTTCCGAGTGCGCATGCGCCTGGCAATTAAGACCCCCTACATGCCAAACATTACGTCATCACCGTCTGGGAGACCTTCGCGGGGGGTCCCCGCAAGCACGTGACGCTTGTGCCCCAAACGACCTGCCTGGGGGCCAAACAAAGGGGATTTTATGAATGGTTTTCAGGGGGGCACAACTTCGCGCCAGATCCTACAACAAGATAGGATGTAGGACGTTTCGTGACAACTATGCATTCTGTGAGTGAAGGCATCAGAGAAATGTTTTGTTGTGTTCAACGTCGGGCAAAGCTGGCTGCCCAGAGTGTCCAGACATCAGGGGTCGGAACAAGCCACAAAAGGCACGGGGAAAATGTGGCGGGAAATCTATTTTTGCGCGCCAGCTGGCGGGCGTAAATACCAACAGCTGATCAAACCGGATGGCCAATGACAGAGCCCCCTTTTTCGCGGTAGGGGTAACTTGATTGACATGGGCAAATATCAAGCTATTTGACACCCTTCCTGATTGGTCGTATACACATTCCATTCATGCATCTTTTCGAATTGAGATTTTTCTTGGCTTTGTGCCATTTTACTTCTGCCAGAAAAGACAATAGGCAAAAGTAGACCAACAATATTATTTTCTGATTATCCTATATTTTTCTAAGATGACGTTTGATGCACTTTCACCCACGGAGCTGAAAAACTTACGAACTAGTGTTTTGTATGCATCCCTCGTTTGCAATTCTCCCTACCATAGCGGGACAGCTGTTGACATTGTTGGGCCTTTTCCCGCGCCTCAGCTGATGCCCGACGAAGCACGTACCATATCCTGCTGCAATAAAATAGTACAAATTTGTATCATTGTAAATAAGCATGACATACACCAACTAAATCAAATACAACTCAATGAAGAATTCAGTTGCTAAAATTTGGGTTTGGGAAGGAATCTGTCGGTGGTGACAGCAACGGAAGGTTGGTGCAGGGATTCTCGACTGCGGAGGGATATGGGCACACATTCCATGCAGCTGAGCACCCAGCTGTTTCCCGCCACTTCACCTCATTTACAACGTTTGTTGTTACACTTACGTTTTCTGGCCTTGGAATTGCGTGTTACCTGCAGTTTTCCTCAGGATTCAGGAGATTTGCTTCCTCGGTATTTTCTGTGAGTTGATGGCCTTTCAGCCACGCGGCAAGAGAGAGATCCGGGCGACCGAAGCAGAGGTTGTGGGGAGCTTGTGTCGGTACGTCACACGCACACGCTTTTGTCTGTCAAAGCACCGATATTTCCATTTTTCATTTCAAATTCAGGGTGTATTTTTGCACGAAAGCATATCATCCGTGTTCCCAATAACGTAGCTGTTACGGGAAAATTATCCTGGTCTCAAGTTACTGTGGTACAGCGGAGAAATCCTCACAAAATCATGTCTTGTGGGGCGTTGTCGCCTTCTGTGTTGCAATCTTGACTGCAGCCCACGTGAGCTGGTGCTATCGTCGTCCGTACTTTCTCTTTCCCTTTCGTTTGCACCTTTATTGCAAAACGATCACGGTAATCTATATCAAGCTGTTAAGTATATTTGATCTGACGTCTTGTGGTCGCGGAGAATGTTTCTAGATGCTGTTAAACGGCCAGAATTCAGATGTGTTGGGCGTTGTCTCCTCGTGTTTTGTTGCAATCTTGCCAGCTGGCCGCACGTGAAACCATCTTTGTGTTTTCCTTTCCGCATTTTCTGCTCTAGGGAAATAGGTCATATTCGCTCCATGTCTTGCCGTATATGAAGCGGAGCCGACGCCCAGCTGAGTCCAATAATCATGCCCCGAATCTTGTTGGATCTCCAGACAGGAAAAATCGATGAAATTTTCATTATTTCTGGACATTTCAACGGCGCTTGTGAGCTCACGTGGTCCGGGTTCCGCGCCGCTCCAAAGCTAGCCGGGGCCGACGCTACCGTGTGGTGTGCTCGTATTACCCCACAAATCTACACGTTTTTTCCCACATAAATGTTCCATTTTCCAGCGATCGTACCTCAGTAATATAGCACAGTACGTGAGCGCCGACAAATGTTGACATTTTGAGGCCGTTGACTCGATATTTTCACACGACGCTTCACCACAGTCTGTTGGGTGTATATAAATTTTCTCGCACCGCCACATGATCACGTCCCATATGGAAGTGAAAATGGGGAAGTGTGGCAACTCACACCTTAGGATTAGATTGCTTCCACTTGTATCACCGATTCCCGACGAGGTTTGTTATGGATGGACCAAAACACGGGTTTATTTTGGTGCCATGTGTTGGTTGTAGTATTTGCACGATGTGGGTGATCTTTGTCCCCCACGGCCACACAAGCAGGCCCCGCGTTTGTGGCCCAGACGCGACAATCATCACATCGACCTATATTTTCTAACCCAAATCCTTCCATTTCTGTTCCGTATTTCTGAACAAGAATTTGTCGTATGTTGTAGGTGTCACAGTTGTATAGGAAGCGGTGATTTGGAGATCTTTTGTTTCGATGCCGGTGTGTTTTGTTGTGGTTGTGTGTGCCGTGTCCCGATACACATTCCTATCTCTAACCAACTACGCAAATGTTGACACGGTTCCCGAATTTATATTGACAGTCTCGGACGCAAAAATGGGCCAATGGAAGAAAAATCACCTCTCGTACAACACGGAATTGACTGCCTACTACATCGGGGGAAAACGGCCTGTTCAGTGTTTTGACTGGTAGTGTTTTGAAGCTGAATAATTTATCACTGAGAAGACTAAAATTACACCTGTTCACAGCACTATACTATAAACCATACGTTTTACTAGCCTGTAGTTAAACTGAGGCGTTTTGCACAATGTCAGGGAAATAGAGGAAGGGGTATTCTTATTTCACAAGAAGTAGAATCCTACAACTACTGTCACAGTTATTCTTTCACTCTGCAGGAACAATAGTCAAGTGTTGGCTCAGTTTCCTTTATCATAGAAAATCCCTCTGTTTATTTGTTTATACCTGTTGTCACTTTGCATATGAGAAGACTGAAAGTGAGAGTGAAATGGAAGACAGTGGTTTCCCACTGCCCTTGTTTTGTTTTTTCTTTGTGTCACTTTCCCTTTCAAGCCTGTTTTGTTGTGTTGGGGGTGGGATAAAAGCCACCTGGCCTGATGTCTAGCAACCAAAAATAATTTGCATAATAGCATGATGTCATGGTTGACAGGAGGGGCGGAGTCGGGATGAAACAGCTGCTCCATGTGTCATATGGTTGACTCCACAAACTTACCAAACATGGTAGTATAGTATACTCCACGCTTAGATGGCAGTTTTGCAGAAAATTATTACATCTTGGTGGTCAATTAGAAAAGGACAAGAGTGCATTGTTAGAAGGTTTCTGTTTTTTCTCATATTGATTCATTAAATCTTTGATGATAATGTGTAACTATCAGTGAAACATGTGCCAATCTGTATGGCCAAATGTGTTGTAGGTTCTTCATGGATCACATTGTTTCCAAAGCTAGGAATTATGTAAGACCTAGAGGCGGAAAGGAAACTGTATTGTATCAGTATTGAACTAGCCATAGATATAATCTATCAAACAGAATGTAAAAGGTATGATCTCCCTATTATAACACTAGTAGTACTGTACAGATTTTGCCTGTCTCCCTGCTGGTATGGAAATTAATGTATCAGTATTGAACAAGCCATAGATATAATTTGTACGATGTGTATCACTGTCTGTACCATACAGAATGTAAAAAAAATATTATTGTTATTAATGTAGTACTGTGGCTGTCTCCCTGGTGGTACCACTTGTGTGTTTCCCACACAGCCCACCTTGTCCTGTCCTGTTTGCCTGTCTGCCAGTGGCCCTGCTCCGGGGATTCTTATAAATTAGGCCTGTATTTGTCCAGTTGTGTGCCTGTCCTGCTTGTGTTGTTGTAGGAGAACAAGTGGAGTTCTGTGGAGTCTGGAGGGTGTTTGTCCTGAAACAGGTGCCCCTCATAGGGACCCTCTCTCCCCTGCCAGGGGCTGTATTCATCTCCTCATGCATATCCCACCCCCTCATAGGCATCACAAACAATGCACACTTCCGGCTGCTTTTTTATAATCTCCAAGCAGATCCTAGGGAGGCAAAAGACTATATCAAATTGGCCAGGCAGTATCCATTGGCCAGAGAGGGTCCAATTGGCCACCCAGGGTAACGAGGAAAAAAAAGGGCCATATATAGAAGGTAATGATCTTCCCCCATTAACCTCTGCTTGGAGAGTAGTTTTTTATGCAGAATACAAACATTTCACACCAAAATATTATCTTCAGAGCAGCCCATGTATGTTTTGTACTTGTAGGTCATAATTGTGTATATAAAAACTGTAGGTTCCTTTGAAACAATTAAACAACATTTCTAGTTGCTTTTTTATGTGGAATACAAACATTTCACACCAAAATATTATCTTCAGAGTGGGCCCATGTGTGTTTTGTACTTGTAGGTCTTAATTGTGTAAAAAAAAAAACTGTAGGTTCCTTTGAAACAATCAAATAACATTTTAGTTTCTTTTTTATGTGGAATACAAACATTTCACACCAAACACATTTCTCACCAAAATATTACCCTCAGAGTAGCCTATGTGTTTTATGTAGGTCTTAATTGCTGTATGTAAAAAGTTAAAACTGTAAGTTCCTTTGATGTATTTTTTGTGGTGTTTTCTAATAAGCAGGTACAACTTTAGGCAACAGAAAATAACCTATTATTACCATGCACACCACTTGTCATATCATTGAGGATATTAACCTGGACTCCCCATTGTGCTTGCTTCTCACACATCAAAACACTGGTAATTGGCGCTGAATGTTTTCTGGCAACGACCCCCTCCGTTCATCCATATTTCATGATGTTATGATTTATAATGCAGTGCCAGATCCTGTCAGTAGTCCAGAGTGTTGCCTTCCCAAGTGTTATGATTGTCAGTGTTTCATTATGAAGTCTGGCTCAACGCCAACAAGGTTGGGTGCTGAAATGTCAAGAACATATAAATTTTACATCATGTTTCGATACTAATTTTACCATCCAATAACAATATAATGTAATAAGGTAATAACAATAAACATTCTTGGTTGATGGGTAAAGATAAGGGTTGTAATATGAATCATAATCATCATATAATAAATCATGCAATAATCAAGTCAGTTTACCCAAACATGAGTAATTTTTGCCAACTGGTAATTTTGAGTACTCTCCAAGCAGAGGTTTGGGTTTTTGCTTAATTTAGTCATGTTTTGAGGCTTTTTATTGGGCTTTGTTTTTTGCACTGGAGTCTTTTTGGCACAAAAAAGAAAGCCTGCTAAAAAAAGCCTACAAACCCACCTGAATTAAGCCGCCAAAGACCAAACCTCTGCTTGGAAAGTAAATTTTGAGGAACTGTCACTGCTGCTGTGTTGTGGTGGGCACCATGACAAGCAGATTGTTGATGGGCTAATTTGACTGCTCCAATCAGAATGGCAGGTCCTGGCACAGATGGGGGCTGAAGAGTGTGCTTGGCAGTGTGCCAGACTGGGTCCCCTGGGAGAGGGGTAATCAGTGAGCTGTATTGGGTAGTTTTCTATTACTGTTGCTGCTGCCACCTGTTCTGCTCTGAATGCTGTGTCCTTAGCATGCCCTTTCAACAGTTTACTCTGATCCCTTCAACTTGCCCCCGCTTTGGGGATCAGTAAATTCAGTGTTTGTGTGCAAAAAGGAGAATTTTAGAATCACAGCTGGAGTTTTTTTATTGCATTTTATCCTCTGGTAGACTTTTAAAAAATTACTCGTTTTATTTTTAGTGTTCATATTTGCACAGCTGGGTGGGTACTCCTGTCAATGTTGACAAACTGATTTTTTATTGAGTCCAACAAGGTGAACATAATCCTGGAGGGGAAACAAGGACGGGTCTGTCCAAAGGTTGCAATCAACCACTTGTAAAAGGGATTGTATGTCATTTTCACTCATATAAGATAAAGAAAGGTTGGACTTTACAAGGTATAATATACTTTCCAAACAGAGGTTTAGGGTGCAGCTTATTTTTCATGTGTTTATAGTAATTATAGGCATTTTTATTAGTCTTTCTTTTTTGTCCTGGTATATTTTTTTGCTATATTGGATGCTGCCCTGCCAATTTGATACTATCTTGCAGCCTCCAAAAGATTTGCTTGGAGATGTGTTCAAGTATGTGTAGCACTATGTTTATGTTTCCAAAATCATATCCAGTTGCTTGAGTAACTGTTTTTTCGCCTGTCTACTTACCTTGATATCTAACCTTCATTGACGTGTTAGACTATGTGTTATTTGGATGTTAAGAGTTTTGTGCATTATGTTTCCCAGACTTGGATCTGCATCGATGGACAAGACTGTCCGAAGCATCCAAAATATCTGCTTGCAGATTAGTTACAATGTGTTTAACCATGTGTTATTATTACAATATTAAGAGTTTTCCATGTTTTGCTCCTCAGACTTGGATCTGCATCGATGGACAACGAGACTGTCCGCCGTGAGCACGAGCGGCGGATCCGGCGCGAGATCGCCAACAGCAACGAGCGGCGCCGCATGCAGAGCATCAACGCTGGCTTCCAGTCCCTCAAGACCCTCATCCCACACAGCGATGGGGAGAAGTTGAGCAAGGTCAGCAGCTTTCAGTTTCTGTTTTTTTCTTTTACCAACAGTAACACTCGGGTATATAGACTAGATTTAAAAACCCGCACGGTGACTTGGAATGGACTCTAACAACCTGTTTTTCAGACCAAAACATGACCAATGCAAGGTTGAAGAGGGTCTGGTATTCTCCCCCCCCCCCCAAAATTTGAATCTCATAACCACAAGACATTATTTCTTGCTTATTCAGGGACATATTTTGTAATGTTAATGTTTTCCCTGTGTTGTAGCTTCATTTTTAAGTCAGATTTCAACTTTTGAAAGATTTTTTAAGGTTCTCCCCACAAAAAACACCCTGGTTGAAAGACCAGCGTAAGGGTGTGGCGGGCTTAATCACAGTGTAGGGGGTCCAAATCACAGCATAGGGGGCCCTATCCTCAAACAGCCTAGTGAGAACTATGATAAGCCTGACCTAACCATTGTTGTCCCCCCTCCCCAGGCTGCCATCCTGCAGCAGACAGCCGAGTACATCTTCGCCCTTGAGCAGGACAAGACGCGGCTCCTTCACCAGAACTCCCAGCTGAAGCGGGCGCTCAGCGAGCTGATGGAGGAGAAGGGCGGCTCGCCGTCCCCCAAGCGGAAGAAGATGGACAGCGAGAGCCGGGTGTCGGACGAGGGGATCGCTGACGTCGCAGATGACCACGAGTCGATGGAGAACATAAAAAAGCAGATGTTGGATTTACGGTGGGTCCCTCTTCGTATTTTTTTCTTGAATTTTCTCTTGAATTTCCTATCATGTTGAGTTACATCAGAAATGCCTGCACAGCTCCAATTTTTCCAGCACTAACCTGCATATACCCAGTACATGTACCAGTGCAGGTTAGGTACAGGTAGACATCAGAAATACCTGAACAGCTCCAATTTTACCTGCACTAAGTTGCATGTGCAGGTGGTATTTTGCGCCCTGCTCATGTGTGCTGTTCTGCCAAAGTGAAACAAACAGTTGCCATAGTAAAATGTTTAACTTTATTCCAACACAAGGGTCACACAGAGATCAAATTTTTAACCATCACTGATGCCTTCATTACAATAATTAATGACCAATCACTTCTGAACATAAACAGCTGTCAGCTGGACAAGGAGCGTCGTCTGCGGATGATGCTGGAGGAGCAGAACCGCTCGCTGGAGGCGCAGCTGTACCCGGAGCGGCTGCGGGAGCTCGCACACCAGGTGCAGATCCAGGCGCAGCAGGACGTCCACCGGCGGATCGTGGAGCAGCACCAGCTCATCCCACAGCAGGTGCAGGTGCAGATTCAGGTGAGGACCAACGGCTTTAGCCAGCACAGGTTCATGATTGGACCTAGGGGGAAAATGCTCACAATCTAGGCTGGTTTGGGGGCAAATTTTTTTATTTTCAAGCCTTTAAAAATGCAATTTCTCACATTTTGAAAGGCAAATCATAGGGTTGAGAGTGATTGTTGGTGGTCCTTTGGATGTTGTCATATTTTTACCAAAGATTTCTGTAAATTTTGTCCATCAAGGTTGACAGAGTGGTTTAAAATTTATCCGTTCCCTGGCCTTAGATACAGATTTCCTGTTGTTGTATGTTCTGTGTGATACTTTTGTGGTGGTCAGTACTAACGTCAGACGTCCTCTCCAGCCCCAGCCGACCCCGGTGATCGCCGTGCCTGTCTCTGCCATGACGACGGTGTCCCAGGACGCGGTGACGGCCTCGCGCCAGAGCCTGGACACCATCGTGCAGGCCATCCAGCACCTGGAGGGCAACAAGGTCCTGCAGGACCACACCAAGCAGGACGACGAGTCCAGCATCGACCCCGACTCGGAACCGGAGCGCGAGGAGGTCGTCATGACGACCGAGGTCGCGACCCAGGCGACGGAGGAGGAGGTTTTGGCGTCGACGGGTTCGCCGGTTAGAGTAGAGCTGGTCCATCACGCGGACATCGTCAACCAAGGGGAGCTGGTGCGTCAACTGAGTCAGCAGGAGCTGACCTCCAGGCCAGGGGTCATCATCTCCTGAGGCCAGAGGGCATAGGTCATGACCTATGACCTATCATGTGCATTCTTCTAATGGACTGCTGAAAGAAAGCACAGCCAGAGGCATTAAAATCTCTATGTTCTATTGTACATAAAGTTCTCTGCTACACTACTACTTTTGCTTGGCTCAAATCGTCCCTTCTGCCGACGAACAGGTTTCACAGACCGTGAAGTCAGTAGGACCTTTGTAATTATTCGCACAACGCTTTTTGCTCTTCCAATGTCAGAAGCGGGCCTCTCTTGTGCTCCGGTCTATAATAGTTGTTCTTGTGTATAACCCACACTGAAGAGTACAGTTATTTTTGTAGTAGAATTGCTTATTTAACAAACAAAAAGTTTATTGGTTGTATTCTTGTAAGAGCTTGGCAACAGTTGTATTTTGAAGTTGTCTAAATACAGATGGTTATTTTTCCCAGGAGAGTTGTAATGGAAGGTTTAGTCTAATTAGTTTCATCTAAATACTTTATTTATTATGTATTTATCATATGATACATGGCAGCTTGTACTGAAAATGTCTTTTGTTCCAGATGTTGTAAATTGTGTTTTGTACAAATGTAGCTTGTAGGATGTTGAGGAAAGTTGTTAGGTAAGAATTTATTCTGTTATGTGTGCGTGCGTGTGTGTTGGATGTTTGTAGGTACGACTTTTGGCTGTTGGAGGAACAGAATTCATTTCAAGTCACAAGTCTGGTCATGCAGCTTAGCTGGCATTGCATTCCATATGGGAAAACCTGTACATATTGTCTAGTTTAGTTTTGTATGTCAAGTACATAATTTGTGGTCTTAAACAGCTCATTTTTGCATTGCTGTTGTATAAACATAATAGTTTACTCTAATACAGTAACATTGATATTTATTTTCATAGTTAATTTGTAATGTGTCACATTAGCTAACATTTACTAAGATTTGTTCTATACGTGTACTGTTTATTTAGCATAAGTTTACGCCTAAAAGAGTCCAATTTTCAAGTTGGGGTGGTTATGTCTGAATATTGAGCACTGTGTGCCCATGTTCTGTGGCATAAGAATTGCATGTGGAAAGAAATGTCCGAAGTCACTTGGTTGTATGTTGGCGAAATGAAGCACCTTTAAAAAGGCAGCAAGTGGGAGTTGTAAGACAGTTGTCAACCCCTCAGAGACAGAGTTTTATATTCTAAGAAATGGTAAAAAAAATTTAAAGGAGCAAAGACTGACCGAGCTGGAATTTGAGTCATGTTGTCTTTCTCTTTCAGAAAAAGAAAATGGCTGAAATTCAAATGGGTCTATCTTTGAATGTCAATTGCTTCAGAATAAATCTAAATTTAAATTCATCTTTGGAATGATGAAAAAAATGTTGAAATTCAATAGAAAATACTAAAGATTAAATTGCTTTTGAAGAGTATTTATTTTGATACTAAAGAATATGGTGGGGTCCTAGACATCTGGTCAGGTATGGGTCTCAGACTTTGTCTTGTGTTTGACAACTTTGCTAAAGCAAATTGAGTATATACCTCTGAAAAAAGGTTTGTTCTGTATGTATTTTGTGTCGTTTGAAAGTTTCTGTAGGGTGTTGTTTGGACAGTATTTGTTCCCGTGCTGTATTAAGGATCGGCTGAAACATTTGTCAGGCGACAACCTGTCCCTGGGATCTGCACTGTGTTCGTCTTCCTGTGTCTGTGTGACAGAAAATATGTGTGAGGATTCTTCTCTTTCCTGTGTCATCGGGTATTCGTTGTTACAGACAATACTGCCTATTATTGCTGGAGAAAAGTTTTTGGTACCCCTTTAAATGAACCTTGTTATTCATCTGTAGTTTCATGGGAATAGATCTTGACTTCAAGAGGAGGAAATGTTCTTATGTGTTTTGTACAACAGAGATGAAAGGTACCTACAACCTGATGGAGAGAACTTGACTGGATATTCTGGGTCTTGAATTGTATCCAACTTTAGCCACTACCAGGCTTCAGAAGCCTCTGGAAATAGTAGACATTGACCAAAGAGAGAGCTAACATAATAGGGGATTTGGTCTGCTAAAGGTGTACAGTTTGTCTTTAGCAGACCAACTCCCCTGGCATGTTATCTGTCTATTTGGTCAATTTCTCCATCCAGCTGCTTCTCAAGCCTAGTATAGGCTATCCAGTATGAATTGTCAGTGGTGAAGCCACCAGTTTTGGATATCAGGGGAGGAAAGCTGATTGCGGACAGTTTAAAACTCTTCAGGCTGCTTCAGTGTTAATTCCTTGGCTAATTCACAGCTATGTTCCATTGGTGTTTGTTCGGTCCAGGAATATCTCAACCACGGGATCACAAAGTTTACGATAGGCTGGCACTGGGAACCAAGGAAATTTATTGATGCAGTCTAAAGCTGGAAAGTCTTTCTGAGTTGAGAACCAATATAAAAGTTTTGTGATGAAAAAAAAACATATTTTTGCATTGGTGCCAAATTTGCAAAAAGTATGGGGGTGTATTCGCAGGTTGTATGTGTTGTTCATGTTACCATTGTTTGGAGATGAAGCTTTATGAAACATCGCACAAATTTAAACTACTGGGATGTTGGAATGTGCTATTGTCACCTTACACCATTGTCGTAATTTTGATTATTATTGTAATGTAATATTGCTTAATTTACACCAAGTAGCCATGTCTGTTCTGACCAGAGAAACGCCCTTGTTGAAAAACATCTGAAAACCTTACAGTCAAATTTTTGTACTGTGGCACGCAATATCAAAACTGTATTGAGACAGAAGAGGGAAGGGGCTTTGGCCATGACAGGCATGGTTTCTATTTCTGTAAGATCACTAGAGTGTTGAACTGTACTACTACTACTACATGTACACATAGATTATAACAGTACTGCTGTCAAAACATTGAAGTTACGACTCTTAAGTTGACAGCTCTCAGGTTCTATTTATTCATGCATGTCTGTCCAATGCTCAATAAAATACCTTTCTCATCACCTAACAGTACATACTGCTGTATCCGTATCTTTTTGTATCTTTAATTTACATTTTAATTTCTTAAGAGATAGAATATATATCTTAAGTCAAATTCCATGAGATTTGTGGCCAATTTAGTTACTTAGCTCAGGCCTCACAACAAATGTGTAAAAAGTACAAATTGTACATTTTAAACTCTCCTAAAGCAAGCTCTTTGCCTTTGGACAAATCATAAGATGCTGTGGCTTGAGTTTACTAAATGTTCCAAGCTTTTTCCAGCCTACCGCATCCACCATGACAACCAGATTACGTCAATGATCCCTAAGCTCGTCTATGATACTAATTAACCACACACCCAGAAGTGTACTTATTTTGAAAACCTGCCCCCACACTCAACCATAGGAAGAATTCCACTCCCACTGAAACACTTCATCAGAAAACTCCTGGAATATTTTTAGATGTACAACAACAAGGACATGTACTGTAAATGCAGAAACGTTCGCATTGATTTAATTTTTACAGTGACCACTGCAGTTTCATCACACTGCAAGCTGTATTACTAAGGTACAACAGAATTGTTCCAACCATGAATTTAAAACACAGCACAAACCTTTCCCCTCCTACCACAAAATACTACATAGTATAACCACTACGAAATTAACTGCATTTACAGTGAAAGGAGTCTAGGACAGTATATTCAAGTTTAGCTACAAATCTGAATTTGCTGTTAACCATAATTGATTTTCATATACAACAGTTCAAAGGCTAATGAGAGATAATTCCCTGCTGTGCTCATTATCTAACAGAATGCCAGCCAAGTACAGGCACAGTACAGTACCGCTTTACCCTGGTGAATAAAGCTATTGGCAGGTACTGATTGTTTGTATCCAATTTAAGGTGGCAGAATCTGTTACTAAGTTAAGGCAACCTGAGGGTTGGTAAAGTGTGGACAAGGAGAAAGAATCACGTTGATCAAAAGAAAGAAATTCAATACTCCACACAAGCTACAATGTGCCGAAAATTTGTGAACTTCAGTTGACATACAGTTGGGAATTACGTAATGTGACCACTCAATCAATGAAATTGCAGCTGAGTTAGGGCAATTTTCATTTGTAATTTGGGGAATCAAACACTCAGATGACTAACAGTTTCACCTACCAATACCTGAGTTACGAAATCTATTTACATCTCAACCTCACAAAAATTCAATCAGGCTTTTTCATCATGTCCATATTACTAGGATACAACAGGATTCAAGAACTGTTTTAAAGAGAAGTCCAAGTGCAAAAACTGTCTCAGCGCTTCCTGAAGAGATGGAAGGACACCATCCACTCGTTCCCCTCCTTGTACTGGAAGACTTCGGAACAGAACATGAAGAACATCCTCCAGTTGAAGATCTGCTTGGCGGCGCCTTCCCCGTACGTCTTGGTCATGATCTCTCGAACCTGGTCTATGTTTGCATCCAGCTGGAAATACAAACACGCATGATCAGAATTCTAGTTTTGTATGTTGAAACCGTGGTTTTGTGTACAGTACCGGTACTTATGATGGGTTACATATGTCCTCCACTTCGAAAAATGTAACAATGTATTTGAAAGATCTCTTGTGCAGCCCTATAACCCACCAAGGAACCTCCTTGAACCCACCTTCTCCAGCCAGGTGTCCAGAGTCTTGGTGTAATGTTTACCGTTCAGCCTCCAGTGGTCCACCAGACACACCTCCTCCTACAGGGGAGACAAATGGTTCATGCATTAACATACATGTGTATATGGTCCATGTTAACAGTTAACACATGTACACATTTTATTACCAGTACATGTGTACAAAGCGTATACTTCAGGACATACAGTATTATAAAAAGGAGTCAGCAATCACCAACCTCAACAAAATCAGCATTCATCCCTGAAAAGACTAGTCTGATGCAGTTTAAAAGGAACTCGCTAGGAGGATCAAAATTGTTTTTTCTGAGGCCAATGCTCACAAACCTATCCTTGGTAAAAAGAAGAGTAAGAGTAAATCTTGCTTATGTAAAGTTTGCATGAAAGAATGACCTGAAAGTAGAGGAAGAGGTCAGCCGAGGGCATGGTCCCGCCGGTGAAGAAATGTTTGGCCATCCACTCTGTGTCTGCGTCCTGCCGTGTGTCGAAGGCGTAGGGGAACTCGCGGTGGCACAGGATCTGTGTGAACAGCAGACCGTCCGGCTTCAGCCACGACGACACCTTCTGGAACAGCCGCTCGTAGTTCCTCATGTGCTGGGGGAGAGAAGAGGAAAGGGAAAGCAATTATCCTCAACCAAGAATGTTCTGTGATAGAGCGTCCTTGCCTCAACTGAGCTTAACATTATGCAGTTTCAAGTAGCTTGTAGTACAATAAAAGTTCTTTGTGTGCTGTGGGAAGGGTTAAAAAAGGGAAAGAAGTCATCGTCAGCTGAGGTGAAGCATGCCACTTTTTCATTAGCTAGTAGTGCTTTACAGAGTTTGTGTCACAGACTATGAGAAAGGACAGATAAGACTGTGATACAATCATGATTCATACATGTGTATCTCTGATGCAAAAATGCTGAGAAAAATTTTATATAACATTTCATAACTTGCAGATTTTGGGGGTTTCTAAGAATTCTCTCATTCTGATGTAGTTTTATTGGGACTCATTGTACCCAGGGGTCCCAGCATTGTCATAAGCTAACTTAAAAGTACATGTAGCATTATTGTACGATTTTTAAATGCCATGTAAACTTCCACAGTACATACTACTAACTGTGCTCACCTCAAACATCTCAATGGAGAAAATCCTATCAAACGTTTTGTCTGTGCTGAAGACATTTGCGTCAGCAGTGACGGCCTCCAGACGGTTGCCAAAACCTCGCTTCCTGGCCTCGCCCTCAATGTACTCCCTCTGGGTCTGGGAGTTGGACACACAGACCACGGTGCATTGTGGGTAGTTCTGTAGAACCCAGAGGGTCATGGCTCCCCAGCCACAACCAAGGTCCTGGAGAAATACATGTACAAGGAAAATGTTGAATTGTCTGAATCGTATAATAGGAAATCTACTGTGGCCATTTGTATCAAGAATCTATTTCATTGTAATAGAGCATTCTCTTTCCACAAATCATCATTCAAAAAAATCAGTAGCCTCTACCAGGCTTCGGAGGCGGCTGGAAAGACGTGACTGGATATTGGCCAAGATAGACAGATAGCATGCCAGGGGAGTTAGTCCACTAAAGCAGTACAGTTTTCCTCTCTGAATTCAGAAATTTATTAAACAGCAAATTCTGTCTATTTGGCCAATTAATACTCTTTCCAGTGACCTCTGATTCTGAAGTCTGGTAGGGACCAGAAAATAAGGTCAGTGAAGAAACTTGCCATGACAGCATGTCCATCCTCCAGCTTGGCTTTTTCTGCGTACATCTTCATCATGGCTTCCTCCGCTGGAAAGGTCATGGTCAAAGGTCATATATAGTCATAGGGCTGTATATGTAACTGTGCATGGTGCATCATTTCTTAAAAGGCTTCATTAATGACTTATTAGTAGTATAAGTAATTGTGGACATGTCACTACATAAGAAACAGGCATTGAGAAGTTTGATGTTATATCAATCAGTTAATGTGATCTTGTCGGGTAAAACTAACCTTGTTCCAGGTCATTGACCCCCTCTGGCCAATAGCAGCAGCTATATTTCCTCCACTTGCCCAGAACCTACAGTATAGAACAGTTTTATGAGTTATAACTCATTATCAAAATGTTTACATCAGTAATTATAATGGACAATGTTTGCAGTTCCTGGGCGAACAAGAAATAACCCAACAGCAAGCTTTAATTTGAAGCCAAAAACTAAAAAAAAATGGTATGGAATTATATAGAATTACTATTTTTAGCATTCAAAGACCAAATGAAATCCAAGGCTTTAAAGGGAAACTCCAGCTGACAGACCTTGATGTTACAATGGATATTTTACCCTCTGTTACTCATACCAGGTAAGTCAGAGGAATCGCTCTAATCAATAAAAATAATTAACAGGTGGTTACAAAATTTATAACATAAAATCCAAACTCCAGCTGACAGACTTAAAAATATTTTACCCTCTGTTAACCACACAGGCATAAATACATAACAGGTGGTTACAGAATTTCTAACTCCATCCACTACAGTACTTACTGTTGTGAAGTATTCAGTCGGGACTTCATAGTGTTGCTCATTGGCTTTGTCTGTCTCTAGAGCAATGTCCGACTCCCGTAGTTTCTTGATGAACTTCTGCTTGTAGAACCACTGTTTTTCCACGTCCCCTCCACACTCCAGCTTCCCTACCCAGTACTTCAGACTGCCCTGAACGCCTGCAAAATTTTATACAGACTTGTGAACTCCTCTAAATGCAAAAACTTTCATGTTTTTATGTTTGTTTGTTTTTTTTTCACATTTTTTGCGGTGATTTCTTATTGAAAAATCATAACAACAGTAGCCTGGATGCCAGACCCATAGCAAAGTAGGCCCAAAGTTTGAGGACGAGTGTGCTATGGGTCTGGCATCCAGGCTATGTCAGAAGTTGCTGGCTGTGAACAGGCAACGGTCATTCTGATGTGTCTGTGATGTAATTACAAACTGTAACATTTGAAGCCTAAGGCTCAACTGACCAATTTTCCAATCTAGCGGGGCACTTGGATCAATAAACTTCTCATTTGATGGTTGTCATCATTTCTGATTTGTTTTCGTACAATATCTGGTGCACAACCACCCAGGGGAAAGGACAGGACCAATATCTACTGATGATGTTAGACAGAGGTTACATCAGTGTCACACTGTAGATTGGGATGACACTGGCTTTACCACCTGTTCAGCAACCCATCATCATTCATTTCAGATACTTTTAAGTACCCCCTGTAAATGTTTTGACTTTTCAGTAGACACCAAAGCATTGATGAAGCAAGGAGGTTGGAGGAAGCTATTAAAATCTGGTGTCTTTTTTAGTCTCTTTATGGTCCTCAGTTCAGTTAGAGCTTTATCTGGGTCATACGTAACGTCCTAATCTGCACTTTGAACCATAGCCCAACCCCTAAATGCTACACTAGGCAAAATTTGCTACTAACTCCTAGCCTCTACCACACCTACTTGATGGACAAACAGTAGCAATAGTATGGCAATGGTAAACTGAAAAGTATGCCGGAGGAGTTAACCAGGTGGAGGGTACAGTTTGCAGCCTGGGGAGGCTGGTAGACGCTAGCTAACTACAACCAAGGACAAGAAAGATCAAGAAGCCTATTGAGGCTGCCCCGCCCCTTCATCCGATCACTACTAAAAATGTGAACAACGCTACAACTATAAAGGACATCAAATTATATATAATGTCCTTGCTACAACATATCACTGACCTCCTCGCACTTCTTCGTCGCTTGGCAGCTTCTGTTCGGCAGACATCGCGGCTCCAAGGCGTCTGGTGGCTCCCAAGAAGGTAGTAGAGTAATTCCTCTAGTCTAACGGTACTACAGCTGAGATCACGATTATTGAGGGAACAGACCGCTTTCAGCTTGATCTAACTGTTCCTGTAGTCCCACACTACAACCACGGAACGGTCTTTCTACCCAACAGGGTACCTTTAGAGCTGACCAGGGCTAAAGGTGAACACTCGCGATCAGCTGGGCACGGGTAAAACACACTGACCCTGTTCAGTGACCCTGATCAAATAAATTACGAGGCAGTGTGCGTTTCAGGGCATCTAGCGGTTAAGCACAGAACTGCAGACGCAATGTTAAATCGTTACTCTATGATGATGAAACACACGTATTCAATTCAAGATTTATTGAAATCAACCTTTTTCTGGATTAATTACGTTTACAATAGATCTTGTTTCTTAAAGAAAGGAAGCGAAATACAATCCCAACCTTATCCGCATGGTTATGCTACCATAATCCCATGAATATACATAATGACAATTTTGAATACGTCATTGAAAATACACAACTATATCGAGTAATGAGACCTACATAAGAGGACCATGTAAGATCTATATATATGTTATATCTATAGATACGTATGTCATTGTTCTTCATACTAAATAAAGGTTAGCAGAACCAAATGCACTATACCGTTACATGTAACGTCTTATATACTATGTACTTGCCATGTACAGAAGTATACGCCTCTATCTATATACAGTATGGCCTTACAAGTTCTGGAGTATCACTACCAGTAATCAGACTAAGATATAACGCGAAAAAAAGGTACATGTATTATTTCAGTATTCAAATATATTGTTACTGTTCATCATCATCATCTGGCAGCCCAAGGACTTCCTATACAATGTTCTTGGTCACCCCCCCCCCTTTTAGGAACCACCAGTTTATACACACTGATCACGGTGTGTCGTCTTCGCAAACTAGATATTCTTAACTCTTAATTCATGCATCTACATTTATATGAACTTGTAGGTTCCACAATCAACAGCACTATAGCGCCACAAGCTATCAGTCTACATGTCGGAGGGCATATTCTTAAACTGTGTGGCCCAGTGACCCAACTAACGGCAAGTAACTTATAGGGTTTAAACCGGGGTAGCTTGACACATCCTTTTTCTGTCTCCTCTTACTGTTGGAAAAGTTAAAGGAAAAAGAAAACAGTTAAAACTCATGTTTTTCTTCTATAGTTTTCCTGCCTTCTTTTTTTTTAAATTTAGTTAAACCCCAATTAAAAACGGGTTTAAACCGGGGTTTCCTCCTCAACTTCTTCTTTAACAACATTCTTGCTTGAAGACAGAACCGTCATCTCAACTGTTTCATTCTCATTCTTACCTGTACTTGATGGCGGGGTTGAGATCTCCTCGTATTTGCACAGTGCTCTATCACTCAAGATGAAAACCACGGTCAGTAGAAACCCGTGAGACGCGTTCAGGATAATGAAGACGTACTCAAGAGCTGGACTGGTCACAAAAGGCACAACGAAGCCCAGAATCCAGGGGAGCCCGCTCACGACGGTCATGCGCACACAGAACCACACTTTGGCGGTGACGCCCTTCAACGCGTCATCATTGGCACCACTAGCGCAGCCACACAGAGTACAGAGCATGCGCAGCGCGAAACAAGCGTTTGTGAACAGGACAAAGGCGACGGGGAGGCCGAAAGCGACAACGCTTGCCATGGGGTTGCTAATCCAGCAATATATCCCACCGTACCCAACTCTAACAGAGCTACCAAAGTCCAGCAAGGCGGTGACACCGACAACCACAGTCGGCACCCCCCAGCTGTAGAGGAAGAAGCGCCCGGGCTTCTCGTTGGCGGCAGACGGACTGTGAGAGAAGTGTAGGTACAGGTCAAACGCCATTGCGCTCATGGTGAAGAAAGCGACCAAGAGGAGGTAGTGGATGACGATCGCGAAGGCAGTGCAAACCGACTCCGGCAGGACTATACCTCTCATCACGAACAGGACTTCAGCCAAGACAAGAGACAGGACGAGTTGTAGCTTGAGTTTTCCGTCCAGAGGACGGAGGCGTTTGTTGCTCAGAGAGTAGATGGTAAAGACGGCGGCTGAAACTGCCGAGAGGCAAATGAGGGCAAGAGTCAGGTACTCCTGCACTTCGTCGGTACTGGGTGGAGTCGTCGCCGAGTTGTCGCGGAACTTGTACCAGGGGTCGTGGTTTGGGAAGCAGTCCAGGCACACGTACATGGTAGCCCCGGCGGGGAGGACGTAGTGGGAGGGACAGGACATGTTCGCCACCTTGACGAAAACCCTCCCGTTGGGGAGTTTGGTGTACTCAGAGGGCGCGAACGCCATTTGACCAACTTGGCACTTGGGCGGTTTGGTCGGAGCGACGGCAGATTGGGGCGCAACAGTGGATACTGCACCAGATAACGCTATGCAGCGGCCAGTCATGGGGTTGTAGAGGCTATTCGGAGCGCATAGGACAGTTTCATCATCCACACCATAGACTGTCTGATTGATGCTCAACGCTAACAAATGGGTAAGCGGGAGGCAATATGGAGAACACACTACGAGCCAGTTCTTCTCGGGCCCGCCCAATCCACAAGAAAGATTTCTCACAGCAGGTGCTGGAGGAATCCCTCCGCAAATCGCACAGTCGATGTTCCGGTAAGTGTTATACCTGTCGTGGACAAACGCTGCTTTTGGAGGGCATGTGTCGTTCGAACAAGCTTCCGAGGAGACATTGAGCCACTTCGTCAATGCTTCCTCGGGTTGAGGAAAGCACATCCTTGGCGAATGGTTTAAAGCATCGCCTGGTGTGTAAAATACCTCGACTTGTTCACACTCGGACCTAGCTTCGCTCATGTCGTTTACAGTACGCGCGCTACCGTTAGCTGATCTACAATACAGCCCAGCGTCCCAGAAGACGACCTGGGATAGCGGGACGCTATTACAGACGGCACAGAAGACGTTTCTGTACGTCCCCACTTCAGACTTGCTATCACTAACGGGCACTAAGGAAAGGACGTTGTCCAGATCTGCAGGGTCCGGCGGTGCTTCCACGCATGCGCTCCTGGTGACGTCATCGGTCCAGGAGTCTGGGCACGAGGTTACCATCCAGTAGGGCGAGCCGAAAAACTCGTTCCCAGGTACGCAGTCGAAGGACAAGGCGGCGGGCAGCTGTGGTCCGGTCAGGTTTCCACATGTTTCACTGTGAGAAAAGAAGAAGGAACAATTTAGTTCAGTGCTAGCAAATTCACCGTTTACTTACCTACCGAATAAGCTGCAATGGGATATCGAAGGAATCTCCTTGGCATATACAATGTATATTTTTGTATCGTCAGGCACAATCGTTTTATGGGCAGTTTTATGAAAATGATAGTGTAGTCGGTGTAAAAAGACTTCGGTCAGCGAGACGCAGAAATGCATCAATGACTGTGATTTTCACATCCGAATCTCCTTCCCAGTCTCTAGATAAGTTTTAAAAAATGAATGCTAGTATTAGGGATGAGGAAAATCAAGGAGATTATAGTGTCCTCCTTGTGAAAATTGACACGTAATCACAACTTTTGAAATGGAAAATTGTTCGACAAATACCCTTACTAATCTCAAAACAGATCCTAGGGCGGCAAAAGACAGTATCAAACTGGCCAGGCCTAGGACAGAGAGGGCCAATACGCCACCCTTGGGAGGGTCCAATTCGCCACCTCTCTGGCGAATGGATACTGCCTGGCCAATTTGATACTGTCTTTTGCCGCCCTAGGATCTTCATGGAGATTTTACCCTTACGTGAAATCCAGGCAGCAGTCGTTGAAGATTACACAGTGGGAGTCACAGTGGCACGTCTGTGTGTGGGGCACCTCGGCGCGGTGAAGGCACCGTCCGGCACAGCTCGCCTCCGGGCACCTCTCCTGCAGAGAGTCCGCCGGATCTGCCGATGGGAGACAGTAGGTGGTTAGACAGTCAGTACTACAGACCGGCAAAGACAGCTTTGAAACGTATATCACCAGGTGTCAAGCCATATACATGATCCTGCCGAATACATGACTCCGACACTACTTGGGGGTTTCCAATATACCTGAGACAAGGGTTGGGAGGGGATTGTTCCTGATGTGGGAGACTAAACCTAATCTAACTCCAATAGTGAGTCTAACACTAACACTGACCCTGAACAATGATCCCAACTCTAACCCTAATTCTTATACCGACCCCAACCCTAACCCTAACCCTAGCCCTAGCCCTAGCCCTTAACACCTGACCGCGCACCTCTCACATATGTGGCATCTCAAGGATTTGGCTCAACACCGGCACATTCATCTGCTAACTTGTAACTGTGTACAACAAATATGTGCCAACCCATTTCGGACAGACATAGTTAATATCTACTTGATTATCGAGTAAATGTTGACAACGTAGTCATTTCTAGAGGTTGTACCTGAGCAGGTTGGGACGTCGCACTCGTGTTTAAGAGCAGCACTGGTGTAGCACCAAGGACGGAGCCGGCTGCCGTCCGGGTTTCGGCAGAAGTCGTGGTACCACCAACCTGGCACATCAGCCGGGTACACCAGGTTGAGGTTGTGGGCATCATCCACGGTGTTCCAGGGCAGGCAGCGGACGTTGTTGTGCGGGGTGTTCGCTGTCCCGAAGTAGGTCACGCCCCTGTCGGCCTCGTACGCACAGCTTGTCGATCCCACAGAAGCTAAATACATCACGTAAATAGGTTCATTACATGCAACCTATCAATGAAGTTTGGACATGGTGTATATACATGGGTGGCAATGTGGTCTTTTGGTTAGAGATTGGTCAGAATCTGAAGGTTATGGGTGTGAATCCCTTTTGTGTCATTGGGACTACTAAACACCTGTTTTCGCACTCAAAATGAGTACATAGCTTCGGTTATAAGGACGGTAAAGCCGGAGGTCCCGCTTTTGAGGAAAGCCACACCTTGAGGACGTTAGCAGGTGTAGGGGTCCTTCTCGGTGTGAGTTAAACCATGCGGCCTGATCTTATTAAACTTGTATATACTTTTGTTTTGTTGTACATTTTATGTACCCGCCGTTTACTAACCTGTATCCAGCTCGCAGAGCGAAGCATGCGAAGAAGCACACGCTGTGTCAATCAGTTTTCGATGAAGAAGAACCGCGCAGTTGTAGGTCCCAGGGTGCCCAGGGGCCCATTGCCACGGACTCCAGCCTAGCCCCACCTTTTCCTGCCACACTCCGCTCTCATTCCGCCGGAGTCCGACCCAGACCGGTGTGTCACTGTGGAAATGGCAAATAATGGTAGGAATTTGTTCATTGTGATGACCTTAGAATACTTTTTAAAAGATTAACGGTTCTTGATGGCAAATGTGCAGATGTTGACACATTGGCGCACCAAATCCGTAGTGTGTTTATGGCACACAGACAGATAAGCCTAAGAGGCTCGGTGGGCGTCGCTCCACCGTACAGGTGGGGCAGTCGTGTAAAGTTCATTTACCAAGGGCACAACGTCGGGGCACGGTGAGTGTCGAACCCGGGACCTCTTGGTTCCGAGTCCAACGCTCTAACCATTGCGCCACCGACGCAACTTAGAATAGTTGATAGCCGCATACTAGGTAGACATTGGTGAGTACCTCAGATCACGACAGAACCCGAGGAAAAGTCAGCCAAATCAATGTCTGTACGTTTTACAAATCATGACTACGAGTCTTTTGCCACTTCAATATTGTCCGGTGTAACATAATATATCAGTTATAATCAGACAGAAATAACCTTACCTATTCAGACAAAGCCGTGCCTCTAGCTGACCAGCGTAGTCCACACGGGAGTATACGAATTCTTCGGGCCAGGCAACAGAGGCGCCGAGGCGGGCACACATGGCCTGCGCCTTGTGGTACACTGCGGGCTCCTTTACTAACGAGTAAACTTTGCCATACGAGCCATACGGCCCCGTCCAGCGTCCTGAGCCAGGGCAGTTGTACCCTCCAGCATCAGCTGAAACAATTGTAGCACATGATATAGTAGCCACTCGGTAATCATCAATTAACCTCCTTGGTAATATCAACTAGTTCTGTGTCCAGGCTTCGGAAGCACTGGAAAGAGTATAATTTAACCAATTTATGCTCTTTCTAGTTGTCTCCGAAGCCTGGTAGAGGCTATTGTGTAGTGACTGGAAGTTCTGCTCACGGTAAGTCTGCAGATGAGTGCGATACAGAATACAGTATACAGATCAATGTAGCCGCAGCGTGCGTAACACTTGCGACAGGAAGAAATAACTGGCTCAACAATATGACATTTCAAGAGTGCATGTATTGATGTTTAACTAACCTAGCATATTCGTCCAACTCATGATCAGAAACACACTCAGCAGACAGAGTACTGTCGTCATTTCGGCCGGTCGCGTCCCGATCCCATACATTTTCCGCGCACTTGCTGGTGTCGCTCCGATCAGAAAACTGTCCACTAGAGAAATGTGAGCAGCTAGTCCCGTTTCAGGAGTCCGTGAGAAGCTTCGCAAATAAAATGTCACAGTCGTTGCCTTTCACCAGGGAGGTATTTTTGAAATTAACAATTAAAATCAGTAATTTTCATGTTGCCTACCCACCTTCTCATGTTGAATGCTGGAAAATGCTGATAACCTGTATTACTTTACAGTGTATAACCAACACAGAAATTATACTGCATGCGAGATATAGATATCGTACTGTTATTGTCAGTATTATTCGTTAGAAAGGTGATTTAGAAGGAGAAAAAAAGTGTTGTTTTCTGATCATGATCAGTAACGTTATCATCAGGTGCATCATTACTGCCAACATGAAGAGAAGAATGCTGAGTATTTCCGTGGCTCACGGAAACCCTACCTTAATTTTTCATAGGCATACCGTACCTTCTGTGATAACTTCGATGATGAAATTGCGCTCTTCGAGGTCCAATTCGTCGTCTGTCGCTTGCAAATGTAAAGTATAGAAACTCATAATTATAGCCAACGAAATACTTAGTAATTAAAACTTGTACTTGTATATAGCATTCTGAAGCTCCGTTACTATGAGGAAAGGTAACGTTAGATGGCAAAAAAAAAAAAAAAAAGGAGCAAAGAAGGGTTCTAATTTCACAAAGCAATTAGTTTAGTCTTAAAATTTGCAATTTTATCACCGGCCCTGCTATCACTCCAAATATGAGAAAATCAATGTTTTATTCATTCAGCGGCTACTAAGATGGCATCAAGGACAATTTGACCTCAAGGACGTTTTGCTCGCAACTTTAGGTAGATTTTTCTCCTTCTTTCTTTCTTTTCTTTCTTTCCCTCCTTCTCCTTCTCTGTCAACATGACACAGCAATATTTTTGCGTGATTGACTGTCATGAGATGCATGACGTCACCTGTGACGAATGTTCCAGAAGGGGAAGCCCGAGGATATAAATGCGCATGCGTAGAAGGTCGTCAGATCAAGATTCAAGATGGCGGAGTTTCCGGACCTTGGTGCTCACTGCTCCGAGACTTTCTGCAAGCAACTGGGTAAGAATTCGCGTTGTTTGGGGGGAAAAGGCAGGAAAAAACTATTCACAAGAGTTTTGTTGAGAATCTGTGCGATATAGTATGAGAAAAACGCCGAAGAGTGCGCCCAAATGCTTGTCTGATTGTCCGGTGTTTTGGTGTTGTCATGTCGTACTTGTTGCTTTACCATATGAATGGGCACTTTTCAGTTTTCGCCCAATATTTTCTGTATCTTCTACTCTTAGAAATCTTCTACCATCAAAGCATTATTACGATAGCTCAATATGTTCACATCGTTCTCATAAAGCAGACTTTTTAATCATCACGTTTCTAAGATTATTTTTGGAAATCGGTTTAAGGGGGAGGGCGGTAACGTTAAGGTTTTCAGTTAGAGTAAATATGATTTTAAATATCTGCATAAACCTTAACCAAAATGAAGCTTATCAATAATTTTACTTTCTGTGTAGACGTTTTTCTTAAAAAAAAGTCGGGTTAATGAACCATCCAAAGGTTAGATCCACGTAGAGAAACGTCCGAAATGGGGAGGGCAAAAATGATACAGCAAAATTTTTGTAGAAGTTACTAGAACTTGACAACCCTGTAAACGTGATTTGTGTCAAGCATTAATAAGGACTTACATCTGTAATTTTATCAGCTTGGTAAATGATTGAATATCAAATATCTTTATTCACAACCACTTGTTGTGGTGGCTTATGAATGATATAAACAATAATTGCTATTTTCCTTTCAACTACAGTATAAATCCTCCTAATTTGTCCATAGTGCATATTGCACTGTTTAAAGTTGCTAATGTTATATTCCTGTTCCACCCCACAGATTTCCTTCCAATGAAATGTGATTGCTGTGAGAAGATTTTTTGGTAAGTTTCACTCTATAAATTTAGTCTCTAGTTTGTGTCGATGTGTTGCAGTAAAAATTTATTGCCACTTGGGAATCCCTAGTCTACTGGGAATGTGTGGTAAAATCTGTGATTTAACCAAATCTCCACTGCCTAACCCCATAACCAATACGAATTTGATGTCAAATGGCTGCCTTAAGCATTCTTAAGGTTAACCACAGATTTTTATCACACCTGCACAGTTGTTGTATATAACAGTGGTACTGTGTAGCCTGGGTACCATCCTGGTTAGTTTATGTCTGCTCCGATAGTTGCTGCGTAGTGTATTCTTGCAATATCTGGCAATATTCTTAAACCATTTCCACATTTTTATACATGTAACAGTAAAGACCACATCTTGTATCGGCAACACAACTGTGAGTCTTCCTACAAGAAGGACGTGCAGGTTCCGGTATGCCCCCTGTGTAACGCCCCCATCCCGGTGAAGAGGGGGGAGCTGCCTGACATCAGGGTGGGGGAGCACATCGACAGGGACTGTAAGTCTGACAAGGCGGAACAGAGGAGGAAGAAGATCTACACCAACAGGTGTAACGTCAAGGGATGTAAGCAGAAGGAGGTGAGTCTGCAGAACACATTTCAGTCAGTTTAAATATGCTAGGTGCAAAACTTGTATACATGTATGTATTATATCGTTCAACACAGTGTAGCTGCCTGTAACATCCCGGTTTTACAGGAACATGGAGCAGCTGCTTTTTGCCGCATTAATCATTTATGGCTTGATGTGTGTATCAGTATACACATCTGCAATCGCAAGGCTTGAGAGTCTATGGAAACATGCTTGAAGCTTTAGTAAGATTGCTATGTTTCCGTAAAATTGCTAGGCTTGAAAGTCTATACTGTAATGCTAAAAGCTTCAGTAAGCACATGTATGATTGCGGTATTGTTACATTCAAGGTGCTCCTATATCATCCTTTGTAACTGTTGCATTTTTCTCTTGCAGTTGATACCTGTAGTGTGTGATTCCTGTCGGAAGAACTTCTGTCTGAAGCACCGTCACACGACAGACCATGACTGTAAAGGTTACCAGGACTCAGGCAGGGCAGTCTCTAATGCTGGGTAAGTCCACTGGCTCTGGAGATTCATAGGGTTTGAATACTTGACTTAGACTTAGGGGCTCCTGCATCTCTTGACGCATGAGGCAGTATAGTTGAAGAATACTTGCATCATAGTCTAATATCATTGTTGGTAAACACACCCATGTATCAAAAATATGATTTTGGACAGTACATCAGTAGTACCAGTCTGGTTCTAGAGACAAAGTGATACTAGTAGACTATAACAAAAGGTTTCTATATATTGCCAGTTTCTGAAGTCAAATTAAAGAAGTATGGCAATTTACTAAAACATCAAGTACCCTACCCTATGTGTGCTACAATCAGTCAGTAACACTTGTATGGACAACTTTGAATCTTTATTCACTGCAAGGACTCAGTTTTATTTGTGATAAACTCACCATCAAACTTGTTTATGTTTAACAGGGCTGCTGCCATTCTGAGAAATAAAGGGTCTAACAAACCCAGCAGTGCTGCTCGGTCCTCGGGCACTGCAGCTTCCAGACCATCTAACAAACCACAGCAGACCATGATGTCTTCCACTGGCAGGGAACTGGACAGGTCAGGCATTTATGTACCACATCGCTATTGTAGATTGCCAGATTTTTACCTGCCATTTGTCAATATAGCCCGGATGCCAGACCCATAGCACACTAGGTGATACCAGTCCCTTTGAAGGCTTCACCAATGATGTCCTTTGAATCAAGAAGCTATAGCCTGTATACTGGCCCTGGCAACAGCCTGGCACCCAGGCTAACTCAAGGGTGTGTATAATTTCCTTGAGAGCATGTTGGCCCTGAAGCCAAGGAGCTGGCCTATGTAGGCCCTGGGAACAGTCTGGCATCCAGACTATAGCCTGTATAGTGACCCTGGCAACAGTCTTGGCTAGGCTAGGAGGGGCAGGCTAGTGTTAATAATGTCTGAACACAATATTGTCCTACTTACACCATGTTTTTCTCCACAGAGAGAGAAGGGAGCGCGAGGCCCAGCGGAGGTTACAGCAGACAGGAGGCAGACAGCAGACCAGGGCAAACGTAGGAGCAGCACAGGCCCTACAGGCTGGGCTGTCTGAGGATGAAGCCATGGCACTGGCCCTCCAGCAGTCACTAGCTGACGAGCAGGCTAAAAGCCAGCAGAAACCGTAAGTTTGTTTTACTTTCTTGTTCCTTGTTCAATACAGGTACGGTAATTTAAGGCCACCAGAACTAAATAAAAATACGAAAGGAAACTTTTTGGATAGATTGAGTCTGAAATACTGGCCGCGTTGGACAGGTGGACGCTATAGGCAAGATTCTTAATGCCTGAGTCAATGGGAAAAGTTCAAGGGACCAACAAAGTAGTTGTAATGGACAATTGGTCTCTATACAGGGGTGACCGCTAGTACAGGTTTGACTGTATAAAATGCAGTATCAAAGTACTAGAAAGAAAAACTTTGTGCATAGACTGCGTCAAGCCTGAAATACTGTAGTCTACAATTGACGCAAAATGAGGTACTGTTACTTGATGTACTTAATATTTGCTAATATCATGGTTAATCTTACCAGCATGTCCTTGTGTTTCCAGTATGACCCAGCAAGAGCAGGATGATCTAGCCTTAGCCCAGGCACTAGCCGCAAGCGAGCAGGAGGCCCTCAGTCAACAGCAGAGGGGCAGACAGGGGAATCAAGACAAAAACAGCTGTGCAGTCTCTTAACAACACTTCATATATGTGCCTCTATATGTACATAGACTTCTTGCTCCAAAATAGCAGATGTAAGATATAGTATTCAACTGTGTTCATAAAGTATTGTTCATGTCTATCTGTGTTGCTAAATTGAATTGTTGAAGGGCAAACTGACCAACTTTAATTTAATGTTTGGTTTTGAAAGTTCAGTTAGTAAATGATGTGATTAATATGTGTAAAGCTGCCAATTTTAATGTATCACCAAAGAACATGTGCAAACACACACACACACATATATATATATGTACTTGCATACCAGTAGTTAAGACTATTATTTACCTTACAACAGTGCTTTGCCATTTCCCTCTAAGTTTCCAACATACTAGTTAAATGAATATCTTGAGTTAAGTCCTGCTACCTCATACTGTATCCCATATGAATTTGGTGCCAAACGGCTACCTGGTGTTCAGCAGGGTCAATGTGCAACTTAAGTAGGCCTCTGCCAGCTAACCTGTGTTGTAACAGGTACAACTTTGGTACACCGAAGCCCACAGAATGGAGAAGGGCATAAACTGTAAATGACTAAGCTGTTGATGACAAAATGATGGTCTATTGAAGATGAATGGTTGAAAATTGAACTGATTGCATGTACCATGTATAAGACATGTATAAAAGTGTACATTAACAGTAATGAGAAGTACACACAGTGAAAATGATATGTATAATTATTAAGTATTGGTACAATACAAACAGTGTACAACTAACTTAGTGATTTCAAACTTGATTTGTTCATATACAGTAAATGTTTCCAGTACCTTGGCATGGATAATAAACTTACAGCGATGTAAAAATGTCTTGCTCACTTGCACTTGAATGTAAGAACACAGACAATATGATGAACATTACATTTCAAATGAGATGGGTATACAAAATAACAATGAACATATTTGGGCAGAAATTTATTGTCATTTTCATGATAGTTTTCCCTATGTTTCAACAACCCATAGGCCAGGAAAATATTCTACCCAGCATACTAAACTACAGTAAATAGTATTTCTGACTGCTATCTATTTACATCTCAACATCCACATTACTCATTAGATTATTCCAGTTGGCTTGTCAGCTGTCTTTCTTTTGGTCCTTCTTTTCCCCAAATGGGTTACTCCACACCACCATTCCTAAGGCAGAACAAGGAAAGAATTTTCATTCATCAGTACTAGGGACATCATCATAAACATTGAACAGCTGAAGTATGACATAATCTGTAGTGAAGTGGCCACTGAGCTGGTATCACAGATACTAAATCAGCATTCTTTACATGCTTCAAAAACACAAACTCTATGTCAGCATGCTTTGTCTATATCCATCCTTGCATCAGTTGCTGAAGGCAAAATTGGCATGTAAATTGCTGACTCATCTCTCATAAGTTTGAATTTAAACCACCAGTGCAACATCCTTTCAAGAAGCATGTTACATATGTATAGTTAAACATTGATGTTAGTATTCATACCCACCTCCTGGTTGGATCTCATCCTGTTTTATACCTTCTCTGTTCTGTTTCTGCATCTTCTCTGTATAAAAGATATGTAAGTTTGACAATTAAGTATTACCGTAATGTACTATGTAATGGCTTACCAACATTATAACTACATGTAATAATGTTCAGGTTTTGATAAGGATCATTTGCATAATCATTGGCTTCTCCTAACCTTACTCTGCATTCACAATGTTTGCTTCATCTTTTGATTGGATTTTCAAGGGGCTTGGGGTGTTATCCATTATGCATTACATGAATTTCACAATACTCAAAACACAATATGGTAGCCTGGGTGCAGTTGCCATTACAAATTGAATGGCACCCAGGCTAAAAATATGGTAAATTCAGGAAAGTCAATTCAACGTGCTACTTTACATAGAATTGGGGTGGTCCAGTTAACCAGCTGTCTTTGATTCAACTACTATACTTACGATATTCCTGAGAGTGAAGAAGAGGTGCTATAAAGATGGGGTACATGACTCCACCGACAACAGCAGCAAACGCCCCGATCCCCAACACCATCCGCCTCATACTGGTGCCTGACATGGTGGCAAGGAAGCTGAAACAACACAGTGATTAGGGATTAGAGTAGAGTAGAATAGAATGGGGTGGGGCAAGGTGAAGGTGTGAAAACAACAGTTGTTGAACAATAGGGTGGTTAGGGTTCAGAGTATGGTACAATTTCAACTACAATGCAATGGGGCAAGATGAAGGTGTGAAAACAATAGGGTGATTAGGGTTTAGAGCAGAGTAGAAAGGGGTGGGGCAAGGTGAAGGTGTAGGGTTTAGAGTATGGTACAATAGAATGGGGAGGGGCAAGATGACGGTGTGAAAACAATAGGGTAATTAGGTATTGACTAGAGTAGAATAGAATGGGGTGGGACATGGTGAAGGTGTGAACAACAATCTTTGTCCTTTGTTCCCAAAATAAACTACTAGTACTTAGTATACTAACTTTATAGTCATATTCTATGTATTATAATATTGAGGTCATAATTTGAGTCACCTGTACCATATGACCCCTCTAAAAAATTATGGATGTCAGTGGTCTTGCAAAGACTATTGACGTAATTATATTTTGCAAGTACATGTACATGTAGAAGTACATGTACATGTAGAAGTACATATCCTCTCCGAGTCTTCACAACTTCTGTTTCTTCTGTAAATAAGATTTTGACTAGCAGGATTCTTACATCTGCTTGGAGATTTTACGCATGTGGAAGATATAGAGTAGAGACTATAACCACGTTTATTCTGCCATGTTAAACATTTAATCACGCAGAAGACACTGAACGTTGTCAGAACACAACATGCTCAACCACACCGGCCACAAGTGCTACAAAATTCAAACGACACACGCAAAATGTTGACAGAAATTACCAAAATTATCCTCACGCCACCTTGAACCGCCCTCCCCACCTGAACGATAACGCAATATAGGTCAAAGGTTATATTCTCGACCAATCAGATCAGAGGATGACGTTCACCAATCAGCAAGCGCAGCCAAAAATCAATGAACTATAAATTTGAGCACTGAAGCGTTACATAGCTACATGGCATGTTTATAGACAATTTATCACGCATGTTATGCCATATAGATGTCTTCTAAATAAAGGGTTGGCTAATTAGACACAAACCCAGTCTCAAAGTAATGCTTCATCCCTTAGGACTTACTAGTGACGTCACTATACAATAGTGACAATCCCCCAGGGAGCAAGCCGTTTGTAAACATACCCGGCAGGAAAAAAAGTCCCTTGAAATATAAATCCTCCTTTGTCAAAGCCACAGCCGGCTCGCAGCAAGGAAAATAAACGCGATTACTACTCACGGATTAGCGTACAAGCGCTGACAAACCGCTGAGAGGGCGTACAAGTTTGTTGAATGGTGAGGTTCGAGCGCGGAAGGTTACATAGAAAGTAGTGCGAAGCCCGCGGTACGTGACTGAGGTAAGAACGAGATTTAGACAATTTCATAAACACAAGTGTGGTGTGAGTCACTGAGGGAAACAGTCGCAAGAATCGGGAAGTACGAGGTTTGCCATCAATCGCAGAAGGTTGACGTCAAGTCCTTCACCCAGGTAAGCTTTTATTTGTTCCCAGGAGCGTTCGTGTGGGGCGTTTCCCACCACGGTTGACAAAATTTGGGGGGAGTGATTTTGCTTTCATTTGGGTAGGATTTGATTTTAGGCGTTAGGGTACCATGTTTGAAAGGGTCGTCGTCATCGTGAGCTTGCTAGTATTTGCCCGTGGCTGGTTCCAGGATGACTTGCGATCAAGACGACATTTCTAATGGTATTTTAGGCATCTAATCTTCTTTCTACGGAATGCCATCTCATGAATTAGCTTCAAAAGTCAGGTAGATCACGGATTGGACTTCCTTGTGTGGTGTGGTGGAAATTATGGAGGGGGGGGGCGATTTAAAATCAGGTGTCAGCTCCTTGACGTGGTTTCGACTCATGTGCCAACTTGTGAAAATGATACAATGCGTGGTCTGAGAGGATGTCCTGTAATATAGGTTTCCATTCACACCAACGAACAGCCAAAATTCAGTATCGTCATAAGCTGGACAAAGGTTACATCAAAACGTCAGGTCAAAGTGCAACCACATGTCCATCACCCACACACACATGGGGATATACGCCTGCCCACGGTCTCATGCACCTCTCTGACCTCATACACACCCTCACAGGTCATGGAACACACCTTCATATTTGTGTGTGGATTTTATTAATCATCCTCAGCATACAATGATTATCTGTATCCTTTATACAGGGACTATTAAATTGCCAGCTCAAATTGCGTGTGCAAAGTAATTTGATATGATAATGTCTTTTTTGTTTGCTGTCAACTTTGTGGAAGCTCAATGTATGTGATGAATTGGTAACAAATTTATTGACAATGGCACCCTTGTCTAAGCAACGTACAGCCTTGTCCAAAATGTAGTACATCAGCATAATAATATGTTCATATGTATAGTGATGATTACATTGTGATCATCCTAGCTCAATATTTTCACGAATATATATGAAAGTAATACAATGTTGTTAATTGCTAAAAAATAGATCTAAAATTCTTCAAAATGGATTAATGTGTAGAGTATACCTTTCGAATTTGTCATGTTCTGTTTACCTCTTTATTATCATATAATATATCCTATCTTCCCATCATGATCTCACGTTTACTTCTTAGACTTGTCTTTTCTTAAAGAAAGGATTTCCTGTCTTGCCATAACTGCATAAGCCATCACATTCATATAGACCTCATGACTCTTCTAGTTGTCTTCTGTCCAGCACCCAACGTAGCCTCCTGGACCCAATTTTCTGACCATGCAGACTGACCCCTGCCTGACCCTGGAGTCCTGGACATTGCAGCTTTCCTGATAAAGTTTAAACAGATTAGGGCTAGTTCTGAAAAGACAGAAATCTGAGTTCATAGCATTTGTCAACTGGCATTTCCTTTTTTAAGGACTAATCAAAAGGAACTTGAACCACTTAATGAAGTTGATACTGTATATAACTTACAAGCTACTAACAATACATGATTGTGGAAAAATACCAACATCACATAGTTACATACTTGATTATAGGTACCGTTACGTCTACTAGTATACATCTATTTGCAAAATGCTACTGTGTTACAAAAATACAGTTTTGTATATATAATATGTGAGAAACCTGAAATAAGTGACATCAGAAGATATATAGCTTGGTCAGTAATTTTCATGATAAAATTATCTTTCAATACCCATAAAAGGATCTGGTTGCCACAAGCACCATTGAGAGCATGGAGCTGTCAAACTTTATTAAGTTTATTAATTAAGAACTCTATATTCTTCCCTAGTGGAGATTGGTGAAATGAGACCCTGAACCATCAAACCTAGGGTAGAATTAAATTACCAAGATGATTTCATATGTTTTGTAACAGATTTGATTATACAGGTCTCCTGGCGAAAAGGTAACTTTATAATCTGGTTCTGAAGCTGCCGTCTACCTCTGGAGGCTATTGGTGGATCCATCAGTTCACTTCAAAAGCAGTGCCTACAAACCAGCTAGCATCCACTCAATATTTTCTTACTGTATATCTTGAGGTAGACCTAAAATGTTGTCACTTCTCAGATGGGCTGTTACATTTAAAACCACATTTATGCATCAGATAAGACAGAGCAATAGCCTGCATGTGTATCTCATAACTCTTGTCTTGAATCCAAAACGGTTAATACTGTTCATGACAATTATTTGCTTTGGCATCAGACAATCCTTAAGCTGGAGTAGGGTTTGATTGATTATTACTATGCAAGAGGAGAAGAGGACCATGTCTGTTATATATTGTTTATGCAAGGCTTTGAATATCAGTGATTGAGCAGGTATGTTCAGTCAAATGCTTTAGATAGGTATCAGAACATTCATGTGGTCCATCTAGATTGTATCCACGACATTAAAACATTTTCACTGCAGAAGGAATGTCCAGCATCTGCAGTAATGCACACAGGGACTTTCCACATCAAAGCACACGGTTTGCTGTAAGAAGGAAGAAGGAAAGACTTGACCCTGACTATCTTTGACTGTGCAAACATTATAGCATGGTTAGAGGCCCATAGGGAGGTCTGGCTTAATCTGTACATTAGGATATTTGCTGAAGACCATTATGATACTATATATCGTACTGAAATACTGATGATAAAACTATAATTTCTTACGATTAATCAAGCATAAAAAGACATTCTTGGTCATGGTATATGAATGAGCTTTTGGAATTATTCTAAAATTTACTGTATTTTCTGCGAGGTTTCTGAGGTGAGGTCCCATAAGAACTATGCGATAGCAATGTTAACCGCATGCCTGTCAGTGTGCATACTTAGGCCATGTTGATTTGATTATATGGATGACATCCTCTGGGAACCCCAAAACTGATGCGAGCGTGCGAATAAAAAAAAAGTTTGGCCAAAAAAAAAAGTTGCTTTCATTATGAAATCTACGTGGTTTTGAAGATTGAACAAATGACACAGAGTATGGTTTGGCGAATAATCTACTCTTCAAATTCATTTCTTTACATTTTCGTCTTTTTTGGGTTTGATTTTGGCATTCTACGACAGTGGTATCATTTTTTGCAACTTACGGTATGTCTTTGCTCATTTTGCAACTGTTTTGTACGATTTACAGTATGGTTGAAAACTTTTTTTTTTTTTTTTGGAAACGGCCGAAAATTCATGCGCGCGCGGATGTCATCCATATAATCAAATCAACATGGCCTTACCATGGCACTGCTGAGGGCTGGCTGGACAAGTTATTCCTGTCATGTGGAGATATTTGACCTGTGACCACAAAGCTTGTGTTGAAAAGTCACTCCATATTAGAGGCCCAGCTTTAGAGGCTGTCATGGCCTCTGACAGGTGCTAGGCACAGGTGAAAACAAGAGTTCCACGATCTCATACCTTCGCCAAAAGATGTTAACCCTTGCGGTTGAAGAATTATACAATTTTAATAATTGATTTTGCAAATAAGATCCTCATTTGCATGGGTTATATCAGTTGATCATATTCTCCACCCAATGACAGTCTTATCTTAACAAAAAGGGTACTATAGCACTTCCTCATAAATTATGCAAATGAGGTCATGATTTGAATAAATTATGTTTATTGATGTTCGCCTTCACTTAACTTCCAAATGTGGGAAGTATTAAATTCCCAGCAGTTACAACTATGAAATTATAAAAATTTCCCAGTAATTATGCAAATTAGGTCTTCATTTACATAAATCTATATCCTCAGATTTTTTAAAATTCTCAATCACATGTCACAAGTGTTTCATGGTCCTATTATTGAACAATGCAGAGTTTTAGAATTTCCTCATTAATTATGCAAATTAACTCCTGATTTGCATAATTGTCATCTGATTATGTCGAGCATCACTTCAGCTACCTACATACCAAAAATCACGACAATACGTCAACCGGTTCCTTAGTTATCATCCTTCGAAAAATTTTCAACAAATGCTTCTGCAGTTCCAGAACAAGCCGCTAGGGGGCCCAAACTCATGTCACTTCTTCCCTACCTCAAGACCTATCTACCACCCAAAATTCGTGACCCTAGAATGTACAGATCACGAGATATCAAAACCGGAAGTTCTGCTGCAGTACCAACAGAAGCCGCCCGGGGGCCCAAAATCTAATCATTTCGAGGTCTCATGAAGACCTACCTACCTACCAAGTTTCATGACAATGCATACTAAGCTTCTTGAGTTATGCTGTTCACAGACAGACAGACAGACAGACGGACAAACGCTACTGAAAACATAACCTTCTTGGCGAAGGTAATTAATGGTACTGCAGTCAGACGGTGACTAAATTGTTCCCCAACTTAGCTATACTTGTGTTGCTGTTTTGCACACATCAACTTAAAGTCGTAATCAAGACAAAAGGATTGCATGGAATTGCAACAAGTGGGAATTCAAAGTACTAGTAGGGCTGACTGTGTTTTATTACATGTACTTGAAATTCATGTTTGGTAAGTTGAGTACTTGTAGTGAAGTTGTTTTACGTACGAAGTGGAAAATGTCTTATCTGTATCTCAGAAACCGCTGTATTAAGAGATTGTTTGATAAAAGATGATATCTAGCTGGAGTCCCCATCCTGTTGGAGTGAGCCATTGACATTGTGCTTACCAGCCATTGACATTGTGCTTGACTACTCAACATTGTGCTGTTGTCAGTTCTTACATTGTGTGTCCACATGATTTATGTCAGATGTTTATTGAAACAACCTTGGGACTACCAAAGGTGCGGGAGTCAGCGGGACACAGAAGTGGTCATTTCCTTCAATGCAAATCTGTCAAGATGTCACTTCTCAGCCAATAACTAAACCGTTGCACTACTTCAACTTGTAACGCACACATTTATAGCAGCTACAAATATGTACACAATATGAATAACATGTTATAGTATATGCACTAGTATCTTTCCAGATTACAAGTTCTACATGAATGAGTCTTTTCTTGCTATAAGGAAGTATGAATCCACTCTAAATGTAATTAGAATATTTGCTAACACTGTACGTGTTATAATATGTCATTTCATGTTAATGTAGTGATGCAACTGTATATGTTTGAGCTGTTCTGAAGTTGTAAAATAGACAGCTGTTGCCAGAAGTGTATCAGTTGTTCTTCTCTATATGGTTCTATGTTTTATGAGGAGATTATGAGATTTATGTGTTGCAGACACCAGTGATCAGTCAGTATAGCCTCTGCACAACCCTATAATCCAACACTGTCTAGTATGCAATTGCCAGGCGCCCACTGCAACTTGAGTATGGTGTCCAGAGTAATAAACCCTTCGCTTCTTCCACAAAGATAACTTTGTTGTATAAGCATCAGTGTTACAGTATACTGTGTAAATTTTGTATCACTCAAGGGACGCGTATCGAGTGTCCGGTGGTGCCACCGAGCTTTGTTAGGCCGTCAGCGGAGGTGGTTCGTAATGATGTTACTGAGGAGGCCCGGTGTCGGGCGGGTTGTAAGACTAGAATAGTTATTGTTTCCAGGCTATTCAAAACAAGAAGCGTTTGGTTCACAGGTCAAAGCCAGTGAATGACAGGATGAAGAAGACACGTTTACACTTTCACAAGGGAGAAGGCCTGGTAATGTGGACTGTTTCATTTCTGATGGGGGCTTCATCTTTTTTTGTTAAAGAAGCAGAAGTGCTTCTAGATAAATTCACCATCTGATGCTGAAACTAGATAATGAGATAGTCTGTTATTAATGTAAAGACTGTTCAGTTTTAAGCTTTTTTGAGTATCATTGTTAATTTGAGAAAATGGAAACTGCTATCAATCTCCCCTCAAAAATAAGTACCAATGGTTCTCTCCGGGCTGCGTGGGGGGTAAGGTACTTGTTCTGTTTGTTTTGTGCCTGTTGGCGGTGTTAGGCGGGTACTTGTAACTGATTACGGTCAAGAAGTTTTGCCTGTTGAAGGTTTCTGCACCATGAGTTGATGTCTTTGCGTGCTTTATGATACTGCAGAGATGTACATGCTACCTCGGTACCGGGCATTCTTCTGTAAGTTGACTCTTTAACTCATTGTAAACTGTAAGAAGACGTTTGGTTATTCAGACTTATCCATCGTGTAGTAGGTACTTCAGTCTGCTTTGAAAGATTGATTGCATACTTGTTTTCTATATGGAGCTTTCCCTCTTTAATTTCTACCCGTTTTCTATTTTCCTTTTGGTGAATGTTGGCACACAGGTGGTTTCTGTGTAGTCTCTACCAACGCGGGTTCAAAAAGAAGTAAAATTTAGCCAACAGGTAGAATAATGGACTTGGGGAGTTTAGGCAACGTAAAGTTCATTAGCCTGCGCAGTGAGTTAACTCTCCCACAGGCTGACTCTCCTGGCTAACTATTTCCCTTTTTTTACCGAATTCTACTTCTAGGAAGGTAGGAATGTTTCTATGAGATCCTCTCTCTATATATATACTTACAACACATGATGGGTTTGGAGACAAATCAACAAGTGCATTAGGTCAAATAATCCATTTTCTGCCTGTAGGCTGAAGACATCCAGACGATTGATGAGTCCAGATGGGTTTATTCTGGGAATTGAGCCCAATGTGGACAAGTGTTAGATATAAGAAGAAGAAGTCAAACCAAGAAAAACTAGTACCATGTATGTTGTAGAATATGTTAGAAGAGAAGTAGTCTCTCATATTGTATTTTCTTTTTTCATACATGTTGTAACATGTTTGTACCTGCAATTAACCCTTGGGCATGTATTTGCAATAAACTTTCCTATGTACCCATACATTCCCATTCTCATGGTCACATGATATGTATTATGTTGAATTTGATGATGTCTGTTTTAAACACATGAAATCGGTGTCTAGTTCCTTAAAGATTATGAGCTCAGTTTTAAGAGTGTAATTTACCAATATAGAAGCCTTGCTGTATAACTACATGTACCTTCAGCCTCTTAGATCTGCATCCTCTAACTAATTGACAGCTTTGGTGCACCTAACCAATGTACCAGTGGTAGACTTGTGTCTGGTTATGGTAAAGACCTCCACTGACATGTTGATGTATGATCAGATTAAAACTAAAACCTGGGAGATGTTGATGCATAGCAGCAGCTCCAGTGTCGGAGCTACCTGTGGGCGGGAAGTGACAGGGATTACCTGAAGACAGATACCTGCAGAGGCGGCAGAAAATTGGATTTTTGCTGTGAAATACTTGTCTAATCTTCAAGTGTATCATAGTAATCACTTATTCCAGACTTGTCTACTGGTCTACCAAGACTTTCCAGCCAAATTCTGCAATATGCCATGTGATGAAAGCTCCGAAAATTTGACAGTGTATTATGCTCATTACCCAAGATAAACTGGAGGAGAATAATTGCAAGCTAAGACTAACAAGAGATGTTAAACCTTAATTATATACTGTAGTTTTATATAAGCATGCTTGAATGCACTGATACTTGATTTGTACAGTTATAACCTAAACTGTTGCAGGGCGTTTGAATTAAAAGCAGGCTTACATGGCATGATGCTGTACAGACAAGTGTAGAGCAATAACTTGTGGAGCTAGCCGGATGTGTATTTGCGGCATGTCTGATCACTCACACCCACAGTTCAGTCATAACTCTCTTCCTGTAGTCCTAGACCGTCTAATTTCAGTAGCTGACATACGACACAATGTCAGATGTAGTACGTGTACCTCCCCTAGCAATTGTTGATGTATTTGAAACTGTATCAGTCAAGCTGTGCCATGTGTGCTATTTAAGGCCCTTGATACACAGTCACTGCCAAGTTTATAACTAGATTTTTCCAGTAACAACTTTAAATAGCCCATTGAGGAGATGTGATGTGAAATTCATCTGCCTTTGGTATGAAGAAAGGGTTTGAGTTACGGGTCCAGTTCCGGGAACACCCCTGCGTGACGTAGCAAGTTTTCTTTGCGTGGTAACGTCACAGCCAAAACTGTCCCCACTCTGGGACACAGCACCCCATATTTTGGGGAGCCAGCAGAATGTGTGTAGTAGGGTGGGACGGACCGTCATGGAGTCCCACCCTACAGCCTCCCATATAAAACTCTGCCTGAGGTCCAGTCTAGCCAGTATAACAAAGTCGAGACCAAAGCTTTGTGTGGAGACCAGCCGTAGCACCAGCTCAAGCCAGCCTAGCCATGCCGCCTGTCGCTGTCGAACCATTTCAGCATTACGACGATGCTTTCCTGTCGTCTCTACGATTCTATAACTACTGCCATGGATCATACCGGGCCATGCTATGTATGTACCCACTCTCCTTTTCCTTTCTTTCCTACACACATGACCATGATACAGTCTGGGTCTGGTTAGGAGCTGTTCGCCAGTTTTGGGACTGTCTAACGTTGATGCGACAGGATGGATACATATATGTACAATGGTATCCACCCATGTGCACAGAACCAGTTGTATGCGGAGTTCTGATTTCTTAGAACTGATATTGTAGCAATATATATGGCACGGCATAGACAGAGAACTGACTCATAATTCTAGTGCCTCGTTAGTGAGTGAGCGTTGGTTGCTGCATGCCTAACGTGATGGCGCGTTCGCGAGTGTTTCGGGTACTGTGCTGCCGATATCTGTGGTTGTCTGGTATCTTTGTGTTCAGGAGAAGATCCAGGAATCCTGGTTGTGGTAAGGCTATCTGAAGAATGCTGTTATCAGTGACATATCAGTAGTTGTTCGTGAGTAATAGACCCCAAATTACAAAGGTGCGGGATGAGTTAGGATGGACTGTGTTGCTACAACATGTACTTCGTTTGTTAGGTTGTGATGAGTGTAAGTTCTAAGGCGTTTTAGTTTACTAACTTGCTGTTGTTCTCCAAATATGTATGGTTTGATTTTGACTCTCAGTGCTGCTCAGTATCCCTCTCTGTGTAGATAACATAACAGCTGATGCAAGCCTAACCTTCAACAGGATCTTGTATCCTGCTCAATGTCATAGTCATCAAATGACAAACCAGACTGGCAGCGATATGTAAACAAAACTGTGCGGACGAAAATCTCCCCCCAAATTTAATCTCACAGAGTACCGCCATTACCGGAGTATCTAATCAGTGAGTGCGGCTTAGAAAACCAAGTTGACTGAGCAGCAGTGGTTCTTTTATAGTCCTCGCTACAGCAGGAAGTGCTGGGCCATTCTCTTCAAACAGGATTTAATGGGTTGTTGACCCTCTCAATGGCAGCTATAACCATCGCCTGCTGTACCAGTAACAGTTACCTGCTGATTGCTGCAGGGCACTCGCGCATAGATTTCCTCTCTTCTCTGATAGTCCATCCCATAGATATCCATTGCATAGATTGTGAAGCATGCAAATTCATATCCTATCTGTTACTTAACTGCAATAAATTTTATGCTTTATTCGAGTATTTGATATAATTCTTCCGTGATTTTAGCCATTGTGTAAAGTGAGATTTGCGCTCAATCTTGATTTGAGTTCCTCCTCCCTTCAACTGATCTCTTGTTTCATCAGCAATCATTCAGAGCTAATCTTGAGATTTCATCATGTGTAATGTTCAAGCTATCTAGATTGGCCTGGAGGAAGCTATTTACATATCTTATCGCTTCTATTACGTGAATCTAGATCAGTGATAATTTCAAAGGAAAAACGAGCCTTGTTCATCTTACTTAGATGTTTTTAAGCTCTTCCTGCTGTGTGCCGATGAAAGATTCTGTACACATACCGCGCAATCTTAGAAGGATGACTTGATAGGATGCCTCCAAGCAATTATGGAGATGAAGATGAATAAAACATGGGGTTGTGGAGATTAAAGTCTGAGGATCAGAGTATCACAACTCCCTGAACATTTAGTGCACAGACCTGCAATTATTCTGGCAGTCTAATAACTGTGATGGTTTGAAGCAGCACTCGACATGGGACTTCCTTCATTTGAAACTGATATTCCTTTAACCTTTCTTGTCCTCAAGGACATGCCGATTAGGTCAACTATACATAAATTTTAAGGAAGAAGACATTCTAAACTTAGATTTCTTACACGTTGGTTATCCATGAGGCTTTGTGCACTGAAGGGTTGAAAATTTCCAAATTGCTTGTTGAAACATCAAGACTAGTCCGTAGATGGGGATGGGAGTGTGAAAATCAAGCAGGCGTGTGAACACTTGCTGACTGCAGTATTCCATGTTATGAAACAAGTTTGAACTGTAATGGCCAACACAAAAATAATTCCTTAACAAAGACTGGAGTTGTACAGTCGAAAATTTGGGTGAGTCCAATTTTTTGTGTTGGCCATTACAATTCAAACTTGTTTCATAATGACTTCTACCAACACAGATAGTATTCCATGTTGCTGATGTGTTTTTTCTTGCGTTTTTTCCCTCTGCAGACATGGGGCAAACGTTGTCGGAGCCGGTCACAGCCAAGGAGACGAGTAGTGCAGCCAACAGTATGGTGATGGTGGGGTCATCATGCATGCAAGGATGGAGGATAAACATGGAGGACGCACACACGCACATCCTCTCACTCCCCGAGGACAAAGACGCTGCTTTCTTCGCTGTTTATGACGGACATGGAGGTAAGAATAGTTTTTCATGAGGGATGCCAGTTATAACATTATTATTACAGGGTTCGAAATACATGAATGTACCACCTGCATATGCAAATGCAGTGCATTTTGAACATTTTGTACATCAGACACTGAAGAGAGACAAGAGACAGACAGTAAAGGCTGAATTAGTAGCCAAATATGTGATTTGGACGTCTGAGCTGTTATCCTTGCAACTCCAGTCAACCTTGTGATTCCAGACTCCTTAAACCAGAAAATGTGACGAAGGAAGGACAGAGTGTAAGAATTATTCAGTAAAATGTCTCTTATCCCTAAGAATCTCTTTGACAAACATATTGCGGCTTTCTTCTATGAAAGGTAGTGCGTCAGTCTGGACCATACTTATTTATAGTGTATGCCCTTGGACATGGTTAACTCAGGTCATTTGTAATCCACAAGTGGGATCATGAATCTGTCTGCTGTTCCACAGGGGCCAAAGTAGCACAGTACGCTGGATCACATCTGCACAAGAAGATAGTCAAGCATCCATCATACAGTAAGTCTTTCATTTCTACTGGTAATAAAGTGGATCATGAAGGATTGATTTGTTCTGTCATGTAGTTTCATATCCTGCCGGACAAACACAGTTATAGAACCATTCATGATCATTTCGAAGAACAGAATCTGATACAAATGCTGCACTTTGTGTTTCTGTGTTGCTGTTCAAAAATGTTACCTCAGTCTGAATTCTCCTGATACTAACTTAAGATAATTCTGTCTCATTTTCCAGAAGTAGGTAAAGTAGAAGATGCCATGAGAGGAGGCTTCCTTGAAGTGGACACAGATATGAGAAATGGTAAGTAAAGTAATTTTTCTCACCATTTTCTTTTGTGACCATCAGAATACACTAGACTCTATGGTTATCTCTAATTTGTCAGCTTTGCTAGTGCCCTTGCTGTTATATGTCAGTTGTGATTTGTGGATATTTTTAATGTGAAAACCCTAGATATTAGTTCAGGCATATTCTTTGTTCCATAGATGAACAGACTATTAATCTTTGGCAACATATATTTTTTTATCATCCGTCATAATCATAATATCATCAGATTCTGTACTTTCTCTTTTTTGAAAAAACATATACTAGTGTGCTCCTCTTTTCATTTGCCTACAAAGTACACTTTACAAGTTGGCACAGTAGTACAAATGTACTTGCTGAAGGTCAGAAGGCTGCTGGCAAAGACTTAGTCTGGACCATTCTTCTTTAAATTTCTCCTCCACAAATTCCCTTTTCCATCAATAATGCATCGTCTGGCCTCAACTGTTCATCCCAATAGCACCGGGAGCCTGTTAACTCGTGCAATTAACATCCTCAAAGGACCAGGGTGTGCAGGGGTGCCTGTGTCATAGATAACTCCAGTAATTGCCATTGGCATTTTACCAGGCCGGGAGCCAGAAACTTGACTAATCTGCGGTAGCTCTCCCTGCTAGTGGTTTCGATCGGCACTTCTACTCCAGACAGTGACACATTACCAATTTTCCAGCCAGTTGAGCAGTAATGGCCTCTTGTTTGTTTTCCACATTATCTAATAATGCGGATCTATGGACGTGTTTGCCTTACAATTTGCCCATTGAGTGTGTAAATGGGGAAATGATTGGTTACACAGTCTCTGTTATTGTTGACTTATGAATGTACCAGTAGAGGATCGTGGTGTGTGTTTTGTTGAGAGTGTTTGCTCTGGGGTCAACTGTTATGTTTTCTGTTCTCCTGGCGGACATTTTAGGGAAACTGGCCTGTGTTTTTTTGTGTAGTTATCCCACTCCTTTCTCTGTGCTGTGTTCCTCATGAAGCTACATGTATCATTGTCCTGTTATGTATGCATCTATAGCAGCGACACCTGTGCTGCAGTGTAATGTGAACCAGTCAGAATTGCCATGACAGACGGTCACTGAAACATTGGCTGAATAAAACACTTGCTTGTGTAAAAAGAGTCTGATGAAACTATAATTCAAGGATGTATCTTGTTGTTTGTTCCAGATGAGTCAATGAGAGATGAACTAGCAGGATCGACTGCTGTCACAGTTTTACTGAAGAATAACAAAATCTTTTGTGTAAGTACTTTTGATGTAGTTTTGTGTCAACAAAACTAGACCCAGCAAAATCATCCACACCTGACTTTGAAACTTGAAATTATCTTTATTCTTTAACTGACCATTCTAGAATGTTCTTTAGAACAGGTAAACAAACCGTGACGTAATAGTGCGATAGGTCCATTGAACATTACGGTTAATGTACTGATTATGAATTACAGTGATTTGGGGCAGTTGCCTACGGATTACAAAGGTTAAAATGGCCTAATTACGCCTTATGAAAAAGGGAATGCAGACCCTCAAGTGCTAACCGTAAGTCTTTATTTACAGGGTAATGTCGGTGACTCGAGATCGATAGCGAGCGTGTGCGGGAAGGTCCAGCAGCTGTCCTTCGACCACAAACCCAGTAACGAGGGCGAGACCAAGAGAATCATCGCTGCCGGGGGGTGGGTGGAGTTCAACAGGGTCAACGGTCAGTACAACATTCATGTGTTTATCTACTCTTTAACTTATAGCACATTGAATCAGCCGTTCAGTTTTCTCTGTTGGTTATGGGCTTAGGTAGCAGTTGGTCTTACATGTATGCTACAATTAGACACACTAGTCATTACTCTTGAGATATATAATAATGACCTCTTGTTCTATAGAACATTTAAACTTGTTTGAACAAGAATTTTTGACTGAATCGCTCAGTCTTCTTCAGCTATCTTGACATCTACTTTGTACTTTTATTTATACCTAAAGGCTCTTGTTTGTCAGATATCATACATGTATATTTCACTATTTAATGTATAACAGGTTTAGACTTTTACATATAGTATTTAAAATTGTCAGTGGCTTTCTAAATTTGAAATGACAAGGTTCTCAGTAGTTAGGTTCTTAATGGCTTATTGTCTATTATGCACACAGGTAACCTGGCCCTGTCCAGAGCTCTGGGGGATTTCGTTTTCAAGCAGAATGACAAGAAGAAAGCAGAGGAACAGATAGTCACTGGTAGGTATGGCTTCTAGACAGAACTGTACAGAACACCTCATTTTATGATGCATCACACGGCTTTATGATGCATCACACTGTGCGGTGGCAGCTGGCTACATTAAATCGAACGACTTGTTACAGCTAACCCTTGAACTTGAACTGTAAGCTATCTAATGATGCCCCTACTGTACTTGGTGACAGCGAGTTCCACTCTGCGATAGTTCTAGGAAATAATTAATTTTTGAACACCTCAATCCTTGGTTGATAACTCTGGTACTTGAAGGCATGGCTATTTCTTGTTCTTTTTGGGCTGGTATTAGGTACTTAGTAGTTAGTACAGAGAGAGAGAGAGAGTTAGTACATCCACCAGTTGTGTGGGAGGTACTAATGACATGTTGCCCTGTGTCTTTACAGCGTACCCAGACGTTGTAGTGGAGGACCTGACACCTGACCATGAGTTCCTGGTGCTGGCGTGTGATGGGATCTGGGACGTCATGTCCAACCAGGAGGTGGTGGACTTCATCCGCACCAGAATAGCCCAGAAAATGGAGCCACCTGAGGTGAGTGGTGGTTGGGAGGTTTAGAGACAGAGAACTGCTTTTCACACACAGATTTTCTGAGGCTGAGCTCTTGCTCCAAGTTGATTCTGTGCCATTACACACACTTTGACCCTTCTGCTGAGCAACTAGAGTCACCAGCAGTGATCATTCCAGGCAACTCTTGAGTCCATAAAATGTTTTTGACTAGTCTGTAGTTCTGTGGACACAGCAAAAATGTGTTGTAGTCGAGTTAAGAACTTGTGTGTAAAGTGTGTCAAAATTCTGCTGTAGCATGCCAATAGGCCTTGAATGCCCTTGATTGACCTTATGTGCAGAACATACGGCTACGAACCACTGAACAAAGTACAATGTATATGGAATTCTATAAATATGCTTGACTTTAGTCTGAATAATTTTTTTGTCCTCCCTGTTCAGATTTGTGAAGAACTGATCAACAGATGTTTGGCGCCGGACTGCCAGATGGGGGGCTTGGGCTGCGACAACATGACTGTCATCATCGTAACTCTGCTGCAAGGAAAGTCGTACGACGAACTAGCCGAGAAGTGTGCCTTGCCCAGTATGGCAGTTCAGTCCAGTCCAGAAAACGGTGCAGGATTCGCAGACCTCAGATAGAAGACCTAGATAGGCGCAGTGTACGTAGATAGGGATCGGTTCACTTGTCTGGCAACTGCCTGACATCACTACTTACAAGTCTGAGAAAATACCTTTTCTCAAAGATTTGTTGGTACATCAAAAACCTCACCACTTAAGAAAATGATAATGGGGGTTAAGACCAACAGGAAGGATTGCAGCATAGAGTTTTTGAAGGCAATTGTATAATCATAACGTGTGTGTTTGGCTCCAAGGTTGGGTGCATGGGGAATAACTGTTTGGGACTTCGACACAACAGGATGTTGGTTGCCCTGCACTAGCGACCTCTGTACATAGGTTTATACCCATATTAGGAAAAAGGAGACCAAAGATTTTGGGATGGAGTCTGCCATTCGGTGCCTGTGATGGTGTGAAGGGATGGGCAATGTAAAGGCAACCATCACTATGGTTTAAACAGGTATTAAAAAAAATGACCAATTTGTGCTGGTCACAAAACTGCAACCAGGGAAGGGTTCTACTACCACTGAGGGGTTTCATTGTGTTCAAAATGATGTTTTGTACTTGTTTATTACAGTTTCTCTGCAATCTTAAAGGTAGTTTGTTGCATTCCATTGTAAAGATAGAAGCCTGGTTATATAGACTGATGTAGAAATGATCGTAATTGAAGCACCATGACTTGCGAAGCCTTTTTGGATGTTTTGAGATCCACTTTGGTGGTAGAATGAACGTAGTAATCAGTATGACTGAAATAATGAATTACAAGGATGTTGGAAGGACAAAAAAAAAGAAAGAGAAGTGCAAACGAACACCTTGAAAGTCTACAATGCACGCCACATGTCCATTTGTGATGTAGATACAATAGATAGTACTGGTGGAGAGGGTAGTTCCATATTGGAAAGCAGACATTAAGGATGTTTTCCTCAATAACCGGTAAGAAATTCCAGGTTTTGAGTCCAAGTTTTTTCGTAGCCGAAGTTCAAGCCTTGGGGGTTTTCATGGCCTCTGAGTGAAAGAGAAATGACTTTAACAAGTTGTCAGTCTTCCAACCATTTTTCTCGTGTAAAACCTTTACTTAAAGCACATTGTTTGTGAGCATGTAACTTGCTGGAAATGCGATGCAATGAACCATGGATGTATTTTGCTTGCAGAAGCATACCAGTCATCAGCCATAACAGCTAGTTGTGCCCTCTATCAATTGACTGCTGTACTGCAACAGAAGGCAACTTGTACTCAGTTTTCTGATCTCCAAAAACTTTCGCATTGTGCTGTCAATAGTTTGTTGTACAAGCTCCATTTATGCTGTGATACCTGAATTTGTTGTGGAGCAAAAAAAAAAAAAGAATTCTATGATAGAAGATTGTTGTTGTTTACTTGTAACCAAGATTCTGTCTCAACTTTCAAGTTGCAAATTTAACTGTCATTTAAAATCATCATCTGTTCTGTTGTTAATCTGTTCTGTTAATATGTGTATTAATCCTGCTATGGCAAAGGTGTTCTGTTTTGATAAAAGGCTTTTCTTGCAACTGTCTAAGAAGTCATGACTTCAAATTCCAGAGTTTTAGGTGGAAAATTTCCTGTACTGTTGTAGAGAAATAAATCTATGAAATCTCCAGCTATGCTGTCTTTTTTTCTCCCAATGGGTGGATACTCTGACTGCAGATTTTTCTTTAGTAGGATTCCTGTAAAATCCAGATAAATTTGTTTAGCCTCTACCAGGCTAAAAATAGTAGAAATTAGCCAAAATAAAGGGAAATATAGTAGAAATTGGCCAAAATAAAGGGAATAGTATACTAGGGGAATTAGCTGGCCATGTACATTTTGTAACAGTGGGGTTTATCCTCCGCTAACTGACCATGCTAAACGGTCGTGCGACCTTTTAGTGTAGTGGTTAGCGTTGGTGACCGCCAAGCGGACAACTCGGGTTCGATTCCCGGTTGTGACCTGCTCGCCCCTTTCGGTTTTTACAGTGGCGCCCGATGTGGGCCCTGTGAGTACTTGCACTGAGGATAAGTGTGGCAGCTCCAGGGATGTCGGACTCGGAAGATTCGAGGACGAATCTTGAAAGAAAGGGGGGAGTAGTGTAACAGTGGGGTTTATCCTCCGCTAACTGACCATGCTAAACGGTCGTGCGACCTTTTAGTGTAGTGGTTAGCGTTGGTGACCGCCAAAGCGGACAACTCGTGTTCGATCCCCGGTTGTGACCTGCTCGCCCCTTTCGGTTTTTACAATTTTGCGACCCACAGGTGTGGCAAAATGCACTCTAGCGGACCAACTCCCTTGGCATGTTATCTCTCTACATGTATTTGGCCAATCTCTACTCTTTCCAGCCACCTCCCGAAGCCTGGTAGAGGCTAACATTTGTTGACTGCAGGATAGGCAGTCAACAAAGGGCTTTTTGACAGGTTTCAGTTCACAGCGTTGACAGGTTTCAGTTCACATTGTTACAATATCAGTAAGCTAAATTCATGTAGTCTATTAGTAGCTGCCTTCCACCTGTATACAATTTGAGCAAAACCCTGAGAAGGATACCCTCACATCACATCTTGTTTATTTACTTTTTACACCGGCTTCATCACAACGTGTATAGTACATGTACTTGTAATGCAGAATGTTTTACACTTCCCTAATTACAAACACAACACATCATACACATATATTCAGCACAGGGCTATCATTGTAAATCCTGGAAAATAAATAGAGAACATTGTGTTATTAAACCTATTTGCATTGCATGGATTGCACTAATTGTTTCATCATGCGGATTGCGGACCTCACTTCAGCATACAAGTCAATACGACAACGAATCTAGCCTTTGCACATGTACGAATCTCTTGAATCAAAGAATAGTGTTTACTGCAAACCTGAAATATGTACCAGGAACTGTAAGGTAATGGTAAAGGTATCCCATAGCCTTTTTTGAGGCCGTAGGGGTAGTGGGTTGTTATCCACTGTGTCGAGGGCACGGTATTGGAAGGTGGAGCCCATCCCTCTCCTTCCACCACCTTTTACCTCCCCAACCGAAGTCAGGTACCCATTTTACACCTGGGTGGAGAGAGGAAAGTTGTGCAAAGTGCCTTTCCCAAGGGCACAAGATCGGTGACGTGACAGGATTCAAACCAAGGACCTCTAGGTTCTTGGCCAAACACCCTGTCATTATGCCACACACCACACAGGTTATACTCCCTTTCAGTTCCTGTCATAGCTGGATATGTTCTACCATTGGTGGTTGAAGTTACGTCTTGGAGGGGGCATGTCTCACCCATGGCTTAACTTTGTAAGATCATACATAACACAAAGCTAAACAAACGTGTCAGAATTACGGAAGACAAGATGGAGAAATCTCCAGCCCTGGTTGAACCAGACTGCTTCCCTCAGAAGTCTGTTGTATTTACATGGGTTCTAACAGCTGAGAACCATTCAGAACCCTCTGAGAATACTAGTAGGTTTCCCTATTGTTCTCTACATAAAGATCAATAAATTTAACTTCTCAATATTCTGTTAAATCAAACTTTTCAAATACATATGTCTGTAACAATTATTGTGTGCATGTTTTGTTCCACTGATTAATTACATAAGATGAAATTCATCTAGTAAAAATAGCTCATATCCTGGCTAACAAGAATTAATAACATGCTTGTGGTCACTTACTTAAGGTATGCCTTTGTTTTACTGTCATGTGACAAATTTAACAAAGTAATTCATAGTCAGCAAATAATACAGCAAAAACTACCAGTTGCAATTATAATATGCAGTTCTTGCTGCATATTTTGATCCTGGTTAAGTTTGAGTGAAATGTTTTTCCTTGAGCAACAATATTAGACATAGGAGAAGCCCTCAACAATATTTTTTATGAAATGTTAAACAAAAAATTAAGCCTGACATCAACGAGTCGCAATCATGTATAAATGTTTCAGTGCTGCTACTCTCTCTGCTTATACATGTAGGTTTTACACATCTGACTACACCATTAAATACTTTAAGTGACACAAAAAATTTGAAATAGCTCTTGGTCTGTATCTGGATAGCCGGTATACCCGCCCTTTGGCGTAACACACCAGCTAAATTTCCTGGTCTAAACCGAAAAAATTGTCTGATACAACAACATACAGGTAAAATATCACCAAAGTTGGCATGATTTTTTTCCATACTGCACATTAAGTTTGTGTTATCAAGTGCTGCAGCGCACACTGAACAACATTTGAATGTTTCAAATCTGTATATAGGGAAAGCAGTATGATCACAGGAAAGTGACTAGAGCCAGTTCAAATCTTTTTCTCTTAAAGTTTACTACTAAAGACCATCTGTCGTAAACCCAACCTTTAGACTACCACATCACGTTCTGAGAACTTGCAGCGGGGAAGTTTTGAGCGTTGTGGATGATGGTGAGAGTTATGACAGCGAGCTCTCCAGTTTAAGGTGCTTGTAACACGTTCTGCAGACAGGGACGGGACGTTGAGAGTAGTGCCCGGGGATCGCCGTCTGTTTGTCGATACATCGGGTACAGAACACATCACCACATCGCCAGCAGTGGTACTGCAAGAGGAGATAAGGTCAAATTTTAAAAACTGTAAATTGTCTTCTGCATTCCCTCAGTTGTCAGTTAGACAAGAGTGACTCTAGGTGAAGTGAGCCTGACCACCCCCACTTTACCTAGAGTCACTCTTGTCTAACTGACAACTGGAGATGCAGAGACAACCACACCTGTCCGGCACAGGTTTGGACAACTTGTATCTGTAACTCCCCCAAAAGGATGTTACCTGTACTGACACAAGTCCTTCAAAAGCCTATCTTTCCAAATTGTTACCAAACTTGGTCTTCAAACATCATTATGCTGCCAAATCTTGTAAAACCAGCACAGAGTTGATGCCAAAACAGTCGTACTCATAGTAAGGAGATAGCTAACATAGTGAGTATGGTAAAGATCCTATTTGTCATCTTTGACCAGTTATCAGACATTGTTCTGAACTTTTCAATTTCTATCAACAATAGGACTAAGCTGAAAACATCCCACACAAAGCATGTATTTCTTACTTTCTTGTTAAAAGCGTCCAGCGGGGTTTCACACGAACACTGGCGGATATTCCTAAAGGCTTTCCACTCCAGGGCCACCGAGTCCATCTCAAGGGACAAGCGATTCAGCGACATGTCCGTGGCATCACCGGCTCCTCCAGACGGAGAGTTCTCCACCTTGACATTCGTCTCAGGAACGTCACGACCTTCAGCCTCCTCCTCAAGGTCATGGGTACTGTTCAAAGTGTCCTCTTTGTCATCCTGCTTTTCCTCGTTCTCCTCTGTGCTTGCACTGTCCCCGTTCAGAGGAGATTGAACGTCTTCAATCCCTGACTCACTACTTGCATCAGATACAGCGTTAGCTACATTGTCTTCACTACGGCCATCCTCTGTGGGTACAGCATTGCTGCTGTCCACGGCTTCTGGACTGCTGTCACCCTTGGCTTGCTGGTCAGGCGACAGCACTGTGGTGTCTTTACCTAGCAGCTTCTTAACGCCAGCTATTCTCTGTAACATGGAAACAGGATGAATTAGACCATTGTTTGCAGATTCTTTTAGCTAAGTTATCAGAGGAAATACAGTATTGATTTTTTGCACTCTGGAAATGGCACTTTACACGACTTTCCTCACTCCACTCAGATGGAAATGAGTACCTAGCTTTGGTTAGGGACGTCCCTCGGATAGGGCGTTAAATGGTGGTCCCGTGTTTGGGGAGAGCCACATGAATGTTAAAGAACCCACTGCACTTATCAAAAAGAGTAGGGGTCCTTCCCGGTGTGAGTGGTTCAAACCTTACAGTCCGGTCTTACGCAGCTTGTATTTACATGTACAAAACTGGTGTGTTACAACAAAAGGGGGTTTACCAGTTATCCAACCAAACAAACAAACAAACAAACAAACAAACAAACAAACAAACAGAAGTCACCTTCTCGAGTAGCCTGACGTGGTCCTCCAGGGAGGCTGAGTGGTCTTTCATGGCGCTGACAGTGTCAGTGACTGACTCCCGGGGGTGGACTCCGCTCTCATACCTGTTGTACATGCCACGCCAGAACCTAAACACAACAAACATGGCCATTAGACTGTACAACTACTTTCAAAACAATCAGCTGTATGTTTTACATGAACAGACCAACAAGGTCTCATGCTACAGTCTAGCGTTCCACAGTCTCCTATTTCTTGCTAGTCTGGCTAACATCAGTAGGGATCCATCAGATAAAATAAGTTGAATATCAGCAAAAACTACTAAATGTTTCATTTCTAAAGTAGAGTACCAAAACAATGGTTTTATTATTTTTCTAACACGTAGATGTTAAGAATATGCTGTATACTATACATCTAACATCTTTACACACCTAAACCTACAAAAATATTTGGGTGCACTGGTGCACCAACAGAAAAAAACTGGGTGCACAGCTCCAAACTTGGGTGCACCCAGTATTTCAAGCCCTGACAGTTCTAGAAGAGAGAAATCAGTAAGACAGAAGGCCTACTTGAAGTTCTGTGGTGCAGTGTTGGGAAACAGGACTCCCTTAGTGACAGGGTGGTCCCTGCGGTACAGAGGGTTGACGTAGTCACTCATGTTCTTCCTCATGTAGCCCCACAGGGAGTAGGTCTTTGTGCTCAGGCTGCAGTGGGAAGGGAATCAACTACATGTAAGACATCATTCTTTACTAGAATTATCGCAGAGTGGAACTCGCTGTCACCAAGTACAGTAGGGGCATTATCATTAGATAGCTTTACTTTTTAAGCAATGTTTAGAGTTAGGTGTAACAGGTTGTTTGATGTAATGCAGCCGCGCCGCGCAGCATGCCTGCGAAGATGGTGTGTTACACCACAGTGCAGTTATACCGGCTATACAGATACAGATTGTAAAACTTACTCCCTCTTACAGATTTGTGATTTTACTGTGGTTCATTAGACAAGTCCTTTTCAGAATCTGAGGAAGCAAATGAAGTGTGCAAGCTGGTGTGTTATGCCGAAGGGCGGTTATACAGGCTATACTAAAAAAAATACAGAAGTGCTAGTGACCTGAGCTCCTCGCGTTCCCTCTGACAGTTTCCCAGGAAGGTGCCGAACTGGCATGAGTAGGCGTGGTCGTGCAGGGTGAGGAGGAAGGTCTCGTTAAACTGGAACGCACACGGGAACTGCTGAGTCAGCTGCCACACACACTCCACAAACTGGGTAAACACTGGAGACACCTCCTTCTCCTCTACTGCTGTCAGGCCAAGTCTGGGGACACAGAGGGTTTTGTTCTTTAGATACTGTTACCAAGGAGGTTTTAACCTCCTTGCTGTTACGTATCATCAATTAGGGTATAAAAATTTGTATGAGACCAAACACATGCCTTACAATTCAAGGTAACACACGGGAAAACAGTAACCTCGCAGATTATATGTATAATCTATTATGCTTGATTAACATATAAACAAATCCAACCTAATATACATGTAGCAATAACCTAAAACCAGTAATTATATCTTAAGACCCATACCTATCTGTGAACTTGTGCCCAAAGTCGAGCCACTCCTTTTCGATCAGTGCCTGTGAATAAGTGGGAAACAGCCAGGTGAGTGAATATGATACATTTTTGTTGTCTTGTCACCTTTCATTTTCCCTATTTTTTCTTTTTTAGGGGAACATACTCTCTTGGTATACTCCTACAATCCTGTATACATGTACTTACTATATTTCTGATACTACAGTATCCTCTGCTGACAGCATTAACGACCTAGGGGTCATTGTACAGTCAGATCTAATACTCATTTACTAATAGCCACATTGTGAAGATACCTGGTAGCAGCCAAGGCAAATTCTAGGACTGGTTTCATCAAATGAACAATAATTGGATTTAATGCCAGCATGGATGTACACAAGGCACTGTATACAATCCTACTGATGATGTGGGTGACACTAACCTGGAAGCCTTGGAGAGTCCTGAAGTAAGGGTCGAGGAACAGCCCAGCCAAGGAGCAGGTCTGCGCTGTTCTGTCCCAGCCGTCAGAACAGTGGACCAGCACGCTGGCATGTTCATCAAGAACAGCCTGGAGGGAACAGCAGGCAACTGTTTTAACTTTAGATCTGCTATGGCTTCAGTTACAAACCAATTCTATGGTAGAAGTTCAAAACACTACCTACATATGCAGGTTCGTGCAGGTAAAATTGAAGCTGTGCAGGTATTTCTGATGTCTTCCTGCACCTAACTTGCACTGGTCCATGCGTATTGGGTTTACATATATTCATTACCTGCATTGATGGTCATCACCATGATGTGCTAAAGAAATAATGGCAGTGTAAAGAAAATAAAGGCAATGGTTTCTGAAAAGTTTTTATATGATCCATACTTCCTAAGATCTGAGTGGTGCAGGTAAAATGTGTCTGGTGCAGGTAAATTTCAAACCTGTAGGTATGGAGAAAAAACATTTTGAGTCCTGGTGAGTAACAGTTGGTATATGATGTGTAACTCCTGACCTTTGCTATGAAGAGTGAGGTGTCCATGATGGCTTTGATGTGCTTGAGCCAGCTGCTGTTCTCCAGTCCACTCAGGAAGTCTCCAACAGATGGGTTCTTCAGGTCACACACTATGAGGACAACAACATTTCTGTCAGCAAAACTGGACTATAATGAAGCAAGATTAAAATGTGACTGGTTACTGGTATGAGAAATGATACTGCATCTGTATTAGGCCACACCAATTTAATTTGTTGGTTCACTGATTCGCCTGCTTCATTTTTTTCTGATTTGCAAAAAAAACAAACATTTCAGCCTCTGAACCAATTCCAAAATGCTCACATTTTGGCCCCAACAGTTGAAGGAAATACCTTCTCTTCAGAGTTGTCACAGTTTTTCCGTCTAATGCAGGAGTTGATTAGAAGTTTGAAATTCATTGTTTGAATTACAAACCTGGCTGGTATGATGACTTCATGGCTCGTATCATAGCATTTGGGGCTATCATAGGATGCTCAGGTGTTTTTTTTTCCCTGTCAATTCATTTTTTTTCTGAAAAAAATCTGAGAACCAGCAAATCAAATTTGTGTATCTTTACAGGAAAAGTCTCGAGTTCAATCCTACCCTCTATGAGCTTGTCCAGACTGTTTCTCATGACGTGGATGTTCTCGATTCCCAGGAACTGGAAGCGGATGTTGGAGTAGAAGTCTGTGCTCTCGTAGCCCTTCCCAGCTGCCTTGTTCACCATGGCGTTGATCTGTAACAGACCATATCATCCACTTAGTTTACTTTTGATATTGCTACTTTACACCTAACCTTTGCACATCTGTAAACATTTTTAAAGCTATCTAGCAATAAGTATTTCTACCACTGGTATCAATCAATCAATCAATCAAAAATGGTTTATTGATAAAAGACATTGCAGCCAGACAGGCTGAATTGCGCCTTCTGTACATACATATTGTGCAGGACACATTAAAAATATTTACAACAAAGTTTTAAAATAATACATAGCTTTAAAATAATACATTTTAAAATAATACTTTAGTGGCAATTGCTTCTAATATCAATTAGCGTTCAGGATCCGCAACATCGACGGTACAGGACTGTTCTTAAAGGAGTACTAACCTCCAGAAAGGGGTGCTATATTTCGACAGGCATTTATTTTTTGAAGTGAAAAATGCATATTATTTTACAGTATATAATTAAATGCCCATTTTGCGAGCAAGCCTTAAAACGCATCGAATCCAGGACAAACTCTCCAAATACCCTCAAAACTATCCCAGAATACACCACGCTACCCCATTAGTGCCTATGTTTTAAACAAAAAGTTACGTTACAGACCTCATTTCGGGGGCGATAAGAAAAATTCGTACCGTTTTGTGTTCTTTGGTATCTTACCAACCATTGCCCTTCTTGGTGTCCTTATCGCCCCTCATTTATGCCGCAAATATTGATGATGAAAAAAACGGCGTAATCTAGTTATCTTTTTCATAAGTGGTGTAATCTAATTATCTGTTCAAGTTATACTTACATGCAAATGAGTTGAGAAACTCAAAACACACAGGATGAAACTGGCGCCCACTGTATTCGACATCATGATATTATAATATCCAAGCCACAGGTCAAGCAAAGTAAAGCAAGTAATTTCTCAATAATCAGCTTGTTAGTGTGCTTGTCTCCTACCATTTTCGCCAAAAAATGTTTATGTTGACCTGAAGTGTATGAGTATTGCGTAAGCCAGAGTTCCCGGATGTATCAATTGTGGTTCAGCATGGGGGAAAATGATATTAATATCACTTTACAAACATGCGCCGCGCAACTTGTACAAGCGAAATTATGTAAAAAGTCGGCTAGTTATGTATTCATTGCAGCATGATGTATCGGAAAATAGCACTTCGTTCTGGAGGTTAGTACTCCTTTAAACCTTAGAGTTCGGCAGGTCGGTAGGGTCATACTAGTACCTCTGATATTGCTTATCTATTGCAGGTCTCTGTACTTGTACACCTTCTACATCAGTCTAGCAGACATGTTTATGACAGCTTGTGGGGATGGAAGGTGAAAAGTATGACATTTTCTGTATTACTGTGTAGATGGTCTACATTTGTAACTAAGTCTCTTACTCACATGGCAATAAGCATTCTTAGTAGAGAATGCAAAGGTATCTGTCTACATCTGTACATGTATACCTTGTAACAAACCAGCCTTTGCAAGCACATGGTGTGGCAGCAGCTGGCTATACTACACCAGACAACTTGTTACACCTAACCTTTGCACATCTAACTGTAAACAGTTTTTTTGTTGTTGTTGTTTAAATAATACCTAATGATGGTAGTGAAAAGACTGGGCTGTACTGAGAGCTAACCTTGGGTCTTGTGTCCACCACGTACATGAAGTTACAGTTGGGGTTTGCCCTCATGATGGCCTGCAGCATCTGTTCATCCTCCAGACACCTGGCACTAAACCCGGACAGGGGCTGGCTGCACCTGCAGATGGTTGCCTGGGAGACACCATGGCAACGGGACATGTCAATGCACCAATCACCACCACGCAAACAGTAACTACTAATACATTACATCAGGGCCCATCACCCTTCACTCAACCGCGGTGGGGGGCGACATCGTCTACCAGATACCTTTGACCCAGTGTTGACGCCACACTTCAAAGAAGCCACGTGACAAGCTTCACTGGGTCAGTCTACTGAGGAACACCAGATTGACTGGTCGAAAGCTCTAGGTGAGAGAACTACATTGTGTTGGATCTAAAGTTTTAACTTTAAACATGTAACTACCAACACAGATGAACTTTCATGACAGGATCTACATTACGTTTAGTATTTGGACCTAAAATTGTTTCAACACTGATAGAATTAAGGTTAACGTGGCCTTACATAAATGATGTTATACCACCTTTGCCTCAGGTATGTAACTCTTGGTACTGTGTTGTTACGTGTAGACTTACATGGTTGTCCTTGTGATAGTATGACAGCACAGGTAGCCTGCCCCTGCTTCTGAACTTGGAACTCCCCAGCAGGATGGGCGTGGTGGCACCGGCGGGGACAAACAGGGTGCGAGGATATGTGTCACAGATCTGGGCACACAAAAATAACAAATATCAACACTATTTATCTGTTAGGAGAAAAGAAAAAAGCCACAGGGTCTGCCATTTTCTGTACAAAATAAGTCCTACTGATATGTCAAAGACACAGAATTGGAAGGCTAAGCCCATCCCTTTCCCTCCACCACCTGTTATTTCCCCAACTGAAGTCAGGTACCCATTTTACACCTGGGTGGAGTGATGAAAGCCGTGCAAAGTGCCTTGAACACAACGTTTAGCAAGGAATGCAAGGGATCGAAGCCGCAATCTCTCAATTTTGTGTGTGCAAGTCTAGCCATTCAGTCATTAAACCACCTCTAGCTACTAGACTGGAAAAGAAACAACTGAGGCAGGGCCCTCAGCCCTACTGTTGTCCACCTTTTGTTGTCTGACTAAATGTAATCATGTCCTGTCCTATGAAATTGTATGCTGGGCCACAATGGAAAGCCGCTTCTACTAGCTGAATGGACTACCCAGCCATTTTAAAATGGAAAAATAAATAAACACGTGTGGCGACCCCCCTACCTGATAGTCCTTGTTGATAGGAGAGTGGACCCATCTGTTGTTGGGCAGCCCCTGTCGGGAGAACTCATTCTCCAGACTGAAGTAGCTCCAGCCGTCCCCGTGGTCCAGTAGTGTGGCCTGCGGGTTGTACTGGAATGCATACAGCTCCGTAATGGTGGCTGGGAAAGGGGAAAACAAAAAGGTTGCAATTTTTCAAGCATCTTCAGGTAAAATACAGAAGGATACAGAATAATAGATGAAGCTTAAATTGGTTAAGAAATAGCTATAATTAATGTGGTACTGGAATGAATACAGCTCCGTAATGGAGCCTGGGAAAGGAAAAGTTGTAATTTTTTCATGCACCTTAAAGGTAAAATACAACGGTATGTACAGAAGGATACAGAATGAAACTTAAATGAGTTGCTAACTAGCTAAAATTATTGATAAGCACATTTATAAAAAATCAACACAATTTATGACATTGATGTAACTCTTTGAAAAGGATCATGAGATAGTACATAAAGGTTTATAAAGTTTTAATTGGAAACGCAATTCTTAAGGTAAAGATTCAACAAACAAAAGCACGAGTCTGACCTGGTTTAGACAACATAATTAAGGATTCGAAGATGTCGTGACATTCCCTCTCCTTGGCGATGACGAAGGTGACAGTCTGGAACGTCTTGCAGCGGATGAGGAGGGGAGACCCTACAGTGGTTAATGGCAGTTTCTCCACGGAGTCTATGTGCATGTGGAGGACCTGGGGGTCATCAGACATTACAGGGGAGAAGTCAGCTTAAATCTCCAATGAAACCATTTTGTCATACCTGTACATGTACATTTATAGAGATATATTCCATACAAGTTGCAAATAGTACAGTAGGTATTGAAAATTCATTTACAATTTCTACTTAGATGAATAAAATGAATCAATAAGGGTACGTGTACACAAAAATTATTTTCTGCCAGTCAGTTTCAAATGGACATTTGCTTATACTCTCCAAGCAGAGGTTTGGGTTTGGGGTTATTTTTGGTGTGTTTTTAGGCTTTTTTATTGGGGTTTCTCTTTTGCATTGGAGTTTTTTTTTTCACCCAAAAAAAATTCCAGTGCAAAAGAGAAACCCCAATTTGAAACATCACTCCTGTCTATAGACATTGTCATTTCATATTAGGACAGCTGTTGAGCATGTGAGCATTCAAGGTTGAAAAAAGAACCCGGATGCTGGTTGCGTGACTAGGAAGTCCTGATGAATTATGCATACCGGGGTTATTAAACAATTTTCTCTCCCAGGACAGATAGAACCATGTCAACAACATTTCACCACAGATCTAAGGAGTTAATTAACCAAAACATACAGTAAGAAATTATTTTGCAGTAACAAAAATTAGACATTAGCAGATGGTTGATCCTTGGTTGTTCTCTCTACAGCTGTCCCTGTACTGAAAATTACTGTCTGGAAATATCTAATTTCATGGACATCAAATATGGTGGGGCATAATGCAAGGTTACAGATGACAATCATGCAGTTAAGTAATTAATTCTGTAAGGGGGCTGAGGGTGTTTGCTTTGTGGTTAATCATTAGAAACTAAAAGTATGCTGGTGACATTTCGATGAAGGTTAGACACCCAAGTAATGAGATACCAAGGTTACTCAACCAACTGGAATATATAGGATAGATTTTGAAAACAGCCAGATGTTTCAGGTACTAGGAAGCATCCACTGGTTTCAACAATAACACCTGGGAGCTCTTTTCTGAAACACCCTTCTCTTCAGACTACACTTACCCATGTTTCCCTCTTACTGTTGGGGTCGACAAAGATGAGGTGGGTGGCAGTGAGGTAGAGCGTCCCGACGGCCGGTTTCCTGGTGTTGAACCGGTCCTGGAGCCGGACATTCTCTACCTACAGGGTACAGGGAAATAAAGGGTCTTCACTGTTCTCAAAAAGGTTAATCAGGGGGGGGGCTCAGGACAGCAACACACAGCACTGTGGGCACTGGATACGGTAGAATCAATACACTCAAATGTACAAGGAAAACAACATTGTAAGTACATGTGTATAAGTATCAATTAACTTGCCATGCCATGTCAGGTGCAAGACAAGAAGAATAGCTGATCAAAGATTTGACAACGAAACTACAGGGTAATCTGCAAGAATTTTTAATTGTTCTGATACAGGTATTTTGAGCCTTGGTCAAGACAACTGATAGACCACAGAAACATTAATGATTTGATATTACTGGACAGTTGAGAAGATTTTACAGAAAGAAGTCCTCTAAATTTTTAAGTTCCTTCCATGAATGATGCACTTATCAACGTGAATTGCCAGAAGCTACCAGCAAGCTGTCAAATGTGTTAATTGCTTTTTCTGTACCTTTTTAAAAATGAAATGCAAGGTATTAAATTGCCACAGTGTTAGCAAGCTGCATCATGATTGTTGCATAAGCATGTAGCATTAGGATTGGGCTCTGAATTGTCACGTGACCTGTTTTGAGGATTATCACCAATAACTGCATCATCATTCAAGCACATTTAGTAAGCTAAACCCTTCCCCTACGTACACAACTCCCATGCAGCCAGTGCACAGACACCTGTTCTGCAAATTTACCTGGACTGGCATGAAAAAATCAGGCGGTGCATGGGGCTTTTGTGCACCCTTATTAATCGACCCCTGAAACAGAAAGGTGAGGAAGTGGTCAATAGTTTGATGTCACAATGTCGTGGCTGCCGGAAACAAGCAGGTTCTACTACATGTAGCAAACAATTTTGCGACACAACATAATACTAGTAATAATACAATATAACAAGTTCAAATTGAAATCAGTAAAAATGAAAATAACAAAAAGATTAAATGAGGAAAACATCAGATACTCTTAAGGTAGAGCTATGATTTGTGGAAGACACAACACAAATAAGGACAACTAAAATCAAGTTTCATCAAAAGTAACTTGAATTTCATGCAGAAATAATGGTTTTCCTGTAGTAAATATTCAGTTTTCAAGGTCAGCCAGCCATTGCACATCAAAATTTTAACCATTTCCCCACCGATATCTGTAAGGTACATCTCAGCAAGATCCCAGGAAAAGTCTTCACCTCGGTGTCTATACAATTTTTTAAATATAACATTGTTTCATCTTTCTTCTGTGGAACACTTCAAATGTAAGAAAAGTGTCATGATTTGGCTCATCACTGCGAAGCATCACATCTTCGAAACACAGAGACTTATCAATCAATACGCAGTGCTTGACCTCTGTCTTCTGTATTCTCTCTCAAGTAGACACACCTGGACTTAATCAATACTTGCTATGAATTATAAATCTGTATGGCAAACCTGGCAAAATCCATGAAGCCATTTTGTGCTTTCATGATAATCTGCCACAAGATTATTCTCTAAGCTGAGGTTTAGGCTTTTGCTTATTTTTTTTTACATGTTTTTAGGAATTTTTATCAGGCTTTCTTTCCTGTACCTAGTACTTGTATCTTTTTTCTACGAAATTCTAGGTGGCAAATGGTAACTGCCTGGCCAATTTGATACTGTCTTTGCAGCCACCACAAGACCTGTTTGGAGAGTACCACATGGTACAGTTGTCCATGCATCCACCCAGAGCCACACCCCCTGTCTACTACCCCTCCCCCTTTTGGGATAACAGGGATAGGTGCAATCACTGATTACCATAATGATGATGCAACCCTTCTAAATTATGCATACCCCAAATAATACTAAGTAGGCTGTGCGACACAACGGTGTCAACATAAATACGTATAAACAACATCTCTGACGGGAGATACGGTCTGTTTTGGTGTACATCTGAACTGCATGATGTCATGGTGTGTCACGAGACTTACATCTAAACACGACACACTCAGTCACTGAAGAAAAATTCTAGCAAATATTTAATCGGAAGTAGGGCAATAGTTCTGCACAGCTAACAGTTTATTTTCTTAGACAGAAACCTATTTTTTATGGCAGTTGTTGAGACAACCCCCCCACACGTGATTTCTTTATTACGTAAAATATTAATGACGAAGTCGGAATAATTATGCCCGGAAACCAGCATCGGAAACATACCGGAAGATGACAACACCACATCAACCTCATCAACTTTAACAGCTCCTTGCACCAAAGTTTCAAGACGCAAGAACACAAAACTTCGCAGATACCCTCTATAGACTATAAGTAAACATTCGGAATGCACACTGAAGACAAAGAAGGTTGTGTTGACGAGATAAAGGCACAAACCTTGGGAGTTCGTATGTGTTCCATCTTCTTTTTTTCACTCGACCGCCATGACACATCCGGGGCCGGCGTTCCCGGCTACCCATCATGCACTGTAGCAACATGGCGGTTTTTCGATAAAAAGTGTCGCGAGTTTTACTTTTTATCAGTGAATTTTGCGTCTCTACGGGATTTTTGTAGTCTGTTTGGTGCTCTGAGAGAATTCTGAGGCAATGCCGCCCACCGGTGGGTTCACGTTTGGGCAGACGCCGGCCCAGCCAGCACAGGGAAGCCTGTTCGCCATGCCAGCTCCTGCTGCCACTTCTACAGTCGGCGGACTCTCTTTCGGAACACCAGCTACGACAACGGCAACTAGGTAAATGGGCTATTCCAAAAAATAAAGGAGAATGGGGGGCGGAAGAGGTTGGACTGGACAGGGGGGGTGGGTAAAATACCTGGACTGGACAGGGGGGTTGGGTCAAATACCTGGAATGGACAGGGGGGTTGGGTCAACCAAATCTGGACTGGACAGGGGGGTTGGGTCAAACAAACCTGGAACGGACAGGGGGGTTGGGTAAAATGGATCTGGAACGGACAGGGGGGTTGGGTCAAACAAATCTGGAACGGACAGGGGGGTTGGGTCAAATAAACCTGGAACGGACAGGGGGGTTGGGTCAAATAAACCTGGAACGGACAGGGGGGTTGGGTCAAATAAACCTGGAACGGACAGGGGGGTTGGGTCAAATAAACCCGGGTTGGAGCCAGACTGGAACTTGGTGGGTATTGGGTGTATTCAGCGTTTTATGGTTGAGATTTTATCTCTCTGATTCTGAACAATCTTAGAATCTAAGTTAGATGTTTAATTGAAGGTTGGAGAATGATTTTTTAGCTGGATAAAGGACATTATAAATATTTCATACAATCATAAACATAGCTTCAATATGCATACCACTCTCATATAGAGTCCATATAAGGTCTATAAGATGTACATACTGTAACGCATCAAATTTTCAACTGTCCCACACCTTTCATAATTTAAGCGACCAAACAGCTCAATCCCATGTCAGACCTTATGGACTTATCAGGTTATAAGTGCCAGGAAGTTTATACTGCCAGCCATCTCTGTTTAGTGATGGTTGGTGTGGTCCTCAAATTTGTCCTGCAGCTATATAGAATTTCTTCTTTATTTCTTACATGCAAATATAAATACAGTAGTAGAAAATCTTAATTTAGAAAGTAAAAGTCCTTTTCCTTTTAAAAATTTATCTGAAACAACATTTTTACCCCAAGTAATTAGTTGGTTACTGTAAAGTAAACAAGCAAGTGTTGTTAAGTAAACAAGTTAATCCAGCATTCTCTTTCAATGGTTTGCATAACAAAAGGATCAGTCGAATTTTAGCCAAACAGTTTCTCTCAGTTGTTATATACCACACTTCAAGGTTAATTTCTTTCCATCTATGAATCACTTTTATAACTTCCTAACTTCTTTGTTGATCTACAAAAATATGTCATGCATGGTAGGGTGACTGCAGATTGCAACTTGTCCGTAACATATATTGTTTTTGTTCCTTTTTTATCTAGTTTCGCTATAACTATAGTACTTGAGTATAAGCTCGCTCCTTGGTTCAACTGAATATGGAGTCAACTGCATAGGTTGTTTTGCAAATGCTCTTGTAACTTATAAAAGAATAAAAATTGTCTTTGATTTTCTTTTCAGTCATTTAGATAATATTCAAGTGCAAGTGTGAATCTGAGTGTAACCAACAACAAGTCACATGAACTGGGTATCACTCACTCCTGTCCATTGTTTTGCCCGATTTGATGCATTGAACTACAAATCAGGGCTCAAAATACTCAGGGTGCACCAAAAATTGGAGCTGTACACCCAATCTTTTTCTGAGTGCACCCAGATATTCTGGTAGCCCAATGTTGAAGAAGAAACCGATAGTGATTTTTCAAAGTCAGAAGAAACTGCCAAGGAGCCAACCTGGCTTTTTGTGTGAGGTTTTTTTAACGCCATCTAGTAATCTTGTTTCACATAGTACACCCAATGTCTTTTATGCACCTAATTGTTTGGGTGATTGAATGCAAAGTTCATATGCCAAATATACCTGACTAAAATATGGGTAAAATTTCTCAGATAAGACACATTTGTTGTTATTTAGCAGCCTCCACCAGGCTTTTCTGTGGGATTATGGATTATGGATTGTGGCATATGTATTTCGGCAAAAAGGATTGGCCTGGGGAGTCAGTCTGTAGAAGGTTGTTTTTATCCGGATATAATCCAGTTACCCTCCGAAGTCAAACCCGAAGGTGGCCAGGCCAAACTAGCCTGGCAAATATTCTCGTAAATAGTCTGGTACTAGTGGTTATTTTGGTCTAACATCATTCAAAAAAATCTTTTACAGACCATCTAAAATTGAACTGCTTTATTGGACAATTATTTTGCATTTGTTAAAAAACTTTGATTTACGAGTACTTTTCATTATTTTTAGGTTCTTTTCCTATCCAAGGGTTCTAGTTGACTTGTACTAGACTTTTGGTGTACCAGGATTTCAGTTTCCACACAACCAGCTACTGTAACTCATTGAAATGCTAATTACTGGCTCCATGTCCTAATGAGTTCCTATTGTTTGCTCAGACATTGTTGTGTTATCAGATTATGCTGAATTATCTCAGGCCAAAGTCACTTCAGCAAAATAAAATTCTAGGGTAAAAGTTCAGGACAGTCAGGTTTACACAAAGTCATTTGATTTGCCGAAAGAATAAGAAGTCGTGATTTAATTTTTAGACTATTAGAGTACAGTGTTTACAACACTAAAGGACTGAAGGTGTGGGCCAGGCTAGTGTGAATTATCTTGAATTTTCAAAACCAATACTCTGATGCAGTTGAGCAAAACAAGGAGGTTAGAAATAAATTTAACCAGCTCCTTGTTTAACACAAAACCTCCTTTTATTTCCTTTTCAGTCCAAACCCAATGCCAATGGACCTGGAATCCTCAGTTTTAACACAATGGCGCTGCTTGAACAAAGTTCCTACAGGTTCCCATTGTTTTCCCCACCAAACCATCTAGATTCTTCATAGGTCAAGTCCGTTAAATTTCTATTTGCACTCAGAGCATCATAAAAATATCACATATATACTCCCTTCTTTCATAAAAGGACAATGCTATAAAACTGTACATTGATTGTCATACAACAAGACAATGTCATGAATTTCTACCAAGTCATATTTTTCATCCCTGACAGAACTTAGGGTTCAAAATACCCACTCTCACTCTTTTGCAAACAAGTCATGACTTGTGCATGTTTTCTGTGTGAGACTTGAACATGGAAACGTCAGATTGCCTGGCACGATCCACCTGGCACGCAAATGTCAAGCTGATCTTTTTATAACCCTGATGAAGGTAACTTAGACATCCAGGTAAACAATATTCAAAGACGAATCAAACTTTACTACTGGATAAATTATCATGGTGATTACTTCAGGACATTTCCAGGAGGCCATCTATAGGTGCAGCTACAACTCCACTAACTGGAAGGGAGGATTTCCCATAGAACTCTCCAGTACATGCAGTTGTTCCTGGCTGTGGTGTTGTATTAGTATTACCATAATCTACCTTATCATCATTTACATAACAAAACAGTGACACTTATGTGTCTTTCACTCTCTGTTCAACTGTTTTTTTCTAGTTCCTCCATGTGCAGTTTAGTGTCACTGAAGAAGGGTGAGAGATGTTTCAACTTGAAATGTCCCAAAGTAAAATCATGGCCATCTTGTACTGTTTTGCTCCGCATGTCTGCTCATAATTGCTCAGTCCTAAAAATTGCACTGTGCATTTTCCATGTGAGGAATTCCTCACAGGGAAAATGCTCAGTGCATTCTTTTGGTGCTTTTCTTCATACAATTATACGATGCCCAAATCTATATGGTGGAAGCTTAGTTCAGTCGCCTCATAGTGATGTTGAATGCTGAAAAAATGAAACTGTCCAAACAAGTTTAAATACGTTCAATAGTCATCTCATGCACTAACGCTCAAAACTCAAAAACGTACTAGTAATTGCCTAATATGAAAAAGATACTAGGACAAATCTGGAACGGAAAAGGGGTTGGGTAAAATGTATCTGGAATGGACGAGGGGGGTTGGGTCAAACGAATCTGGAACGGACAGGGGGGTTGGGTCAAACAAACCTGGAACGGACAGGGGGGTTGGGTCAAACAAATCTGGAACGGACAGGGGGGTTGGGTCAAATAAATCTGGAACGGACAGGGGGGTTGGGTCAAATAAACCCGGGTTGGAGCCAGACTGGAACTTGGTGGGTATTGGGTGTATTCAGCGTTTTATGGTTGAGATTTTATCTCTCTGATTCTGAACAATCTTAGAATCTAAGTTAGATGTTTAATTGAAGGTTGGAGAATGATTTTTTAGCTGGATAAAGGACATTATAAATATTTCATACAATCATAAACATAGCTTCAATATGCATACCACTCTCATATAGAGTCCATATAAGGTCTATAAGATGTACATACTGTAACGCATCAAATTTTCAACTGTCCCACACCTTTCATAATTTAAGCGACCAAACAGCTCAATCCCATGTCAGACCTTATGGACTTATCAGGTTATAAGTGCCAGGAAGTTTATACTGCCAGCCATCTCTGTTTAGTGATGGTTGGTGTGGTCCTCAAATTTGTCCTGCAGCTATATAGAATTTCTTCTTTATTTCTTACATGCAAATATAAATACAGTAGTAGAAAATCTTAATTTAGAAAGTAAAAGTCCTTTTCCTTTTAAAAATTTATCTGAAACAACATTTTTACCCCAAGTAATTAGTTGGTTACTGTAAAGTAAACAAGCAAGTGTTGTTAAGTAAACAAGTTAATCCAGCATTCTCTTTCAATGGTTTGCATAACAAAAGGATCAGTCGAATTTTAGCCAAACAGTTTCTCTCAGTTGTTATATACCACACTTCAAGGTTAATTTCTTTCCATCTATGAATCACTTTTATAACTTCCTAACTTCTTTGTTGATCTACAAAAATATGTCATGCATGGTAGGGTGACTGCAGATTGCAACTTGTCCGTAACATATATTGTTTTTGTTCCTTTTT